TATCATTTTTTTTTAATTTCATGCTTATATTTAGCTCCATGATTTCATGGAAATTGTTTTATAATTTATATCTTTAAAAAGTATGCAAGCATTTCATGGTTGAAAAACATAATATCACAGTGTATGGATTGTTTTAAAATCAATGAATTTAAATATTCTGTTTCAATCTTGTACATGAGGAATTGCCTCTTAAGTTATCTATGATTATGCAGAGTGGCAAGAAATGTGGATAAATGGATAAATATTCAAAATTCCGCTTTAGAGACTTATAATCCTATATACGCAAAATTGACTGTTCTTTGTTATTTACCCTGAGGCCCTCTTATCAGCTGGAGTGGTGTATTGAAAACAGGCACTCTCAGTAAAATATCAATACACAGCATGACTTGAGATATTCCTCTTCAATAAAAGCATTCCCTTTATACATTAAATGTTTAATATTGAAATCATGAATAAAGTTATCAAATTTATTAATTTAATGGATAATATTTTAATTATTATAAACATATGCAAGCATTACACAGTTGAATACTAAATTATCACAGTATATTGATTGATTTAAAATCAATGTATTAATATTCTCTTTCAATATTGAACATGAGGAATTGTCTCTAAGTTATATATTATAGGAATAATATTTTAGCTTAAATATAAAAATTTCCTAGATTTGTTTGAGCTTATGAAAAAAAAGTTTATGTTGTTACAAACTAAACTAATTGGGCCAGAATTATCACATTGATTTTCCCATTTGTACTCTAGAAAAATTGAAATACATGGCCATTAAAATAGCTTTAAAACACTTTCACACAATTATCCATTACGGAGCATATTTAAATTTAACCTTATTAATTCTATAAATTTTAAGGGGTATTATTTTACACTTACAGTTAAATACTGGTTAATAAAAATATGATTACAATAAATAAATTTTTTTTTTGATGTTAAGCTTTAACATGATATCACCTAAAATGTTAAAATTAATTAATCACGAATAGGCCATATATTCCCAAAGTTTTTTTTTTCTTACAGCAGCTTATCAATAGATGCCCCCTGTCACTTAATATACAATTATCCAATAAACCTTTTAGGTGTCAACTTCCCTGGCCAGCCTGGTCATATGGTCTAGTGCACTAGAAGTGCACACGGTGTGCACTTCTAGTTCAGCTATAGTGCACTAGAAGTGCACAAGGGTGGGAAGTTTAGTGTGAACTCAACTGTATATTCTAAATTGAACATAAGTCAAACAGCCCGAAATTCCACACTAGACCAAAAGAAATGAAATTGATTTGATTTGCTATAATTTATTGAGATCAAAATTAAGAAAGTTTTTCATTGCTAACATAAATTGATGCACCTGGATATCAGTTGTCTTTGTCAAGAGCTCTATAATATCAATATGATTTATTTTGCCGATAAATGCCATAGGACATAATTGTTTAAATTAATGTTATTTATAAGGATCTGCTTCTCCCATTTTCCAGATTTGTTTTAAAAGGAGTCTTCTTCATCTTTAACCATTTTCTTTGAAATTAGTTGTCTTCATTTCATCGGATTTCAATGAATAAGCATACATCTCGGCAATTAAACATACTTCCACATTACAATTTTGGGGCAGTTCTTGCAATGATTGGTAATGTATACTAGCTGTTATCATATATTTTACAGATAAATGCCAGTTGGTATACTTTTTAAATGCTATTGAAAGATCTGCTTCTCCCCTTTTCCAGATTTTTTTTAAAGGAGTTTCATCTTTAACCATTTTCGTTGAAATTAGTCGACTCTATTTCTTAACATAGCTGATTCGGGATTTCAATTAATATAAAGCAGACATCTCAGCATCCCCATTAACAATTTTGGGACAGTTCTTGTTGTGTTTGGTAATGTATACTACTGTATGACAAGATTTATTCATTAACAGCATTGGTTTGTCATCTTATATTTGTCCAAATGATCCAAGTGTTGTCAAATATTGTCATCATCAATATTATTTCATGATATTTTTTTTTGTCAGGTCAGTCATGCACCTGGAAAAAAATAAAGTATAAAGTTAGTAATTATAATAAAACATACATGAATTAAAAAGAAATGCTGGCAAAATAAGTTTAAATACATTGTTTAAAAATATTATTTATCCTATGTATATGAGCGTAGAGGTTAACAGATTTTTTTCAGTCAAAACTGTCACTGACAACAGCAGGTCGACCCTGCATTCACCATGTAAATTGCTCATAAGAAATAAATTTCTGCTTTAATTAATTATAAAACCGTAAAAAATTAATTTAATATTTAATAAAAAATTATTTCCTTATTAAATATACGATATCTCATTGAAACCTGAAGCATCGGTAAAAAAACAAATTTTTTTTAGAATTTGAAAATTGGCCGAAACTGAGCAGGTGCCCGCCGAAACATATATCTCAATTTTAAAGACAAATGCGCTAATATTTAAAAAAAATAATTATATATTGATATATTTTATTATATACCAAGACTTTATCTACCATAATTTTATTTTGTTACTCGTTTATACGTGATAAATCAGTAATGGAAATAATCGGATTTCACCGCGTCGGTGAATTCAAAATGGCGGACTCTGATGGACTGTTGAATTTCCACAACTCGCAGTATTTAATCGTAGATGCGGGTGCTTTAATGGCAACATAATTTTATGATTTATGAATCATTTTAAAGATAATTCAATTTATTTTCTAGAACACTATTCGTTTTTCTTCACTTACCGATAGTTTTCAAGCAAATCGTCGGCGAGTATCGGGCATCATAACTTTTTTGTTTGTAAACATATTTAAATGACGAAAATTCCAGGATGAAATGTATACATATTTCTGATTGGTTGCAAAAAATCATGAATATTAATTAGCAACAAATGACCCGCAAATAAGGTCATGCGGCATACATGTGACAAGCGCGTGTCCACAATCGGGTTTTGTAAAATCGGCCGAAAATACACCTGTATATTAAGATTAACTGATAATGATTAAAATGCATATTATGCATGAATAATGAATTTTATATCATTTTGAAGACAATTTATCACTGATTTATTTCATATAACTTTTATAATGGTCAATATTAAAATTTATTGTTTTACAATCAATTTTATGAACACACTATCGATTTTTACGCTAATTTCTTAAGCTGTAGGCTTATCAGTTGGGGTTGCTAATATATAGTTTAAACTCTTCTTATTTAAATAATGAAAGGAAGAAAAGTTGATTAGTTGATATTTTAATAATGTTAAATGGTATATAAAACATATAGAAAGTGTAATTTTTTGTACAAAATGTATGCAAAAAATACCATTTTGGTTCGGGCTAGTTAAAATCTGTTCGGGCTTGTGAACTTTGTAAGCTGCTAGCCCGACTGGGCTAGTGCTGATAAAAAATTAAGGCGAAGACTGGATCAATGAAAATACTTTGAACTGGATACGAATCCTATCAATGAATTCGCATTTCTGCTTGTAACATGAAAAGTTCATAGGTTGACAGTGGGTTTTTTCTCATGTAATTGGGAAAAGGCCTTTGTGGCGTTTGCCTCATAGTTTGGGAAGAACCATAGATTTGCTAATTTGGGAAGTAAAAAAGCTTGTGTAATCTCAGATCTCTTGAGAAAAACCACAAGTTGGAAAAAAATTTCAATTGGGGAGATAGTGTAGGCCTCTGTTATTAGTCCCCTACCGGTTTACCGGAGGGGACTTTAGGTTTACCCTCCGTCCGTCTGTCCGTCCGTCCGTCAGTCCGGCCGTCTGTCCGTCCGTCAGTCCGTCCGTCCACAAAACTGGATCCCGCGATAACGCAAAAAGTACTGAAAATATTTTAATGAAACTTGATATATGGATAGATGGCAGTATGGAGATTATGCACGTCTTTTTCTTTTCTTCCTATGTTGAAAATTCTGGTTGCTATGGCAACAAATAGACTGAAAATATGGGAAATTTTACACATAACCTGGATCCCGCGATAACGCAAGAAGTACTGAAAATATTTTTATGAAACTTGATATATGGATAGATGGCAGTATGGAGATTATGCACGTCTTTTTCTTTTCTTCCTATGTTGAAAATTCTGGTTGCTATGGCAACAAATAGACTGAAAATATGGCAAATTTTACACATAACCTGGATCCAGTGATAACACAAAAAGTACTGAAAATATGTTTATGAAACTTGACATATGGGTAGATGGCAGTATGGAAATTATGCACATTCTTTTTTATCTTCCTATGTTGAAAATTCTGGTTGCTATGGCAACAAATAGACTGAATTTCAAGATTTCTGATTCTAGTTTTTAAGTTTTTTCACTTTTAAGTTCTTTATTTCTTAAGGTATTTTCTTCAAACTTTAAATATAAGTTGATTGTCATCAACCACATCATATGTGACAAGGTTTACAACTCTAGCACAAAATTTATCAGAATTACCTCCCTTGAACTTAAAATTTTCATGAAAAAAACATTGTTTTTTTTTTAATAACTTCTTTTTCTGAATGTATCTACTTCAAACTTCATATAAATGTTTCTTGTTGTCACTCAACATTTGTGAGTGTTCAATACTCTAGCAAGACTATTTCCAGAATTATGCCCCTTTTGAACTTAGACTTTTTTTTGAGAAATTGGTAATTTTTACTCCAACTTCTTCAATAATGATAGGATTTAAAAAAATGTTACATTTTGATAACAGGGATGTTTAAAAGATAACTTTAGAGTGTCCTTCAGTCTATCTGTCTGTACATAAAAACTGTTTCCTATGATCACTTTTCAAGAACTTTTTCAACAAATTTACTTAAAATAGGAACCTAAGTGAATGGCCAATGGCCCTTCAGAATGTTGCTTGGGCTCTTACCGGTAGGGGACTTATGGATTGCTCGCAATACTATGATAATTGCTTGTTAGTATTATTTTAAGATGAAAATCACTGGTTGACATCTTGCTATCTATAATATAACATAACTTTGCTGTTCATTTGAAGTATGTTCTATGTTACAGTCTATGTGAAGGCAGTGGGAGGAGAAGTACCAGCAACATCATCTCTGGCTCCTAAAATCGGTCCCCTTGGTCTGGTAAGTGAAATGACCATTATCATGTTTTTGCACCAAATATAACAAAATTTCAGTTAGTTTCAATTTGTCAGTGTAGTCTAGAATACCTATATATTGAATAACTGTAACAGTATATTCTGTTTTACAGTTTCACCTGTTTGTTATTTTATGACTTGAGCCTACTTTAATTCCAAAGGTTGACACATTTTATAGGCAAGTAAATAACTAAAGAAGATTGTAATGGAAGATTTTGAATGAAAAAAAAACAACTTGATCAGTCTTTCCGAAAGACCGTCGGACCGTCGGCCCTGACCGGTAAAAATTCAGAAGGTCCGGTAAAAATATATGTATTGACGGCCCGACGGTCCTGTAAAGAGTTAAGGTTTTTTAGCTCACCTGTCACAAAGTGACAGGGTGAGCTTTTGTGATCGCTTTTCGTCCGTCCGTCCGTCGTCCGTCCGTCCGTAAACTTTTACTTTAAATGACATCTCCTCATAAACCACTAAGCCAATTTCATCCAAACTTCACAGGAATGTTCCTTTGGTGGTCACCTTTAAAAATTGTTCAAAGAATTTAATTCCATGCAAAACTCTGGTTGCCATGGCAACCGAAAGAAAAAACTTTAAATATCTTCTTTTAAAAAACCATAAGAGCTAGAGCTTAGATATTTAGCATGAAACATCTTCTAGTGAGTGTCTACCAAGTTTGTTCAAATAAAAGCCCTGGGGTCAAAATTGGCCCCGCCCCGGGGGGTCATTGATTTTCCCTATATGCATATAGTAAAAACTTAAAAAATCTTCTTTTAAAGAACCCAAAGAGCTAGAGCTAAGATATTTAGCATGAAACATGTTCTAATGGGTGTCTACCAAGTTTGTTCAAATAAAAGCCCTGGGGTGAAAATTGGCCCCGCCCCGGGGGTCATTGATTTTCCCTATATGCATATAGTAAAAACTTAAAAAATCTTCTTTTAAAGAACTCAAAGAGCTAGAGCTTAGATATTTGGCATGAAACATCTTCTAGTGAGTGTCTACCAAGTTTGTTCAAATAAAAGCCCTGGGGTCAAAATTGGCCCCGCCCCGGGGGGTCATTGATTTTCCCTATATGCATATAGTAAAAACTTAAAAAAATCTTCTTTTAAAGAACCCAAAGAGCTAGAGCTAAGATATTTAGCATGAAACATGTTCTAATGGGTGTCTACCAAGTTTGTTCAAATAAAAGCCCTAGGGTGAAAATTGGCCTCGCCCCGGGGGTCATTGATTTTCCCTATATGCATATAGTAAAAACTTAAAAATCTTCTTTTAAAGAACTCAAAGAGCTAGAGCTTAGATATTTGGCATGAAACATCTTCTAGTGTGTGTCTACCAAGTTTGTTCAAATAAAAGCCCTGGGGTGAAAATTGGCCCCGCCCCGGGGGGTCATTGATTTTCCCTATATGCATATAGTAAAAACTTAAAAAATCTTCTTTTAAAGAACTCAAAGAGCTATGGCTAAGATATTGAGCATCAAACATTGTTCTAATAGGTGTCTACCAAGTTTGTTCAAATACAAGCCCAGGGGTCAAAATTGGCCCCGCCCCGGGGGTCATTGATTTTCTTTATATGTGTTTAGCAAAAACTTTAAATCTTCTTTGAAAAAACCCAAATAGCTAGAGTTTAGATATTAAGCATGAAACATCTTCTAGTAAGTGTCTACAAAGTTTGTTCAAATAAAAGCCCTGGGGTCAAAACTGGCCCTGCCCCAGGGGTGTCATTGTTTTTAACTATATGTGTATAGTAAAAACTTTAAAAAAATCTTCTTTTAAAAAGCCCAATGAGCTAGAGCTTAAATGTTTAGCATGAAACATCTTCTTATGGGTGTCTACCAAGTTTGTGCAAATAAAAGCTCTTGGGTTAAATTGGCTCTGCAACGTTGGGGGGGGGGGGGGTTGGGGGCCTATATACAGGTGAGCGACCTCAGGGCCATCATGGCCCTCTTGTTATTAAAAACCTTACATTCAACATTTTGCAAAGGCCAATCATTTACCTAAATTCAAAACATATCAAAATATTGTCATTACACAATATAAGCTCGTGCAATGCTTGTCAACTGTTATGCATTCTCATAATGCAAACTTTTATGTAACTACGTAAGATAAAAATATCCGACAACTAGTACAATTAAAAGTCAATAAGCGGCCGCGTAAATTACATAAGCGGCCCAGATGTGAAAGGTCACCGGCTATTAGTTTGTTTACACAGATGAAATTGTCAGTGTATTAATTGGAACAATTTACGTCTTTAATCCACAGACTTAGAGTAATGCTTAATTACACGTGTGCTCAATTGTTTAGCTATGAAAGATCGTCAAAGATGTTGACAAAAATTAAACTATACTGTGAAGGTACCAAAATCATTGAACAATTAATCTGTCAACTTCACTAAATTACCGATATACATGTATATAATTCTGTTTACATATGCCAGACTTTTGCTGAAATTTACCCTCTCATTTTGCTAGTATATAGTCTGTATGGAATTAAAGTTTAAATAGCAAAATCCATTGAATACATGTATAACAATATTTATGTTTACATTTTGATTGTGGTAAAAAAAGATAACTTCACTTTGTTGATAATATAGTTTTCTTTTTGTACACAAATTTTTTGACTGCTGACACTTATCAAGTGACTCAAAATGCTATACCAATCAGGTTTTTTTCGGTCCAGTAAAATCATGTTTGGTCCAGTAAAAATTTTCAGTTTACAGGACCTACTGTCCAGTAAAACTCAGAAGTCTTTCGCATAGACTGCTTGATTTCTGAAGAAAACATAAAATATATTTACAGTCCCCAAAGAAGATTGGTGATGACATTGTGAAGAACACTGGTGACTGGAAGGGTCTGAAAATCACAGTTCGATTGACTGTACAGAACAGACAAGCCAAAGTTGATGTGGTACCCAGTGCTGCTTCCCTCCTCATTAAGGCATTGAAAGAGCCACCTAGGGACAGGAAGAAGGTCAAACATGGTGTGAATTGCTTTTAATTGTTTAAAAATTTTATGTAGCTACTTAACGCTTCCAATATTGACAAGAAAATGTACCAGAATCAACAGATGAATTCTTCATATATATATACTCATTTTTCAAGGTCTTGGAGGAAATTGGTGGTAATCTTTTGTCAAGTCATGTGACTTGCACCATTTTTCACCAACTGAAAATGTCCGAGTATCTAAAGAATGTGTATATGCAGCTTCCATGTTTACTATTTATTTTGTTCTAATGCTGGAATATGTGAAGAAATTTTGTGAATCTGTTTTTTCAGATTAAAAATACTTTCACCCCATGTCTGTGAAATGATTACAGAACTAAATTGAGAAAGACCCGTGTTTGTTTTACGATCTAAGAATGATCACAGGCACTTGTTCAATTTTGCTTTGTACATGCATTTTACTCCAAGACATGCATTTACCATACTTTGCATTGAGATGGCTTTTATAGTCATGTTCTGTTTATGTTTCAGTAAAACACTCTGGCAATTTAACATTTGATGATATTCTAAAAATTGCACGTACCATGAGAGAGAGAAGTATGGCCAAACATTTGTCCGGCACTGTAAAGGAAATTCTGGGTAAGTACTAATAATTTGAAAAATGAATGAATTTTAAAGAAATATCTTTTTAATTTGTATGCAGTGTCAATTCTAATATATTTTTTATCATTTACCTAATTGGTCATTCAGTCAGCCAAGTCTTGACTAGGGTCTATATTGCTGGCTTCTTTACTTTTTATATGCCCGAAAGAATTTCGGACATATTATATTATACCCCCTGGCGTCCGTCCGTTAGCAATTTGGTTTCCGGAGCATAACTTTAGTTCCATTTGGCCCACAATATTCAGACTTCATAGGATGATTGTCCATATTGGGTAGAAGACCCCTATTGATTTTGGGGTCATAAGGTCAAAGGTCAAGGTCACTATGACCTTAAAACTGAAAACAGTTTCCGGAGCATAACTTAAGTTCCATTTAGCCTACAGTGTTCAAACTTCATAGGATGATTGTCCATATTGGGAAGAAGACCCCTACTGATTTTGGGGTCACAAGGTCAAAGGTCAAGGTCTCTATGACCTTAAAACTGAAAACAGTTTCCGGAGCATAACTTAAGTTCCATTTGGCCCACAATATTCAAACTTCATAGGATGATTGTCCATATTGGGTAGAAGACCCCTGTTGATTTTGGGGTCATAAGGTCAAGGTCACTATGGCCTGAAAACAGTTTCCGGAGCATAACTTAAGTTCCATTTGGCCCACAGTGTTCAAACTTCATAGAATGATTGTCCATATTGGGTAGAAGACCCCTATTGATTTTGGGGTCACAAGGTCAAAGGTCAAGGTCACTATTACCTTAGAACTGAAAACAGTTTCCGGAGCATAACTTAAGTTCTATTTGGCCCACAGTGTTCAAACTTCATAGGATGATTGTCCATATTGGGTAGAAGACCCCTATTGAATTTGGAGTCACAAGGTCAAAGGTCAAGGTCACTATTACTTAGAAATTGAAAACAATTTCTTGAGCATAACTTAAGTTCTGTTTAGCCCACAATATTCAAACTTCATAGGATGATTGTCCATATTGGGTAGAAGACCCCTATTGATTTTGGGGTCACAAGGTCAAGGTCACTATTACCTTAAAACTGAAAACATATTTCGGAACATAACTTAAGTATCATTTGGCCTACTGTGTTTAAACTTCATAGTATGATTGTCCATATTGGGTAGAAGACCCCTAATGACTTTGAGGTCACAAGGTCAAAAGTCAAAGTCACTTTTACCTTAGAATTGAAAACAGTTCTGGGGCATAATTTAAAGTTCCATTTGGACCACTATATTGAAGGAGGTAATACTTTATTTTACTCCCATGTCTTACAAATGCTTCATCTTTACTAAAAAAAAATCACTTTCGGGCATATAATGCTCTGCCTAGCGGTGCTCTTGTTATAATTTGAGGAAAAAAACCCTGAATTTTCTGAATTCACAAGGTTTGCAAAACATTGCAATCTTTACACAAATTCTGCTTATTCACAGTTATCATGCCTGGATATTTTGATATTTTTGTATTTTCAATTAAATAAGCTGCAGCCTGGCTACAAAACTTTTAGAGTTCTTTCTGAAATCTCTGAATTTTCATTGGTCAGTGTACATTCTGTGGCAGTTTCTGACCAATCAAATACCTGAGATCCGAGTGTGTTACCTCTTTAGATGACCAATGATTAAACCAATTTTGTCATGTATTAGCTTTTGAAAGAGACTGAAAACATGTGAATTTATGAGGTCAGAAAGAGATGGTCATTGCCAGGAGGAAAAAAAAAGACAGGACTGTAGAGATGTTTTTGAATCTGCCATCTTTGTATTTATACATGGTCAAATTTGGGTCAAAAACTAGGTCACCAGGTCAGTCTTGATTGATTGTTGTCTTTTTGTACAGTGTTTGTGATAAACCTTTGCAGTATTGGTGTGACTTAAAATCCAAATAAAAAATAATTGTGGATTTTAACATTTTTCAAAGTGGGAAGTGCAAATATCAAGTTTCATAGTAATCCGTATACAGCCCTAACTTTAACAAAATTTTGTCTTTAATTTAAATTGTGTAGTTTACAACAAACCCTCTTGTAGAGTTACATATCAGTGATTAATCTAGAAATTCCTTACAATGCGTCGGATGACGCACATTTTTGAAAACAATGAGTCCTTTAGCAAAATCAATGAGTCATGTAGCAAAATAAATGCGTCTTAGCAGAAATTTTTTTTTAATAGCAGATCCTTGACATGATTTGCATGTTTTTATAACAAGCGATTAAGTAATTAAAGTGTATAAAAAAGTTTTTTTTTGGTACTAATATTAATTGCAGGCAAAACAATTTTTATTGGCTGCTCAAAAATCTAATTTGCATAATTTATATTTTCTTACTACTTATGTCTAATACTGTGCATTATCCATTTTAATTGTTCGTAATTTGCACAAAATGTCCCTATCACACTGTATACATACTGACGACTTTTATTGCTCCTTGTATGCCTCTGTGTAGAAAGCATACACAGACAGACCTTTTGATCATGAAAAAAAGTCATGCACAATGTTTCCCTGATTGGTTAATCACCCTGTCAAATATTCTGATGACGTAATAGACATCTTTTTTTTACACTCCGCGTGAACTTGAGTGACCTTAGGGGAATTCAATTTACACACCTGTCAGATTATACTGTAACTTACAGCATTTCTTAAAATAGCAACACTTTTTTTTCAGTTACCGATATTTATTTAAAATATTAAGTAGATTAATGATTTTTTGTTTGCTTTATTGGATTAAATTTACGGTAGTGGAAATGCTTATCTGTGTGGAAAAGGGATAAGGTAAGTAGATAACTCGAAAAAATGCTCTAGGGAAATGGATACAGTAAACTCAAGAATATGCGTAATAACAGGGGAATGGGTAACCTGTTGCTGTTGGTACAAGTTTTGTCTGGTACAATAAAAGTCTGGCGCACCCTTGGCCCTTTGCTGACAATTTTCCTGTGCCATTCTCATTTTTTAGCGCCAATGGCGCATATTTCACCATTGTAGGCGATTCGCTCTCATGCAAAATGGACGCTCTGATTGGCTAATGCCGATAATGGGCGGTTACCGATCACAGGGATTTAATGTTTCAAGCAAATGGGGGATTAGTCTTGCTCAAGTAATCATCGGAAATTAAATTATTCAACTAAAGAAATTGAAAAATTATTCAACTGATGAAATTAAAGTAATCAAACAGTACATAGAAATCACTAATCGTGATATTTTGGATTATAAACCACCTGATTTGCATGCGTTAAATTGAACGCACATATTTTGAAACTGTGCGTCTTTTTCGATTTTTATGCGTATTTTACGCAAGACGCACATCTAGATTAAACACTGACATATTATTAAATTTGTTTTTGGCTTCTTCTATTTTTACAGGAAGCCTTTCTTAAGTGACTGATGATTAAACAAATATAGACATGTAATAGCTTTTGAAACAGAATGAAACGTGTTTTAATATATGAGGTCACTTTCATTGAAACTTGTTCACTCAAAATATTTTGAAAGCTTTTATTTATTGAATGTTTAGGTTAAGGTCAGAAAGAGATGGTCAGTGCCAGGGCAAAAAAAACCTTGGGACCATAGAGATGTTTTTTAATTTTCTTCCAACTTAGTATTTATATATGGTCCAATTTGGGTCAAAAACTAGGTCACCAGGTCAGTCCTGATTGCTTGATGTTTACACTTTTTGTACAGAGTTTGTGATAAACCTTTGCAGTATTGGTGAGACTTAAAATCCCAATAAAAAATAATTGTGGATTTTAACATTTTTCAAGGTCTGATTGTGCGAGTATCAGAGTAATCCATATACAGCCCTAACTTTTGATGTATTTTAACAAAATTTTGTCTTTAATTTAAATTGTGTAGTTTACAACAAACCCTCTTGTAGAGTTACATATTAAATTTGTTTTTGGCTTCTTCTATTTTTACAGGAAGCCTTTCTTAAGTGACCAATGATTAAACAAATATAGACATGTAATAGCTTTTGAAACAGAATGAAAAGTGTTTTAATATATGAGGTCACTTTCATTGAAACTTGTTCACTCAAAATATTTTGAAAGCTTTTATTAATTGAATGTTTAGGTTTAGGGTGCCAGGAAAAAAACGTTGGGTATAGAGATGTTTTTTAATCTTCTTCCACTTGGTATTTATATATGGTCCAATTTGGGTCAAAAACTTAGTCACCAGGTCAGTCTTGATTGATTGAGGTTTAACACACTTTTTGTACAGAGTTTGTGATAAACCTTTACAGTATTGGTGTGACTTAAAAACCCCAATAAAAAAAATGTGGATTTTAACATTTTTGCAAGGTCTTAACTGCGAGTATCAGAGTAATCTGTATACAGCCCTGACTTTTTATATGGATTTTAACAAATTTTTGTAACTGCTTCCGTGGTCGAGGGGTTAAGAGTCGATGACTTCTAATCCAGTTACCTCTCTGGCGTGGGTTCGATCCCCGGGAGATGCTTTGGTAGTTTAGCGCGGAGGAAGGTAGTCTAGTACTGGTGTAACTCTCCAGGAACGATGGTTAGGAAACTACCCGCCTATTTTACTGAAATACTGTTGGAAAAAGGCATAAATTGAAACAAACAAACAAACAGCAAATTTTTGTCTTGAATTTAAATTGTTATCAACATATCCTCTCGTAGAGTTACATATTAAATTTGTTTTTGGCTTCTTCTATTTTCACAGGAAGCCTTTCTTAAGTGACCGATGATTAAACAAATTTAGACATGTAATAGCTTTTGAAACGGAATGAAAAGTGTTTTAATATATGAGGTCACTTTCATTGAAACTTGTTCACTCAAAATATTTTGAAAGCTTTTATTAATTGAATGTTTAGGTTTATGGTCAGTGCCAAGAAAAAAAACGTGACTACAGAGATATTTTTAGTTCACCTGTCATTTGTGACAGGGTGAGCATTTGTGATCGCTTTTCGTCCGGCGTCCGTAAACTTTTACTTTAAATGACATCTCCTCATAAACCACTAAGCCAATTTCATCCAAACTTCACAGGAATGTTCCTTTGGTGAAAGAATTTAATTCCATGCAGAACTCTGGTTGCCATGGCAACCAAGAAAGAACTTTAAATATCTTCTTCTAAAAAACCCAAAGAGCTAGAGCTTAGATATGTGGCATGAAACATCTTCTAGTGAGTGTCTACCAAGTTTGTTCAAATAAATGCGCTGGGGTCAAATTGGCCCCGCCCCAGGGGGTCATTGATTTTCCCTATATGAATATGATAAAAACTTGAAAATCTTCTTTTAAAGAACCCAAAGAGCTAGAGCTAAGATATTTAGCATGAAACATGTTCTAAAAGATGTCTACCAAGTTTGTTCAAATAAGAGCCCTGGGTTTAAAATTGGCCCCGCCCAGGGGGACATTGATTTTCCTTATATGTGTATAACAAAAACTTAAAAATCTTCTTTGAAAAAACTCGAATAGCTAGAGTTTAGATATTAAGCATGAAACATCTTGTAGTAAGTTTACAAAGATTGTTCAAATAAAAGCCCTGGGGTCAAAACTGGCCCTGCCCCAGGGGTGTATGTGTAAAAAAAATCTTTTTAAAAAACCCAACAAGCTAGACCTTAGATGTTTAGCATGAAACATCTTCTAAAGTTTGTTCAAATAAAAGCCCTGGGGTTTAAACTGGCCCCGCTCTGGGGGGGGGGGGCTATATACAGGTAAGCGACTTCAGGGCCAACATGGCCCTCTTGTTTAATCTTCATCCAACTTAGTATTTATATATGGTCCAATTTTTTGGGTCAAAAACTAGGTCACCAGGTCAGTCTTGATTGATTGATGTTTACACTCTTTTTGTACAGAGTTTGTGATAAACCTTTACAGTATTGGTGTGACTTAAAAACCCCAATAAAAATAATTGTGGATTTTAACATTTTTCCAAGGTCTGAACTGCCAGTATCGGTGTAATCTGAATACAACCCTTTTGATATGTATTTTAACAAATTTTTGTCTTGAATGTAAATTGTGAAGTTAACAACATACCCTCTCGTAGAGTTACATACTAAATTTGTTTTTGGCTTCTTCTATTTTTTACAGGAAGCCTTTCCTTTTTTTGACCAATGATTAAACAAATATGGACATGTATTAGCTTTTGAAACAGAATGAAAAATGTTTTAATATATGAGGTCACTTTCATTGAAACTTGTTCACTCAAAATATTTTGAAAGCTTTTATTAATTGAATATTTAGGTTTAGGGTCAGTGCCAGGAAAAAAGACGTTGGGACTATAGAGATGTTTTTTAATCTTCTTCCAACTTAGTATTCATATATGGTCCAATTTTGGTCAAAAACTAGGTCAACAAATTTTTGTCTTGAATTGAAATTGCGAAGTTAACAACATACCCTCTCATAGAGTTACATATTAAATTTGTTTTTGGCTTCTTCTATTTTTACAGGAAGCCTTTCTTAAGTGACCAATGATTAAACAAATATAGACATGAAATAGCTTTTGAAACAGAATGAAAAGTGTTTTAATATATGAGGTCACTTTCATTGAAACTTGTTCACTCAAAAAAATTTGATAGGTTTTATTAATAGAATGTTTATAAATTGCAAATTAAAAGATGCATAATACCAGATTGCTCATCTGTCCAATTGTGTAGGTTTTGTTATATGGGTTAAATTTGTAATTTACAGGAACAGCCCAGTCTGTGGGTTGCCAAGTAGACGGTAAGGCACCACATGATGTTATTGATGAAGTTAATGAAGGTGGATATGATATCCCAGACGTAAGTTTCGTTTTGTATATATTTCTCTGTGCACGTTATTTAATAATAACCGCTGTAACCTTGAGAAAAAAATTATTTGGAGTAATTCTTAATTTCGTGGTCAAGGGTTATGTCTAATATTTTAAAGATAGCCAGCTAAGATGAGGAAAATAAAATTGACTTTCGTTCTTCTGAAAGCTAATGTGGAAATACTTAAAATCTGATTGGCAGGCTAAACTAAGAAAACTGTACATTTCTTATGATTCTTGTTTAATTCTGAAAGAGCAAAGAAAGATTTTAAAGATTGCTAAATTTTCACTATAATTTGATCGTGAATAAGTGTTGAATTTATTTGTGTAAAAGTTTGTCTGTTATGAAGTGATCATGATTAGTCTGACTAGCTCAGTAGCTCTTATGACTTAATCTGCTGGAACTGAAGTGATTAGTCTTTGCCATAGAACCTGGCCAGGCAGCATTGCAAGCTGTATTCTTGGCTGACTTAACTTTAAAATTTTCATTTTGAAAAACCCAAAACTGATGATGGACAACTTTCCAATGCCAGTGATTTTTTTTACAATTTTCAAAACAACCTGTGGCTTTCTGAAGGGGAAATTAAAGCACGATAAATCAGAAAAGGGGGAAAATCAAATTCCAACAAGTGAGAATGGAATTTACCCACACATTTAATAAAATTTTCAATTCGATTTAACATGCATGGTACAAATCAGAGGCTATAGGGACAGCTTTCTGTCTTCTAGCTGATATAATAAGTCAGATGCTGTTGAGTCATGTTTCTGGTGAAAAAGTGCACAGGGCATTTCAGGGGGAAAATATACCTATTTCGAGCTAGAGGAAACAGCCTTTATTTGGCTGTAAAATACAGGGAAAAAATCACTGAATGCTTGAAGCTGGACAAGTCAATTTAAGAAATTCAGCTGGTTAAGGACTGAACATAAAAGCAGTAGCACCAATAGTTGATCTATTCATCATTATGTAGCGTTTTTGCACAGAGCTATATCAAAATAATTTTATAAAGTGAGAAATGCAGTTTGTATTTTCATTAAGCACTAAGGATATTTATGGTGCAGATACTGATTTTTTTATGCAATTGTTAAATATCGGTTATTTAGCATCTGTTAAAAAGAAAGATAAAATGAATTGTTCATGGTCGGAATAGTATTTTCTCATAAAAAAATTATATATATATATATATATATTGTTGTCAATTTCTTGTTAATAATTTCTGGCTGAACAAATATGATGAGAAATATTGACTTTCGTTCTACTGAAAGTTTATGTGGAAACTTAACTCTCTGATTTGTTTCTCTTTGAAATACACTAATTTGTGGCATTGTTTTTATTTGAAGAAATGTGAATGAATCTTAATTCTTCTATTTCAGGAGTAAAGGTCAAGAAAAATGAATTGACTTGTGAAGAGAAAAACAATAATAAAAAAAAAATAACAACTGGTCTTTTTAATCATTTAAAAACCCATAAAGGTAATTTCATTTACAAGATTTCAACACCGAGAAACATGTATGCCAAATCTGTACAATCTATGTCTGTAGCAAGCATATGTAGACCAATATATTTTGTATTGTAGATAAAATTGACATAAATTAATTGTATAAGGTTGCTTGGGCATTATATTTGAGAAAGCAATTAAAATAATTTTATGAAAATGACAAACTTTGCTACCATACTAAATTGGACTTGTGTGCCTAAGCGTTACGAAATACTACAATGACTTGTTAAAAAAAACATTTTTTTAGAAACAAAGGTTTGCCCCAGATATTTACTGGTCAGGTGTTGTAAAACATTTGAAGGAAGCTAGCTAGTGCAATTAGAACGCGCAGAAGTGTTCATCATTAAAACAAACGGCACTTCCTCAAAATCATGCCTGCTTATTTGAATATTCAAAAGCTAAGTTTGTGTCTCCCATTATATCGAGTATAATTTGCAATATAATAAGCATTATTTTACTGTATAAGCAAGCATCAAGTAATCTTCCTTCAAGATAGCCAAGTTGTCTATGGAATGTTCATGGACATTTTACTTTTTGAGTGCTGTCCCAGTCAGTCGTGAACAATCACTAATACAAATATAGTTTACCCGAGATCATAATTGTCTGTCCCGTGAATAATTTTATTAATATAGACTTTTAGGAAAACACAAGTTTCATTGTGTGGAACTACAATGTCTAGAGCTGTAGCATTGCCTTTTTGACCTTTTCAGAATAGATAGGAAACGTGCCCCTTGATTCAATATTGGCCCTGCCCAAGGGGTCACATCTTTTTTGTGATTTACCCTTTTCCGTCCGTCTGTTCTCGTTCTGTATCGCACATAGCTCAATAAGGATTGGACCAAGTCATGAAACTTCACAGGAATGTTGCTCAGGATATGAACTTGTGCACCTGGGATTTTGCATGTGGATTTTTTTCTGTTTTAGTTATTACCCTTGACTTAGCAGTCTGCACGAAAAACATTTTATGGTCAGTCATTCGGGCTTGTCCATCGAAATATATAGCCAAACCAATTTTAACTAGCCGAAAAATTCAATTCTAACAGAAGTTTGGATTTACTTAAATCTTGAGAATATAATGCAAAGTGATCTCAATTTATTTCTGATATTCTTAGACAGGGTATACAGTAGATGAATTCAAAACTAAATGGTCGAATGATTTCATTTAGCTTACCTCTCTGGCGTTGTAGCTTACTCCAACGGGCGTAAATGATGCTATTTATAATTTTGGAAAATTTCATGCCAATACCTTGAAAAAATCTGTGTTTCCCTCAGTCATTGCATATATATTTTTTTCAGATCTCAAAACATTGTTAGTCTGTCGGACCACGCTCCCTACATTTAATGCTAGCCTGAATGGGATTTTCCTTGACTCTGGGCTTTGCCTTTTTTTCGCAGACTGTTTAGTGTAAATTTGCAATTTTCAAATTGTTCATGCATAGCTCAAAAAGTATTTGATCTATAGGCCTGAAAAATTACAAGAATGTTGGTCAGCATGTGAACTTATGCACCTTGGGATTTGCTTGTGGATTTTTTCAGTATTTGTAAATTTCTTGCCCTTAACTTTTGACACATATAGCCTAAAAAATATTTGACCAAGAGTCATAAGATTGATGAAACAGTGGCGTGTGGGGGCGCCCGTTACTTATGGACAAATTACTAGTTATCCCCCCTAAAACGAAGTTTGGGGGGGGGGGGTATATAGGAGTCACCCGGTGGTCGGGCGGTTGGTCGGTCCAGACGTCCGTTGCATTTTTCTTGTCCGGAGCATAACTTGAAAACTAATGGTTGGAATTCAATATAACTACATACAATGGTCAAGCACATTGAGAGGAAGTGCAGTGCACAAGAACCATAACTCTATCTTGACTAATTACAGAGTTATTGCCCTTTGTTACTTTTCCTTGTCCAGGGCATAACTTGAAAACTACTGGTTGGAATTCAAAACAACTTCATACAATTGTCAAACACAATAAGGGGAAGTGCAGTGCACAAGAACCATAACTCTATCTAATGTAATTACAGAGTTATTGACCTTTGTTACTTTTCCATTGCTTTTTTTTTGTCCGTTGCATTTTCCTTGTCCGGAGCATAACTTGAAGACTAATGGTTGGAATTCAATATAACTACATACAATGATCAAGCACATTGAGAGGAAGTGCAGTGCGTAAGAAACATAACTCTATCTAAAGTAATTACAGAGTTATTGCCCTTTGTTACTTTTCCTTGTCCATGGCATAACTTTAAAACTACTGGTTGGAATTCATAACAACTTCATACAATTGTCAAACACAATAAGGGGAAGTGCAGTGCACAAGAACCATAACTCTATCTAAAGTAATTACAGAGTTATTGCCCTTTGTTGCTTTTCAATTGCCTTCTTTTTTTTGTCCGGAGCATTACTTGAAGACTAATGGTTGGAATTCAATATAACTACATACAATGGTCAAGCACATTGAGAGGAAGTGCAGTGCATAAGAACCATAACTATTTAAAGTAATTACAGAGTTATTGCCCTTTATTACTTTTCCATTGCTTTCTTTTGTCCGGACCATAACTTGAAGACTTATGGTTGGAATTCAGTATAACTTCATACAATGGTCTAGCACATTGAGAGGAAGTGCAGTGCATAAGAACCATAACTCCATCTTGACTAATTACAGAGTTACTGCCCTTTGTTACTTTTTCTTGTCCAGAGCATGACTTGAAAACTACTGGTTGGAATTCAAAAGAACTTCATACAATGGTCAAGCACAATAAGGGGAAGTGCAGTGCACAAGAACCATAACTCCATCTTGACTAATTACAGAGTTATTGCCCTTTGTTACTTTTCCTTGTCCAGAGCATAACTTGAAAACTACTGTTTGGAATTCAGTACAACTTCATACAGTTGTCAAGGACATTCAAAGGAAGTGCAGTGCACAAGAGCCATAACTCCATTTTGACAAAATACAGAGTTACTGCCCTTTGATACTTTTCCTTGTCCGGAGCATAACTTAAAACGTACTGGTTGGAATTCAAAACAACTTCATACAATGGTCAAGCACAATAAGAGGAAGTGCAGTGCACAAGAACTATAACTCTATCTTCAGTATTTATAGAGTTATTGCCCTTTGTTCTTTTTCTTTCTGGACTTATTACAGAGTAATTCAATTAAACTTCATCAATGGCCAACCACATTGAAAGGAAATGCAACATACATGAACCACAATTATAACTCTGTTTCAATTCTTTTACAAGGTATTCTGTTACTAGTAACATCCTCATTTCCGAAGCAGACTTGTGGGGGTATTAATCACATTTAGTGATAGTTCTAGTTTTGGTTAGGTTTTATGTTGCAATAATACTGTATAAATCACATGGTAATTTTACTGGTGGAGGAAGACCTCAAGATGCCTCTGTACTTATTTCTGCCACAAACGAACCGTGTAGAACCACTGGCGTTTAGCTACCTAGCTTTCTCGCAAAGAAAACGCTGGCGTGGCTTAAACCTACAGCTGTGAGAGGCAAGTGGTTTGAAGTAAACAACCATTACCACTTGGTATATAGATGCCCCATTAATATATAATGTTTTTATGCTCCCCGAAAAATATGGGGGGCATATAGTCAGCGCCTTGTCCGTCCGTTGTCTTGTCCGGAGCATAACTTGAAAACCCTTGGAGATAATTTGTTGAAACTTCATACAGTGGTAGAGGGCATTGAGGGGGAGTGCAGTGTCAAAGAACCATAACTCTATTTTGCCCGGTTTTTGAATTATCTTACCTTATAGAAAAATCTTGTCCGGGGCACAACTCTAAAACTATAAGATATCAACATGAAACTTTGTAGGTGAATAGATCTCAATTGGTAGATGTGCAGTGCATAAGAACAATAACTCTCTTTATCCTAATTTTGGAGTTATAGCCCTTTGTTAATTTTAACACTTTGAACTTTGTCTGGAACATAACTCTAAAACTGTAAGAGATAACAAGATGAAACATTGTAGGTAGATAGATCTCATTGAGTAGAGGTGCAGTGTAAAAGAACCATAACTCTGTTAAGCCTCATTTTTGAATTACCTCCCCTTTTAGAAAAATCTTATCCAGGACATTGCTGTAAAAGTATAAGAGATATCAACATGAAACTTTGAAGGTAGATATATCTCAATGGGTAGATGAGCAGTGCACAAGAATCATAACTCTGCCTTGCCTAATTCTGGAGTTATTTCCCTTTGTTTATTTTTACTTTTTGAAGTTGTCCGGGACATAACTCGGAAATCATCAGAGATATCATCAAGAAACTTTGTAGGTTGATCACATTGATTAGAAGTGCAGTGCAAAGAACAGAAACTCTGCCTTGCCTAATTTTGGAATTATTGCACTATGAACTTTTTCCAGGGACATAACTCTGAAACTACAAGAGGTGTACAGTCTAACTTGCCCATGCGACCACGTGTATTAAGCGACTTTTGTCTTAAACGACCACTTTAAATTCCCCCCGATCATTTTCTCTCTATATCTTTAATGTATTAAGCGACTTTTGCTCAACGCGACCAGCGACCGCTAATTAGTCACCTAATTGACATCAATCTTTTCATTAAACGACCACTTTTACCTGTCAAGTAATTGTGTTTTTAGAGAACGCCACCTCGTTATGTCACAAGTGTCAACAATCAAAACACAACAATAAACGTGTGAAAAACTCTATTTCCCATACCGTTTTAGCGTATGCAAATGAATTTAAGTATACGCGTGACGTGTATTATCCAATAATATCGGATAAACAATGCAACACTTTCCTGTGTCCAAAACCTATTCGGGGAGCATCACCCGGCTCAAATCGGGCTCTTGTTGATTTATAATTTGACAAAGCAATACTGATGATAACACGGATCTGCTGAACAATTTTGAGTATAACCTTGATCTTTAAATATACAGGAAAATATTGGGTATAAAATGATAAACACCTTGAAAATTATGACAACATTTTATTAAAGAATTAAAACGTTCAGTTTTTATCAACAATAGAACAACAGTATGTAAAAGAAAACAATTTAATAAACAAGAGCTGTCACAGGAGACAGCGAAGCTCGACTAATAAAATACTGGACGCAGTAAGGAGGACAAAACAATGAAAGAAAAATCAATTATGTATAATTATGTATTAAGTTATAGTAAAAAAATAACATTTGTTAACATTAATTCCAAGATCAAGGAGAATAATTCTAGAAATAGTAATGCTAGAGTTATGGACCTTGTCACACAACATTTGTGTAATGATAAGAAATATATATTTGAAGTTTGAAGTAGATACCTTAAAAAGTAAAGAAGTTATTATATTTCTTAAAGAAAATCCTAAGTTCAAAGAGAGTTAAATCTGTAAATATTGCTTCAAGAGTTATGAACATTGTCACATAAAATGTATTTGATGATTAGGAATAAGTATTTGAAGTTTGAGGTAGATACCTTTAAAAATAAAAAAGTTATAATAAAAAATAACATTTTTCTAGTAAAAAAATCTAAGTTTATGGGGAGATAATTCTTGCAATATTGGTGCTAGAGTTATGAACCTTGTCACATAAGATGTGGATGATGATAACGTAAATATATTTGAAGTATGAAGTTGATCCCTTTAGAAATAAATAAGAAACAGTAAAAAAAAAAAAAAAAATTATGGAAAAATCTAAGTTCAAAGGGAGATAAATCTGAAAATATTGGTGCTAGAGTTATGAACCTTGCCACATAAGATGGGGAGGATGATAACGTAAATATATTTGAAGTATGAGGTTGATCCCTTAAGAAATAAAGAAGAAACAGTAAGAAATAGCATTTTTTTAGGAAAATTCTAAGTTCAAGGGGAGATAAATCTGAAAATATTGGTGCTAGAGTTATGAACCTTGTCACATAAGATGTGGATGATGATAAGGTACATACATTTGAAGTATGAGGTTGATCCCTTAAGAAATAAAGAAGTAACAGTAAAAAATAGTATTTTTTAAGGAAAATTCTAAGTTCAAGGGGAGATAAATCTGAAAATATTGGTGCTAGAGTTATGAACCTTGTCACATAAGATGTGGTTGATGAGAAGGAACATATATTTGAAGTTTGAAGTTGATACCTTAAGAAATGACAAAGTTATAGTGAAAAATATTTTACTGCACCAAAACTTTAATCTAAAATCTGGACGCGGACGCCGACGCTGGGGCGAGTAGGACAGCTCTCCATATACTTCGTATAGTCGAGCTAAAAATAAATATCATGCTAATGTTCAATCTACACAAACTTAAATAAATGAAAGCTGTTGGATAATTTTAAACAATTTCATACAAACAAAGGGACCATTGGCCCTAAATTGCCCATCCAAGACATATTAGTAATGATATAACATGCTTCAAGCTTTTGTGAAATAAATTCTGATCAATAAAATTTACAGAGTGTTAAACTTTATGTATCATAAATGCAGCAGCAACTAAAAGATATACAGTCCATGTAGGCAATAGTGTTTCGGAGAAGATAATATTAACATAAACATGTATTTCGAGAAAATAAGACCACATGATGCCTTGTAGAATCTGATAAGATTTTAAAAATTGCATTTCTAAACTCCTTTTGGCACCAAGGTATTCTTAAGCAACCAGGTAATACAATTTAAATAACTGGTAGGGGACTGACCAAGGATTTCTTGTGTTTAGTTTGGTCAAAATCCAGACATACATTTCAGAAGAGATGATTTTTATGTACAACATATGACAATTTGATTAATCTCAAAAGCATGCTTTTTCCCTGTAAAATCATTGGAAAAAAAATGTTCAAATAGATATCAACTTGGTGCTGGAAAGAGCCTGTCATTAAAACTGATGTAAGCCTACAACAGTTCCTTATTTCTTTTGTCTACATTGATTAAAACTTGTAATAACTAAAAGAAAAAATTATCTTCAAGCATTAAATATGCAGTTAGATACAGAATACTTGACAAAATGGAGATCATCCGAAAATAATGAATTATGTTAACACTTTTTACAAAAGACATTAAATTAACATATCTTAAAAATAAGATCATTTTTCTACCTATATGATACAGTTCATTTTAAAAAAAAACATCTGATGAAGTATCAAAAACAGAAAGAGAAAATCAAGCTTACGAGGGGTATTCCAAAAATTCGTGGCCTTTTTAAATATTTATTGAACGTCAATGTGTATTGTAATGAAACTTTATCAGCATACCTTGTAGAATATTATCAACTTGTTTTGAAAGGAACAGTTAACTGCGTCAATGAATATTGATTTTATATTGCTTTTAAATAAGCACATGCACAGCACCCCATGCACGGTAGAAAAGTGCAGTTAGTCATTGTACATTTTTGGTTACATAACTACTTATTAATGTAGAAAACCCGATAAACATCGCATGTTTCTTCTATGATGTCACTTAAGTCATTCTTTATAGAATTATGGACGTCATTTCTGTTAATTTTTTGTTGAAATTGCCAGAAACGCCAGACAACAATATTGTTTACAACGGGAAAATGACAGACACGCAGAAATTAGAAAATAGCGTGATCATAAAATTTTGTTGTAATTTGAAAATGACATCTACAAAAACATTTGAAAAGAATCAGCAGGAAAACAGAGAAAATAAAATTTCACGGTAATTAGTGTGTAAGTTGCATAAAAATTAGTGATGGACATTACTTTGAGAAGGGTTAACTGTTATTGACTGCGTAATGTTGAAGCATAAGTTGTACGTTAAATATGTTGACGTCAATAACTTTTTGGAGTGAGCCGCTGTCGCCGACATGTGTTTATGTAAAATTGAATATTGCTGTAATATAAAGATACTTACATGAATTTTTCTGTGTTTATTTGTTATTTATTTTTCTAAGCACTGTAAGAATTTCAAATCAATACCTTAAATATATTTTACGCAACAAAGAAAGTCCACAAATTTTTGGATAACCCCTCGTAATGTCAATATACATACTACATACCCTCTCCAAATACATCCTTATGATCAAAATAACTGGTCAGCCAAATAACGCATCAATAAATCTACATAACAAACAAAACCTACTGAACACAAACCTTAGAAATAATTTTTAAAAAATGTATAAAAAGGTTCCTAAACATTAACAACACTTGTGCCTGAATGGCGTAACAAACTTTGAACATAACTACTGTACAACTATCTTAAACACACAACAAGATATCTAAAAGGGGACACAACTCTATCTACTTTTCTTCTGTTTCAAGCGACACTCGGCCATGGTTATAGCAATCCATTTACACAGATCAGCTGATACGGACTTTGGGAATAGACACACCTCATTGTGTATTGATGACACAGCCTGTAGCTCAACCGGGTCACCTTTGTTTGTAAGATTAACAGAACAGTAACGGCCTAGTCTGCAATCATTCCCGGCCTCGTGAAACTGAATTGAACGCTTTGTTTTCTGAAGAAAAAATAAAATATAATGACAAAAATATTAAACATCATAAAAATTGATCTTTCAATCATTTTTCATTCCATTTGTTTCAATCACAATACAACAACAAATTAGGAAAAGACTTCAATAAACATTAGCTTGCATCCAGTCTTAACCCCACCCTTTTTTGTATTGATTGTATATGTCATGCATGTAACTATGTTCTTATGTGTTTAAACCAACCAGAAATTATTTAGAATATATATAGTTTAGACACTGTATCATATAATAGGGTTACTATAGAAGTATGTTGATCTGGAATTTGTAATTTACTTGAACAGATTTTACTAAGCTATAATCTCATAAGGTGCGAGAGAGGTGAGTGTTATGAAGTACTAGTATATGATTAAGCTTCTCCTATAATGGCTCATTTTATACTTATACTTCAATTTATATTAAACTTTTAATGAAACTTACTACATATTCAACCATAATGTAATTGGCATATAACCTCCACATGGTTGTTCAGGACCACACCCAAATTTGGATGCATATTTTTTTTTCACTCTGGTTGTATATGTGCATGTGTTACATGCATTAGATTTAGAAAAATATGAGCAGTTATAGAACAAGTATTAAAACCTAATGCCCACTATGCTAAACTTGCATAAGGGACTTGTACTCAGAATATGGAAATGTCAATGTGATGGATTTGATGTCTCAGCTCCTTCAAAAAGTCAAGTAAATATCACTGCACGGACATTAATGGTTAAAATCTTATTGAGCCAAAGGGACTTAAACCAATTATTCTAAGCCATAATAATACGTGTATTGTCACCGCAATCTTTAAAACTTGACCTACTAAATTTCCTAAGGTCACTATCAATTTTGGGGATGAAGATGAAAATGTTAAAGCATCGTGTCAAAATATTTCAAGAAAATCAAACTTGAGAAAAATGTACTTAGTTTTTTAGAAAAGTAAAAAGATTCAAGTAATAATTAACATTTAATGTGCTATTAATGACTGATTTTTCAGCACTCATTACCATATGTCTACTGTGTTACTAAAATACTTACTGAAACATTTTAAGCGAAAAAGATTCTAATTCAATGGCAGGTAACTCAAAACTGAGACCGGTGACACCAAACTTCTTTTCGCTTAAAACATTTCTGTCATCATATTCTAACAACATGCCAAGCTTAAAGAAATTCTATAGAAAAGTTAAAAAATTTCTTGAAAACTCCTGAAAACCTCCTTAACTGCTTTGTCATGCTTTTCCATAAGAGTTCAAATGACAAGAGATTAAATGAGCTGCGCCATGACAAAACCAACATAATGGGTTTGCGACCAGCATGGATCCAGACCAGCCTGCGCTTACAAACCCTTTAACAAGTAGAGAAACTGATAGCGAACAACATGGATCCTGATCAGACTGCGCGGATGCGCAGGCTGGTCTGGATCCATGCTGGTCGCAAACCCATTATGTTGGTTTTGTCGTGACACGGCTCAAATAATAAGACTCACGTCTTTCTTCAGGTCTTTAGTTAACGCTGTGTCAGTGCTGTCTACAGCGTACACTTGTCCGGTAGGATCACTATTGTCTATAGTCCTACATATCTCATCTAGCAACACCTCCTGAACAAAAAGAAAAAGTTGTTATGACTGAGACACCTAGTCATCTACATGTATTTTCATAACTCTAGGTACAATCTCTGAGAATTGATTATTTGGCTTTGTGATCTAGAGCATTGCTAATATTGCCAGCGGGAGGTTGCGAGTTCAAATCCCAGCCGTAGCGAGACCTTTTCTGATGCATTTGCATCTTTTTGTTAGGAACTTAAAATGTTCATAAGAACATGATAATAAATACATTGGATATTTCTCAACTTAATCAAGCATTATAATCTTGGTAATAACAAAATTACACAAATGACTTACATGTAAATGGTGCTTATTGACATGCTTTACTCATGTACTGCAAAATATCAGATATTTATTTGTTGAAACTATCTTAAATCATATGCCCACCAAATCAGAGATTAATCTGATGCATTTTCATCATACATGTGTATGGTAATATTTCTTTTGATTTATAAATCATGCCAGATATCTAAAGTAACACATTTATCAATGAACTTCTGGAATTGTTAAAAAGCATGTTGATATAAGTGCTACTCTGATATTTTTCACGAAGCCTACACAAAAGATCTCTTTGATATAAAATTTTTTGAAGCAGGCAAGTGTAAAATTCAACATTTTTTTTTTGGATCCAAGGAATAATTGGTAAAATTTCACTTCTATAAACAAGGTGTAATTTTAAAATTACTGGTGTCTAATATATTTTCTGACATAACACCAGAAGCTTTCAAATGAAAGTGTTCCGATAAAACTATATGTTTATTCTATGGTATTGTAAAACATTAAAACAATAACTAAATGTGATAAATAATTGACTAGCTTTAACCCTGCTAAATTCTTTAAATGAATCTTACCCAGATTCCCTTTTTATGGGGATACATGTTCATGACCAATTTTAGGCATATCAGGATCAAAATTTAGTCAGTCAACAGTGTAGAGCCTGGTCAGACTGCACAGATGTACAGGCTGGCCTGGCTCTATACTGGTGGCTAAGGCCCCCACAGTTACACGTTTAAACGGATTTGTTTCGATTTTCAGTCGTAAACGTTTACGATAATTTTTACCGTTTAATCGAAATGACCATATTGTCTTACAAAATATCTTAATCAATGCCTGTAATCATGAATTCTATCAATTGTAATTGGTTTATTCCAAAGTAAAATACAGAAAATAGGTATTTACAACCCTCCACACAGCATTACCGTGCAATAATCGCTCATGACATAATACATTTTTGGAAAAGTTGGTTTTCCTTTGATCTTTCAAAAGACCGAAATGAGGATACAATGCAGAAAATGTGTGCCAACACAATCGTGATGAGCCCTGAACATTATCATTTGTACTTGCGTTAAAATAGAAAGTAAGTCATCATCTGGCGATTTAAATACAGTAAACTCCGCTTATAACGAACTCATTGGGACATTCAAAATCTGTTCGTTATATCCGGAGTTCCTTGTTAGCATATAGCGAATTAGTTCCTTGTATCAGAAGTTTTATAGCGAACAGTTTAACATATAACAAACTAATTGTTTACCATCGTCCTCCATTTTGAAGAACATTTGTTTCAGAGAAATAACTTTTTGGTTCATCAAAAAGGAATAATTGCAATGTTGTTTCTTTTTAATATAATTTTTATGTATAAATATATCTATAAGATAATTATATGATATGTACCATATATGTAATATTGTTATTTATTAACAATACAGTATCATGCATAAAAATAATCACTTTGCTTTGAAGAAGTCGCTAATTTTAGTTTGGGAATGTTTACAACTCTTCAGGTTAAATTCAATATCCAATAAAATTTTAAAAACTTTTTCTTCAACATGTGCATTAGACTCGAAGTATGACCTAATCTTGTGCAAACAATCAATGGCTTCATTTTTTGACACAACAGGCAGATCATCTAAATAGATCTCGTCTTCTATAATTGACTGTCATCGTCATTATTTGTTCCTTATATATCCGCTACATTCGGCCAAGTTTTAATCTGTGCCGATAAAAGCGAAAGTAGAAAATGCGTGATCTGTTTACGGATAGCCGATATTTTCGAGTTCGTTATAAAAGTGTAATTTTCTGTACTTTTTATGGCATTGGGACTAAAAAATGAGTTCCTTATAAGCGATAATTCCTTATAACCATGTTCCCTGTAACCGTAATTTTTTACATTAAATAAAGAAGGGTAAAATTCGGCTAAAAAATTTTGTTCCTTATAACCAGAAGTTTGCTATAACCATGTTCGCTATATGTGAAGTTTACTGTACATGGTGTAGTATAGCACATAGAAGCACCACCGTTTAAACGGTATCGTTTAGGTTCTAAGCAATCATGCAAATGTTTACAAAAAATTGTAAACGTGGGAGCCTTACTGGTGGCATAGGCTTATCACTTTTAGGTTTAAGTAGCTAAAGGGTTAAAATTTATTAAACTATGTTACCACTGAAGCATTGGACTCTGGTACAAGGTCTTTGGTTTTAATCACTGTAAGACTGTAATTCCCAATCTGTATCTCATCCAAGTCACTTTGATCTGATCATATACGGTATATATGAAACAAAAAACATAATTACATCATAATCATTGCAGAGAGAAAATTATTCATGATCTGACATTCATGTTCTATTAATATTCGTGCTAACAAGCAGTTTTTATTCAAAGAAATAAATTGTTTAACATGTACCTTTTCTCAACATAGCCTTAAATGGAAATGTTACTTATAATGCCTTAATGGGCATGCCATTGTATGTAGATTTTAGAAATATCAACTGTTATTGAAAGGGGTTACAATACCAACTACAAGGGTTTTTATCACAAAAGCATATGCTTCCCACAACTAGGTATGGTACTGATCACTCATGTGAAGTTTGGTTTAAATCTTGCATGAAAGTTGGACAGGATTTTTCTATTTAGTCGTTTTGTGCTGCCAAGCGGAGTGTGTCTACAATATGCACAACATGGAATGGTACCGATCACTCCTGTGACATTAAATTGAATTCCAGCCAGTAGTATGACCTGTGAAAGGCACACAGCCGGACAAGTTTTTTCTATTTACAGCTCTGGTGGCCATTTTGTGCAGTGAAGAGGAACGTGCCGGTGATATGCACAACGAGGGAAGGCAATGATCACTCCTGTAAAGTTTCAAGTTTGGTTGAAATGCCCCAGGTGTTTGACCCCTGAAAGTCGGACAAACTTAATGTGGATGGATGGACGGCAAAGGCAAAAAAAATATGTCTTCCGAAATTTTGGGAAACATAAATAACAAGATTGCATTTGAGAAAAATGCTATCATTGCTATGCCACCGCATTAATACAACACTAAATAGTAGTGTAGGAACATATTTTTTTTTGTTTCTATACAATTGAAGTTTGTCATAATGCATAGATCCCTGACCTATCTAATTCTTATTATCAGATTAGTGATTAAATCTATTGTTAATCAAATAAAAGATCAGAGCAGGAATATATCATTGCACTTGAGTTTAGTGAATTTGGTGGTGAAGGTCATATTTCACGCAGCCTAAATTTCATGACTACATCAAAGGACAACACAGTAAGACACTTTGTCAAAATCTAGGTAAGCTGATATCAAAGTCCACTTTACATCTTAATCTGTGCACATGGTTCAAATTTCATAGCTGTAGATCAAAGCACAGTAGGTCACATTATCAAAATCTAGGTCACCTGATATCAAAGTTCAATTTTACAACTAAAACTGTGCACATGGTCAAAATTTCATTGCTGTACATCAAAGGACAAGAAAGCAGGTCACTGTCCCCTTGGTCAAGGCAAAATTTTGACCCAAGGGTTTAATTCAAAACAATCTTGATACAGGTCCACCAAACAACATTTCAAGTCAAATATCTAAGCTGAAGCTTTCTCCCATTCAGAAAACATTTGTTTTATTTTCTGTTTTTACTATGTGTACATAATGAGAATCATGCCCCCGGGCAGGGCCAGTTTTGACACCAGGGGAAAAATTTGAATATCTTTGGTAGAGGACCTATAGATGATATTATATAGCAAACAAGAAAGCTCTATGCCTTGTACCTTCAGACAAAAATAATTTTTATTTTTTTTAATAGATATACATAATGTAAATCAATGACCCCCGGGGCAGAACCAATTTTGACCCCAGGGCTAAAATTTGAACAATCTTGGTAGAGGTTCACTTCGCAAAGTCTCATGCCATATATTTAAACTCTAGCCTTTGTCAATTCAGAGAAGAAGATTTTTCAAGTTTTTACTTTACTTTATACATATAAAGAAATCTAGTGCCTCTGGGGCAGGGCAATTTCAACACTAGGGGCATAATTAAAACAACTTTAGTAGAGGACCCAAATGATATTATATACCAAATATCAAAGCTTTAAGCCTTGTACCTTCAGATAAGAAGATTTTTTAATTTTTTACTCTTTGTTCATAGTGAAAATCAATGACCCCTAGGGATGGGGCCAATTTTGACCCCAGGGCTATAATTTGAACAATCTTGCTAGAGCTTCACTACACAATGTTTCATGCAAAATATCTTACCTCTAGCATTTGTCAATTACTAGAAGATTTTTTTAAAAGTTTTTACTGTAAGTTTTTACTATATACATATAAGGATAACCAATGACCCCCGGGGCGGGGTCGATTTTGACCCCAGAGCTATAATTTGAACAATCTGGGTAGAGGTCTACCAGACAATACCTTATGCAAAATATCTAAGCTCTAGGCCTTTTGGGTCCTTATAAGAAGGTATTTTAAGTTTTAACTATATGTACATATAGTGAAAATCAATGACCCCTGGGGCGGGGCCGATTTTGACCCCAGGGCTATAATTTGAACAATCTTGGTAAGGGTCTACCAGACAATGCCTTATGCAAAATATCTAAGCTCTAGCCCTTTTGGGTCTTTACAAGAAGGTATTTTAAGTTTTTACTATATGTACATACAGTGAAAATCAATGACCCCCGGGGCGGGGCCCATTTTGACCCCAGGGCTATAATTTGAACAATCTGGGAAGAGGGCTACTAGACAATGCCTTATGCAAAATATCTAAGCTCTAGGCCTTTTGGGTCTTTACAAGAAGGTATTTTTAGTTTTTACTATATGTACATATAGTGAAAATCAATGACCCCCGGGGCGGGCCGATTTTGACCCCAGGGCTATAATTTGAACAATCTTGGTAGAGGTCTACCAGACAACGCCTTATGCAAAATATCTAAGCTCTAGGCCTTTTGGATCTTTACAAGAAGATTTTTTTAATTTATTCTTATAATTCCTTTCGGTTGCCATGGCAACCAGATTTCTGCATGGAATGAAATTCTTTGAACAACTTTGGAAGCCCTTCACCCAAGGATCAATCCTGCCAAGTTTTGTTTAAATTGGACTAGTGGTTTTTCACAAGAAGATTTTTTAAGTTTACTATATAATCTATATAACACACACACACAAACACACACACAGGTGAATCGCTATATGCCACCGCATCGCAGATGCTGCGGTGGCATAAAAATTTGTCAATTGACATGACCTCACATTCCTATGCTTTGTCAGTCTATGGACAAACAGAGACATGCTATCTCCTACATAGAGGGGCGGGGGCATAAAAAGCTTTATTGGAACACCAGATAGAAAAGATTCTTGTCACAACAACACAGAAGGCTAGTTTACCTCTATACTGGTGGCAAAAGTAAGTTAAGCCAACTTGGAAACATTGATTACCATTTACCTGCTGAAACCTAAAATGATTAGCCTTTGCCCCAGTATAGAGCCAGGCCAGCCTGAATAGTCCTTGTGCTAAGAGGTAGTACATAATATTGAATAATCATCCAAAATCTTAGACATCTTCACTTACCAAATCCAAAGATGACGACAGATTCTGGTATACATGTAGACTGGAAGTTAAACTGCGTGAAGAAATCACAGACTTTAGACCAGATCACTTGAGGCATACCACAAGACACATCTACGGTGACGACTTTATCTTTACTTGTGAAGTAGTCCATAAAATGTTTAATACTGTTTTGGTAAAGAATGACTCTTTTCTGGATAAAATAAAATAATTAATTAGGTCATTAAAAGTGATACACTGCCTTGAAGCAAAAATGCTAAGCTGCAAAGATAATGGCTAAGATCAATTAATCACAGCTTTACTGAGAGAAATATTATTCATCAGATTAAAAAAAGCAATATTAAATTGAAAAATAACGAATCATTCCAGTAGACATAGTTAAGCCTACATTAATCACTGTATTCAAGAAAGAGAGGTTTTGCCCAGTAAATGATACCTGAATTATACAGGAATATTTTACAACAAAAATTGTAATAGAATTCTCTACACTGAACTTATTTTTTTTTCACATTATAATCTACTGACGTAAAAATATTTAAATTACAAGTACATAGAGATAATGTAACTACAAAGCTGCAGTAATCCTCCTTTTCTAAAAACTTTTAAAGCTATGTGATATGTCTCCACAACATCATAGCCATATACATGTATGTCATATTAGAGAAATTAATTTTAAAATAGCAACATCTATCTTAAATGCTTTCAATGGAAAAAATATAAAACAAGTATAAGAGCTTAACATTTTCCAAAGATTACCAAACATTTTCGAAAAATTAACAGCTATAAATCTTTTAAATGATTACTAATTACTTTTTCCTATTTAGAATAGGTTAGATTTGACTTTTTTATGCCAACAGTGCTGTTCTGTTTCCAACATACAAAATAGCAAACTTGGTGGATTTTGAATTTATAATATTCTTGGTAAGAACATTTTCAGTTTAGTTTGAACATCAAATTCCTTCGTATAATTATCAAGCTTAAATGAATTCCAGTGATTTTTTTCCCTGTATTTTACAGCCGAATAAAAGCTGTTTCCCGTAGCTCAAAATAGGTATATTTTCCCCTAAAAAAGCATATATTTTCCCCTGTAATGCCCTGTGCACTTTTTCACCAGAACCATTTCTTAATAGCATCTGACTTATTATATCAGCTAGAAGACAGAAAGCTGTCCCTATAGCCTCTGCTATGTACCATGCATGTTAAACTGAATTGTCAAAATTAAAATTTTTATTAAATGTGTAGGTAAATTCCATTCTCAGTTGTTGGAATTTGATTTTCCCCTATTCTGATATATTGCGCTATATTTTCTCCTTCAGAAAGCCACAGGTTGCTTTGAAAATGATAAAACTTGAGATAAATTTCTAAACAATCATGCTGAAAGAAAAGTATTCACAATCAAGCTTAAATAAATTTCTTTATATAATAAAGCTTAAATAATCAATCTTTAAATAAGAAAATTCCTCACAATCAAGTTGATAGGAAATCAAAATCAAACTGAAATAAATTTCTTCAAGAATGAACTTGAAAAAAAAATCCTTTATAATCAAACTGATCAAATTCTTAATAGTAAAGCTTTAAAAAAATACTACATAGATTAAGCTTGAAAAATATCTTTACAACTGAGCTTAAATAAATAATGTTTAAACTAGGATTTAATACCTGTGTCCTGCTAGAGTCTGCTTCATCGGACTGTTTGGGAGCATCTGGTTTTTTAGGATCTTTTTGTGTGGTTGGATGTTTGGCACATTCTACTTGCAGTTTGTTTATCACTTTCTCTTTAGGTACAACAAAATGAATTGCAAACGAAATCGGAAACTGAAAACACAAGAATTTCACAAGGCTAAAGAAATATGCTGTATTAATATATTTCATAATTAAAGCAGAAATTTCACATTAACCAAGTAGTAAAGGACATAATCTAGACCTCTTCATCAAAATCAGCTTAGATATGATAAATGCAGTATTATATTTATTTGTCACACTCAAACAAATATTAATTAATTATTTAGTTAAAATATGTTATTAATTCAGTTAAAAATTAATTTTTTCTGTCATATATCAAGTTAGGCACTTAAAAGTGAAAAATCTGCATTATATACTCAGAATTAACTGGAAAATCGTTTTTTGCATTGCAATGCTTTTCATTTTTGGGTCATTTTGCAAAATTGAATGATGATTCTGGAAAAAACAGGGTGAGGGAATAATCTGAAAAATCATTCCATAAGCATTTTTTGGGGTATTCAGGATGAAAATAAGATGCTTGTCAGTTACAGGTTAGAGCCTGGTCATACTGTGTACTGTGAGCTAACTACATTTGGTTCCAGCTGGGCATAAATCAATGACTGTACAAACTTCAGTATTTTCTCCTCACTTCCCCTCAGTAAGTGCACATCATAATCATTGAGAAGGCACAAGGCATCAACAGATGACTGAAGATCAAATGCAACATGTAAGACAGCAAGTTTGCATGTTTTCTACAGCAAGGGGTAACTTTTAAGGCCTGACTTAGTCTGCATGAAGTAAGCTGCCAGTGATGACTAATGCTGAGGAGAGTGTCTCTACAAAGTAGGATGAGGAGGAACAAGTTTGTTTGTTTATTTCAATTTACGCCTTTTCCCAACAGTATTTCAGTCATATAGGTGGGTAGTTTCCTAACCATCGTTCCTGGAGAGTTACACCAGTACTAGACTACCTTCCTCCTCGCTAAACTACCAAAGCATCTCCTGGGATCAAACCCATGCCAGAAAGGTAACTGGATTAGAAGTCATCGACTCTAACCCCTCGACCACGGAGGCGGTACAGGAAAGTGTGCTATAATATGTGAGCATCTAGCACAGCAGATGACAGCTTGAAAGGCAAGCCCTTTGCTTGGCACCAACAGCCGTTTTCAGGGTGATCTCCCTCTCACACTTAGATTCTCATGTAATACCATATAGTGACCTACTTTTGGCCAAAAATTCTTATCTTTGGCTTAAATACTCCGTGAAAAATAACATGGAGGTAATTTCTTCAAAATTTACCCTATAAGGGCATGACTGTACTAAGGCCAGTAACTCTTGAATGTTTAAATGTATCACCTGAAAACTTGTTCCATCCATATTTCATTTTAGTTGAAATAATAATTACAAAAACAGCTGTTCTATTGTAAATAACTAAATTATACATGTATCATATCAAATAAACCTACTTTTATTCTTTGATTTTTATCATTGTGAACTATTTCTTTTCCATCACTGATTACATTGTGCTTTTTAATGCTTCACAAATATGTTTAAATATTTACGCAACAATCACTTTTCAGTTTATGACCTTTTGCAAATACAAATAAAGGTATTATATTTTCCCATTAACTTATATTCACCTTAGGAAAATCATTCCTTGAATTTGTTTAACTGCTGTTAAACCACTGTTAAATAAACAACAAAGACTAATAAAACCATATATAGGTAACGTATAAAGCCAAATAAATCTTTTGTTTACCAACCAAACACCGGACCAATATAGCTTTTAAATCAGTGTCCAGTCACTTTTAATTTTTAGTGTAGAATAACCTGAGACTACACAGTATAGAAAGAATAAATTTGAGCTGCGTCACGACAAAACCAACATAATGGGTTTGCGACCAGCATGAATCCAGACCAGCCTGCGCATCCGCGCAGTCTGATCAGGATCCATGCTGTTTGCTATCAATTTCTCTACTTGTAATAGAGTTGGTAAGCGAACAGCATGGATCCTGATCAGACTGCGCAGATGGTCAGGCTGGTCTGGATCCATGCTGGTCGCAAACGCATTACGCTGGTTTTGTCGTGACGCGGCTCAAATTTATTTGTTGCCACAACTTTTAGAATGTTTTAAAATCCTTGCTATCATATGTATACTTATATACAGTATTATAATTGAAAGGCCAGCAAATCTTATATTTTTACTTTCTTGTCTGTTTTATATTAAGTATTTCTATACTCGGCTGTAAGGTATAAAATAAATTCTGGACAATATGAACAATTGATTTTACTGCCCCTGATTTTATCTTACAATTTTAAAGTTGTCAATGCTTCTCAAAGATTTAAAAAATCTAAGTTAAATAACAAACTTTCTTAACTATTCTTCTATTAAATGTAATTATATTGAGACATGAATATAATGGATATATACAATATTAAAATCTCCATAGTAATGCATTAGGTAGTGAAACATCATAAGATAATAATACATGTATTAGTGTTTTTAATGAAATCAAATACAATATTAGTTTTAAAAATAAATTTCAAATGCAAAAACTTGGCTGCCAGTATGTATGAAAAACTTGCAGAAGTGTAATGAGTTATCATTCAAGCTGCATATGATGTGATAATTAACTATTCAAGCTGTATGTGCTGTAATGAGTTATCATTCCAGCTGCATGTGGTGTAATGAGTTATCATTCCAGCTGTATGTGGTGTAATGAGTTATCATTCCAGCTGCATGTGGTGTAATGAGTTATCATTCAAGCTGCATGTGGTGTAATGAGTTATCATTCAAGCTGCATGTGGTGTGATGAGTTATCATTCAAGCTGCATGTGGTGTAATGATTTATCATTAAAGCTGTGTGTGGTGTGACGAGTTAACATTCCAGCTGCATGTGGTGTGATGAGTTATCATTCAAGCTGCATGTGGTATGATGAGTTATCTTTAATGCTGTGTGTGGTGTGATAAGTTATCATTCCAGCTGCATGTTGTGTGATGAGTTATCATTCCAGCTGCATGTGGTGTAATGAGTTATCATTAAAGCTGTGTGTGGTGTGATGAGTTTTATCATTCCAGATGCATGTTGTGTGATGAGTTATAATTCAAGCTGCATGTAGTGTAATGAGTTATCATTAAAGCTGTGTGTGGTGTGATGAGTTATCATTCAAGATGTATGTGGTGTGATGAGTTATCATTCAAGCTGCATGTAGTGTGATGAGTTATCATTCAAGCTGCATGTATTGTGATGAGTTATCATTCAAGCTGTGTGTGGTGTGATGAGGTATCATTCAAGCTGTCAGTTATCATTCCAGATGCATGTGGTGTGATGAGTTGTCATTCCAGTGACAAGTTGTCATTTAAGCTGCATGTTGTGTGATGAGTTATCATTCCAGCTGCATGTGGTGTGACGAGTTATCATTCAAGCTGCATGTGGTGTAATGAGTTAGCATTCAAACTGTATGTGCTGTGATGTATCATACAAGCTGCATGTGGTTATCACACTCAAAATGCAAGTGACATAAATAGTAAGTATTCATACAACAAACAATACTGTAAAATCCCAACTTATCGCCCCCACCCTAATTAACGCCCCCATCCACTTTTGAAAACCTCGTGTATAATTTAAACAAAGAAAATTAAAGAAACTCTCTTACTAGTTCGGTGTTTTATGGTATATCCAATATCATTCCATTTATGAAAAATATCCGTGAATCAAAACTTAAACAGTTTATAAAGTTCACTAATTAAAAACAGAGTGTAGTCTGCTTGAAAACAGTAAATGTTGAAAACACAAACAAGAGGGCCATGATGGCCCTGAGGTCGCTCACCTGTATATAGGCCCCCCCCCACCCCCGGGCCAATTTTTACCCAAGGGCTTTTATTTGTTTATTTGAACAGACTTGGTAGACACCCATAAGAAGATGTTTCATGCTAAACATCTAAGTTCTAGCTCATTGGCTTTTTTAAAAGAAGATTTTTAAAGTTTTTACTATACACATATAGTTAAAAACAATGACACCCCTGGGGCAGGGCCAGTTTTGACCCCCGGGCGTTTATTTTAACAAACTTTGTAGATATTTATTTAAAGATGTTTCATGCTTAATATCTAAACTCTAGCTATTTGGGTTTTTCCAAAGAAGATTTTTAAGTTTTTGCTATACACATATAAGGAAAATCAATGACCCCCCCCCCCCCGGGCCAGTTTTGACCCCAGGGCTTTTATTTGAACATACTTGGTAGACACCCATTAGAACATGTTTCATGCTAAATATCTTAGCTCTAGCTCTTTGAGTTCTTTAAAAGAAGATTTTTTTAAGTTTTTACTATATGCATATAGGGAAAATCAATGACCCCCTGGAGCGGGGCCAATTTTGACCCCAGGGCTTTTATTTGAACAAACTTGGTAGACACTCATTAGAAAATGTTTCATGCTAAATATCTTAGCTCTAGCTCTTTGGGTTCTTTAAAAGAAGATTTTTTAAGTTTTTACTATATGCATATAGGGAAAATCTATGACCCCCTGGGGCTGGGTCAATTTTGACCCCAGGGCTTTTATTTGAACAAACTTGGTAGACATTCACTAGAAGATGTTTCATGCCAAGTATCTAAGCTCTAGCTCTTACGGTTCTTTAAAAGAAAATTTTTTTAAGTTTTTACTATATGCATATAGGGAAAATCTATGACCCCCAGGGGCGGGGCCAATTTTGACCCCAGGGCTTTTATTTGAACAAACTTGGTAGACACCCATTAGAACATGTTTCATGCTAAATATCTTAGCTCTAGCTCTTTGGGTTCTTTAAAAGAAGATTTTTTAAGTTTTTACTATATGCATATAGGAAAAATCAATGACCCCCCCCGGGCGGGGCCAATTTTGACCCCAGGGCTTTTATTTGAACAAACTTGGTAGACACTCACTAGAAGATGTTTCATGCCAAATATCTAAGCTCTAGCTCTTATGGTTTTTTAAAAGAAGATATTTAAAGTTTTTTCTTTTGGTTGCCATGGCAACCAGAGTTCTGCATGGAATTAAATTCTTTGAACAATTTTTAAAGGTGACCACCAAAGGAACATTCCTGTGAAGTTTGGATGAAATTGGCTCAGTGGTTTATGAGGAGATGTCATTTAAAGCAAAAGTTTACGGACGGACGGACGGACGGACGACGGACGCCGGACGGACGGACGCCGGACGAAAAGCGATCACAAAAGCTCACCCTGTCACTTTGTGACAGGTGAGCTAAAAATGGTAAACATATTTACAGCACACACAATGGATATATCTTTGCACCTGGACAACTACACAGATCTGGAAGTGGGCCTGTTGACATAATGTAAATTAGGAAAGTAGCATCGATTACGTCAGATTGTCAGCAAGATCAAAGGTGTCAATTGCAAGCAGGATCTGGGGGAATTTTTGGGAGGCAAATTAGAGAGAGCTCGCCGTGTAGATCAAAGGTATCATGGGTTGACAGGGTGATGATGTGTTTGTAAATTTTTTTACATCAGTTGAAGAGAGATTTTTTTTTTTTTTTTTTTTTTTTGAGATTTTTTTTTAAAATCTTTTTTTTATCTTTATTTAACGACCCCCTTTTGAAAAATGTTACACCCCGGGGGCATTAAATCGGGATTTTATGGTATTTCAAGCTGCAGGTAGTAAAATTAATTATTAGTCAAACATGATGTGACATGTTATTTTTCAAGGGAAAGTTACAGACAAAATATCTGGATTAGCTAGGATTCTGGCTTACTGAAAATTTAATGCATGGACTTTACCTTTCGTTGATATCAATGTTTTATTCATGTCTAGGATAAAAAGAGTAAAAACAAACATAATTATTACATTTATTTTAGAAAATCAAAAGTAGTTGTCGTAATTTTATGATTTGTATATATGATGACAATTACATAACCTCTCAAACCCTACTTAATTATAGATGCCCTAAATTAAAAAAAGATGTTAAAACAAAAATAGTCCCTAAACTAAGTGCATAATCTTCCATTTTTCACAGGTGCAATTTATCACAAGAAACTGTCTGTAATTACAGCTAACAAACATCACTAGAAATGATGTGTGTGTTATGTAAATTCGTAATACACACATAAAACATACATGTAATTTGAAATTTATGTCCACTTTTGTTTGCAAAGTAAAATATCATAGACAAATGACAAATTATCCCAATTTTTTTCCCCTGATATCCGGAGTTTTCAGTCTTGTGAAGATTTTTATACAATGAAAATAAGAAGGAAAAATTTGGGACCTGGAAAAATGTCTGGTTTACTGAGGATCCGGTTTTGCCTGTTTCTACTGTATATCTAACACTTACGTCAATTAGTTAACAGAATTAAACACTATATTGCCAACTCACCTTTTCCTCGAAGGTTTTGAAATCATCAGCACATTCTTTGATAAACATGGGATTATTCAACATCCATTTAAGGTTAGGCATTAGGTCTACAATAAAGAATTTCGTCTTGTCATGTGCTAGCAACGCTCTGCTTACCATACGTAATACCGCATCTAGTCGCAAAAAACTCTCTTCTTGCTGAAATAAAGAACGGAAATGATGATATAATAGACATTAACAAATGCATGCATTTAATGACCTAACAATAAAGCATTAGAACTAACAAATTAAAACTGGGTCTTTTCATTATTTGGCTAATGATCAATACCTTCATTTTCTAATCTATGCTCAAGTGTTAAGTCTGTACAGTACCTGTGCCAGAGGGTAGCAATACTCAGTGATTAAACTGTTGATTATTTATATGAGGATTTTCTTAATTTTCATAAGTTACAAAGTTTCAAAGTTACATAAATAAGTATAAGAACAAAAACATATTTGAACTTCAGAGTACATTTGTACCCCCATTATAACCCCAATTTACAATGACTAGGGAAACATTGTACTCTCATGTTTGAAATTTAGCGGGTATGCTATATAAGTATACATCTGACCCAGTAATTCAATGTACTGTTTTTTATCTGCAAGAGCCATATCATGTATATTTAGACACTGAAATTACAGGGGGCAGTCATAGCAGCTAACTAGCTTTGTTTCATGGTGCCCCGAGTCACACATATTAAATAAATGTGCAACAACAGTACTGTGCTTAAGTGATTTTAAATATTAATCTATGTGTCCTTCTTACTTAATATGTATACATGCATGCGAGAAAAATTAAAAACATGATAAATTATACATAAAAAGCATACATTGTACAGAAAATATTTTCAGTAACATGATTACCTATAATATTATAATACCTTTCATAATACAACAAATGAAACAAGCTTTAATTATTAATCAAATTATACCCTGTTACTATGCTGTATTTATTTCATTACATAATTAATAACCTTAATTCATAACCAATACTAATCATTTTAGTAAGGAAAACAGTATAGATGATGAGGTACCAAGCCAAGCAACAACAAACATGAAAATAACCTTACAGCGACAATAACAACTCTTATAAGCCAGGGCTTTTTCCACAGGTTGGGGAAGCAACTTTATCATTTGGGAAAAATTTTACAGCCTTTTGCGGAAGCGCAAGAAAAAACTTCATGTAAATTCAATTTTTTTGAGGGGCTGCATGATTTTAAAGAATTTTTCTTTTTAAAAGGAAGCCAGCCTTTAAACAGCCCCTGCTACTGAAAAAAGCCCTGAAAGCTGTTTTCAACTGTCAGTATTTTCTCACCTTTAACAATGACTGAATCATTGGTACAATTCTGTTTGGATCTGGGTCTTTGACTTTTTTTGCAAGGTTTTCTAGGATGAGGTTCTCTACATTTATTATTTCCATACCAAACACATTTGATAAATTGTCTAGAATCTTCCCTTTCTTTGTGCCAGGTCCACCTAAAATAAAGATAAATTTTTCAATACTTTTGCATGACAAAGCGATATGAAATGTAGCTGGAATATAATATACATATATGTTTAACGAAAACTGTTCAAACTGATTCTCTGTTGCACTAAATTTATTATCATCTATTATGCCAAAACTAAAAGCCTGAAATGGGGTCGAAACAGGATTTTTTATTTGACTAGAATGTCAATGCTTGCTTGGCACATTTAATATAAGAAGTTTGAACAAATATTTATCATAACCCTCCTCAAAATGCTTAAGTTTTTATGATCTTCATGATAGTATAATGTCACACACAAAAAAAATCCAATAAATCAAAACTCAGGGAAAAGTGCATGTTTGGGCATTTTTCAGCAACAGGCAACAATCCTAGATTTCTTAACAAGAGGGCCATGATGGCCCTGAGGTCGCTCACCTGTATATAGCCCCCCCCCCCCCCCCAATTTTTACCCAAGGGCTTTTATTTGAACAGACTTGGTAGACACCCATAAGAAGATGTTTCATGCTAAACATCTAAGTTCTAGCTCATTGGGTTTTTTAAAAGAAGATTTTTTAAGTTTTTACTATATGCATATAGGGAAAATCTATGACCCCCTGGGACGGGGCCAATTTTGACCCCAGGGCTTTTATTTGAACAAACTTGGTAGACACTCATTAGAAGATGTTTCATGCTAAATATCTTAGCTCTAGCTCTTTGGGTTCTTTAAAAGAAGATTTTTTAAGTTTTTACTATATGCATATAGTTAAAAACAATGACAACCCTGGGGCAGGGCCAGTTTTGACCCCCGGGCTTTTATTTGAACAAACTTTGTAGATATCTACTTAAAGATGTTTCATGTATAATATCTAAACTCAAGCTATTTGGGTTTTTTCAAAGAAGATTTTTAAGTTTTTGCTATACACATATAAGGAAAATCAATGACCCCCGGGGCAGGGCCAGTTTTGACCCAAGGGCTTTTATTTGAACATACTTGGTAGATACCCATTAGAACATGTTTCATGCTAAATATCTTAGCTCTAGCTCTTTGAGTTCTTTAAAAGAAGGTTTTTTAAGTTTTTACTATATGCATATAGGGAAAATCAATGACCCCCTGGGGCGGGGCCAATTTTGACCCCAGGGCTTTTATTTGAACAAACTTGGTAGACACTCATTAGAAGATGTTTCATGCTAAATATCTTAGCTCTAGCTCATTGGGTTCTTTAAAAGAAGATTTTTTAAGTTTTTACTATATGCATATAGGGAAAATCTATGACCCCCTGGGACGGGGCCAATTTTGACCCCAGGGCTTTTATTTGAACAAACTTGGTAGACATTCACTAGAAGATGTTTCATGCCAAATATCTAAGCTCTAGCTCTTACGGTTCTTTAAAAGAAGATTTTTTAAGTTTTTACTATATGCATATAGGGAAAATCAATGACCCCCCGGGGCGGGGCCAATTTTGACCCCAGGGCTTTTATTTGAACAAACTTGGTAGACACTCACTAGAAGATATTTCATGTCAAATATCTTAGCTCTAGCTCTTTGGGTTCTTTAAAAGAAGATTTTTAAGTTTTTACTATATGCATTTAGGGAAAATCTAAGACCCCCTGGGGCAGGGCCAATTTTGACCTCAGGGCTTTTATTTGAACAAACTTGGTAGACACTCATTAGAAGATGTTTCATGCTAAATATCTTAGCTCTAGCGCTTTGGGTTCTTTAAAAGAAGATTTTTTAAGTTTTTACTATATGCATATAGGGAAAATCAATGACCCCTGGGGCGGGACCAATTTTGTCCCCAGGGCTTTTATTTGAACAAACTTGGTAGACATTCACTAGAAGATGTTTCATGCCAAATATCTAAGCTCTAGCTTATACAGTTTTTTTAAAAGAAGATTTTTTAAGTTTTTACTATATGCATATAGGGAAAATCAATGACCCCCCGGGCCGGGGCCAATTTTGACCCCAAGGCTTTTATTTGAACAAACTTGGTAGACACTCACTAGAAGATGTTTCATGCTAAATATCTTAGCTCTAGCTCTTTGGGTTCTTTAAAAGAAGATTTTTAAGTTTTTACTATATGCATATAGGGAAAATCAATGACCCCCTGGGGCGGGGCCAATTTTGACCCTAGGGCTTTTATTTGAACAAAATTGGTAGACACTCATTAGAAGATGTTTCATGCCAAATATCTAAGCTCTAGCTCTTACGGTTCTTTAAAAGAAGATATTTAAAGATTTTTCTTTCGGTTGCCATGGCAACCAGAGTTCTGCATGAAATGGAATTCTTTGAACAATCTTGATAGAGCTTCATACAAAGAGTATTCCTGCCAAGTTTCATTAACATTGGCCTTGCGGTATCATAGAAGATGTCCTTAGAATATTTAAAATGTGGACGGACGACAGACGACGGACGCCATTTGGTTGTCCATCCTAAAAGCTCACCTGCACTTTGTGCAAGGTGAGCTAAAAAGTACTTGACAAGTCATTCATTCTAAATTAGAAGTACAGCTACATGTACATATATATAAAATCATGCTATAATTTTGCTCTTACACATAAATAGGTTTTAGCAGCATGCCTCCAGATTCATGTTAATTTTCGTGAAAATTTTAGAAATGTATTTGAAAGTAAAATATTGTGAGGTGAACAAAAATAGTAATTTACATGTAAACTGCAATCCGCACTAACAATCCAAGAAAATTACCAAAAAGTGGTCAACATATACAGCCCTACATGTAGTAACGTGATAAAATACTGCAAAATCAGTCTTAAACCGCACATAACATGTAAAATACAACTTGGATCTTGAATACCGCACATAAGTTAACATGTAAAATACAACTTGGATCTTGAATGTTTGTTTTTATCTTTCTTAAAATTCTACTGGTCGGAGACCATCAACCGGACACTTTTGGAACATTTTTCCGTACAGATTTCATAATTTTAAACCTAGAGACCAACAAATTTGACACAGTTCAGCTAGGTTCTTCTCCTAACTAACAAACTAGTTTGTTTATTTCTGATTGTATTGACACTTAATATCTGAGGCTCGACAAGGAGGGTATCAAAATTACCTAAATTGTCTACACTACAGTACCATGTGTCCGGACAGATATGTACATGACGTGATTTAATTCAGATTATAGCATAAAATCAGCTATTTTTCCCTATTTTGCCCATGTTATAACGGGACCAAAACCATGTGTTAACATAGTCACGCGCTCTTGTTATAGCCCGGTTTCACCTATGCGCGATACATACAGGGCCCAGTAAACAAACAAAAAATGATGATTTGGCCTGTTTGCCAAAGAGTCATGCTCTCTTGTTATATTGAAATTTATTGATTCGAGGGCCAAAGTCGCATATTCAAGTAAATATGCCGGAAAAACGGCGTATAGACATCGGTGCTAATCTTTGTTGTCGCCCTTTCTAAGAAACGGACAGTTGTCAATGTAAACAAATACAGTAGAATCTACACTCCGATTAACTTACAAAACTAGATAACACAAAATTAATATGAGAAAATGGTTTTTATTTATGTTAATGTTGATAAATGCTCTTTATATTTCTTTGAGAGAATATTGCTTAGTGCCTGATTTTTTTATAAATTTGTTTGCTTGAAAAAAAAACCGATTCTGATGTCACTCATCAATCTGAAATCATTCTAAGAATTTCTGAGGGTCATGTTTTGTCTTGGGTAGTATTGGGCGTATTTGCCATATGGACGGCTTTAGCCGTTTCTATAATAATAATAGTAATAATAATAAATTAATAATAATAATAATAAAAATAATAATAAATAGATCTATAAAGAAAATTATACCATCGACAATAATTATTATTATACTAACGGAATTGGAAACATATATAATTATTATAATACTAATAACAAATAATAATAATTATATTAATTAATAATATAGTAATTTCTTAGAAAATCCTCTGGCAAATAGATGAACAATAAAACAATAACCCTCTGGCAGCGAAAGGGTTAAAATTCAAAATTTCGTTCGGTTCCGAGAATATTCCAAGTTGTTGGCCCCGGAAAAATGAAACGCATACGTAAAACATAGAATTGGATAAATACCGTCCAAGCACAAGAATTTAATGTAATTGTGTTTTGTTTAAACTATACATCACGAATCTGTTTGAAAATTTTATGCTATAATAGCGTCAACGCACGTTTATTTCGTGTAATAAAGTCTGCAGAGTCCCTCGGAACTGTTTGAGCCCTCGCCCTACCGGGCTCGGGCACCAACCGTTCCTCGGGACTCTGCAGACGTTATAACACGGAAAAACGTGCGTTAACCCTATATAAAAGCTTGGGTGTTTTGATTTTTAACATGATATGTCAGTAACAAATGCTGAAGTTTTGGATATTCTATTATTCACTCTGCAAATGATTATAGCTGGTATATGAGGTCAGGCATTGCTTTCTTGACCCCCAAATTTCAATGTCAACATTCTTGAAATAGACATTAAAATATTACAATTTACGGAGGTTGAAATAAATTTATTTACTTAATTTTAAAATAAACATGCACTTATTGTTGATAAAAAAGTGACTGACAACCACTGAACAAAGAAAATACTAAATTAAGCATTTTCGGGGCCGTCCGGGTTTGGTGGTTCTCCGGTTTTGGTGGTCCCCAACCAGTAGTACATTTTTTCGCAAAATCAGTCTTAAACCGCACATAACATGCAAAATACAACTTGAATCCTGAATACCGCACATAACATGTAAAATACATTTTGGATCTTGAATGTTTTTACCTTTCATAAAATTCTAGTACATTTTTCTCAATATTGATTGAGAGGCTGAATATTCAATATGGTATTAAATGTAACGATTCGCCACACTAACGATTTGCCACATAACGATTCGACACAGAGTAATAACGATTCGCCACAGCTAAATAACGATTCGCCATGTGTTCAAATACAAACTTTTTCACGCCTGTTTTCAAACTGTTGATGGAAATGTTTTTCCGTTTTATATTTCATTTGTTAATTACATAAATTAATTACACTAAAGAGGTACGTATATTAATATACGTACCTGCACTAAAATTAATAGTAGTTTAATATATTGAATAAAATCACACAAAAACCAATTCCAATATTTTATTAACAAAATTACATAACACATTTTGTAACTTTGCTATTTATATAAACTGGAATAATATACTAACAACTTTTATAGAATAAAAACACATTAAAATAAATATATTTTATTACCAAAATTAAATCACACATTGTAGATGAGTTAAACTTCGTTATTCATATAAACTAGAAATTATACGAAAACAGCTTTTATTGAATAAAGACACATGAACATAAAATAATTTATTACTGTAGATACGTCTTAAACAGAATGCACAAGGAAGAGCTGGCATGATTCTGATTTCATTATTTTTCGTTTGTATACTATTTTATGTATGTGCTTAAGCTGCGCATGCTGGTGTATTTAAACCCTCTAAATCGGCATATATCGCTCAAATAAATCTGCTCACATTGTCAGATAATTAAAGGATAATTTCGGCGTCAATTAAATATTTCTACAACAATCCTAAGGTGATTGGCTTGTTTAAATTAAAGGTGTGACAATTGTTTTAGATCAATTATCGTAAATCAATTTTCGTAATGATGCATATGTTTTTGCAATACTTTTTTAAATATTTTACAGATAATTATATAATATATAAAATATTGTAACAGTATTTGATTTACATACTAAATGATTTACATACTAAATACAGACCTAGCTTCTCATGATGCTTTAATTGTAATGTTAACTGAGCATGTTTAGTAAATATACACAGTCTGCTGTATGTATTAGCTCTGTATAAAGGAGTTGTGACTAGCTTAATAAAATATATAAACGCACGTTTGTGTTCTTACCTGCACCAAGAAATAAATATAAATTGACATATATATGTTTATGATTAATTCAATATTTCAACATATAATTACTTTCTTGTAAATGTACTCCTGTAATAATGTTACTTTGATAAATTAAAAATCCGCGACAGGGCCTTACTTCATATTACTTGTATTAAGAAACATTATTAAATTATTGTCATTGTCAAATTATTAAAACAAAAGGAAAAAAGTTGTTGATTATTAAAAAAAACATAGTTATTATCATTCTGTGGCGAATTGTTATTTAACTGTGGCGAATCGTTATTACTCTGTGGCGAATTGTTATGTGGCGAATCGTTAGTGTGGCGAATCATAACTAATTCTTCAATATAGGCTGCTTCCCCAACTGAACTTGCCTTTTTTTCCCCAGTTTGGTCCTCAAAATTCCCCATTCTTTTGAAATTTCCCATAGAATTTAGAACAAAATTAAATGATGGTGTTGAATTAAGGTCTTTTACTGCCTTATTAGTATTTCCCAGTGCTTTTTGCTTTTCTATATTAAAGAGCTTGTTAAAAGTTTGTGTTAAATTTGAGAGGCCTTTTCTTAAAGTACATTTGTATGCCAAAATCACGCATATTTTCCTTATTCTTCTTCCGGGTAATGTGCTGGGCCCCTCTGGAGCATCGTCGCACAATTTCCCCAAGAAAAGGCTGGGGTGTTTTGGCCACCGAGGGCCGAGAGCATAAAATTTTCGTCAAAACTTCACAGAAACAAAAAGTTTAAAAATATCATGCGTAGAGTCACCGTACCAGTGCTCGACCAGTTTTTCACAAAATCACATAAAAACTCTTTCAGAACAAAAGGTTTGATGGGAAACTTATTTTTGTTACAAAGCTGGACCTTGCAAACTCACAATAAGCTAAAGCGTTTTAATAACACAGATTAGGATACAATTTACCACGGAGTTGTATATAGGGTATAAAACTACTATATTTTTCAGACAACCAAACCAGTGCTCGACCAGGTGGTTTAATCTCTATCAGAACTTTTATTTCTTAAAAACAGATATGACTTTTTATGTTCAACAATTCTATTTCAAAAATATTTTGAAACATTTATGTTTTATTGTCTATAGATGAAAATATGAAAGCAAATATGATACAAAGGAAATGCTATACATTGACAAATAAAGTGTTTATAAGAGTTTTGGAATTTAAATATACTGGGGCGTTTGGGATTATTTATTCTCATATTTTTTTACTAAAATCACTCTGCAAACATAGTTAAGTGTGATAATTGGTGTAATATACAAATGGTCCATGCTTTTAGTGGTGTGTTCTCGATTTGTTTCCGTACAGCTGCCATATTTGTTTACATGTTCATAGCCCCTGCCTTTTATGTAAAGCAGGGTTTTGATAATTTTTGAACACCTTTCCTATGGAAATCAATTCGTATCATAAAAGTAAAGGCAATTTAACAAATATTGTCCACATTTGCCCTAAATTATCATTACTTCAGTGTTGGACCCCTTCAGTGTTATAGATAGTTTTTACTGCTACTTTTATTATAAAATTGTACTTTTGTACTGTTTAATATTGTCTGCAAAATGGTAAATCTTCTACCAAGTATGGAGTACTTTTACATGGTGTAGAGGTTACAGGTCAGGTACAAAGAGCAAGCACAAACTCCCAGGGTTTTTCCACTTTAATGCATAAATCATACACAAATAGAAGTATTGGTCGAGCACTGGGCTGGTCGAGCACAGGTACAATAATAAAAACATTACACATACGGATATATCAAAACATAGAACTGACTCTCGATTTAACAAAAAACACGAATTGTCAATTGATGTTATGATGTAGGCCTAGATCTAATGATGAATGAAAAAAGCAAAACTCTCACCAAATGCAAATATGACTTTAGTTTCGCCTTCTAGCCGTACTTCATTGCCAGCCTTAATGCTGACTTTGGGTTGGCGGTAGAAATATGTTGTCTTTTGGCCATCATCCGAATTTTGCCCTTGATCACTACTTGTAGATCCTCCACATCCCATATTTATTGAATATTTCGATAAGTGAACGCTACGCGTTTCGCGCTAAATGTCACTTGCATCTCATTTGCATATGACCTATAACAAACAGGTCAATATTTCACACGGCCAAGTTCGATTGGTGCTTCCTAGCGATATAACCGGCAATGGGGTATAGATGGATACCGAAAATAAGCTATTTTCGCGAAAATAAGATCGCGGCTACGAAAATAAGATTTATTTTGGAAATAGTGCATTCATCTGTTGAAATAATTATGTAAAATATATATTTATGCATTCATTGAATGATTTTACATCAAATTAAAATTTCAGAACCAAAAAAATATTTAAAAAAGTGAAGTTTGAGCCGAAAATACTATCGTACGAAAATAGCTCAAATTGCCGTGTAAAGCGAAAATAAGATCGGGTCTACGAAAATATGATTTATTTTTTGATATAATGTATTAAAAATGTATTTTTTTGTTTCTTAATAATTGATTTGTATGAATGAAATAATAAATTTCACAACTAAAAATATATTTTAAAAAAGTGAAGTTTGAGCCGAAAATACTGAGTATGAAAATAGCTTGAATTGTCGTGTAAATCGAAAATACGATCGGGTCTACGAAAATAAGATTTATTTTTGATAAAATGTATTGAAAACGTATTTTTGCTGTTATTAAATGATTTGTTTGAATGAAATAATAAAGAATAAAATGTTTTGTAATGAAATATTAGACGTTTGTGCGGCAAATATGATAAATATTCCAAATTTAGTATAGTAAGAACGCATGAACATCTCAAGATGGCATCTACGAAAATATATATAAGATTTACATGGTTCATAACTTATACTTAAATAGTATTAACTTTACTTTTATGATTTTGCAAATAAGTTTTAAGAATGAAATATTCTCTTATAAGACAAGAAATGTTTGTGGTGAAAAAATATCAAAATAAAAAAAAGAACTATTGCAAAAACAACTACGAAAATAAGATCTAGATCTATATATGAATATGTACCGTACGAAAATAAAATGATAACAGTACTCTACGAAAATAAAATCTGTAAAGAGATAAAAGCTGTATGAAAATAATGTTCATACGAAAAAAGGTATATACATGTACCAAAATAAGATCTTACATAATTATTTCAACAGATAAATGCTCTTTTTCAAAAATAAATCTTATTTTCGTAGCCACGATCTTATTTTCGCGAAAATAGCTTATTTTCGGTATCCATCTATACCGCCGGCAATGGGTTAACAATCCGCAACAGGTCACGTAAATGGTGGTTCACAAAATTATATTAGGCTCTTTCAATAGGCCTACATGCAATTCTTTAAAAAAAATATTTAACGATTGTTTTTACGACAGAGCTATCTGGTCATGACTGACATATTTGTAAGTGTAATATGCATATCTGTAAAATCAAAGACATACAATGGCTAAGTACTGTACTTCTATTTTTAAAGCTGCATGCAGATGAGTCAAAATATTTCAAGAAAATCAAACTTGAGAGTAATGCACTAAATTTTGAGAAAAGTAAAAACAAAATCAAGATTCGAGTTTTAATTTAATGTAATGTTAATTATGAATGATTAATGTCTGATTTTGTTGTATTTATCACCATATTTTGCTGCACTATTTTTGCACATTTTGACCTCTTTTTCGTGTTTTATACGGCTTGCAAGTGCCGTATGCAAGGTACAAATAAATGAGCCGCGTCACGACAAAACCAACATAATGGGTTTGCGACGCAGTCTGATCAGGATCCATGCTGTTTGCTTACCAACCCTATTACAAGTAGAGAAACTGATAGCGAACAGCATGGATCCTGATCAGACTGCGCGGATGCGCAGGCTGGTCTGGATCCATGCTGGTCGCAAACCCACTATGTTGGTTTTGTCATGGCACGGCTCAAATTACTTTTACTGTTTGCTTTATAATATGCTACTATTAAATACATTTTAAAACGTTCTTTACAAAATAGCATGAAAATTGAGGCATGCTGCTTGAAGAAGAAATTCATGACTTATTGACTCCAGGGAAAAAGAATGTTTAATCTATATCCCTGCTAACTTGTAAAAAGACTCAAAGGAGATATAATGCCTGCCTGCCTGCCTACTGCCCTGCCCTGCCCTGCCCTGCCCTGCCCTGCCCTGCCCTGCCCTGCCCTGCCCTGCCTGCCCTGCCCTGCCCTGCCCTGCCCTGCCCTGCCCTGCCCTGCCCTGCCCTGCCCTGCCCTGCCCTGCCCTGCCCTGCCCTGCCCTGCCCTGCCCTGCCCTGCCCTGCCCTGCCCTGCCCTGCCCTGCCCTGCCCTGCCCTTGTCCTGCCCTGCCCTTGTCCTGCCCTTGTCCATCCCCTTGCCCTCGCCCTGCCCTGCCCTGCCCTGCCCCACTGCCCTGTCCCCTGTGCCCTGCCATGTCATGCATGCATGCATGCCCTACCCTACCTATATACCCCTTGCGAAGACGTAAACAGTCGCCATGCCAAGCAAATGAGGAAAGTTAAAAGTGAAACAAAAGAAGATGTATATAAACTATTTTATACATATGAAATAATCAGTGGGAAATGTAAAGGGTTTGTTACAAGTAAAAGCAGTCTGGCAATTGGTTATGGTAAGATATGCTCAATTTGGCAAAACCATTCAGAACGGCAAAGAAACAATTAACATTAGTGAGTAGGCTGTTCAAGTGGAAGACTGTTCATTAATATAGCCCAGCATGTGTGCATGTCGTGAGGCTCTCCTTAATGGGGGTAAAATAACCTTCTATATGGCAACTATATATATTTTTAGTGATTTTGTACATCATGGAGAGCACAATTACAGACAATATAACGAAGATCTAGTCATTTCAGAGATTCTAGCATCCTTGGTAACAACACTGTGCGTCCAAAGTCAGGTTTGACCTAGTTAACACATATATTTTCTTCCTCACAAAAAATCTATTCTAAGAAACCATTATCAATAAATTAGAAAGCGTAACATCTTGAAATGATAAAAAATTTAAGAGGGCCAAATTTACACTTAAAAGGCAATAGATTATAGTTCATCAGAAATACTTTACTATTAACCTGGGACAAAAAATAACACTTTTAAGTCACAGTAGAAATTTACAGAGAAATTACTTTGTATATAACAAAAGAAATAAATTGCAATCTGCCACAATATTATTGATACAATCAGATCTTGCTAGATCTATATAACTATTATTATAACTATTGTTTACAAAAGTCTATTTGAAATGACTAATGACACTGCATTCAAACATTCTTGAAATTCCCTATTGCAAGAAACACGCGGAACTTGTGCAAAACCAGATATTTAGGTATAACTATAGGTAGACTTGAAAACGTTTACTCGATTCGTAGCATTTAATTTCGAACTTAAATAAAATCCATTAATTTCTTAAGCTTATAAATTTCAAATATTTTAACTTTCAATCAAATTGTTATTCATTGTAAAACTTAGCGCCTGTTTGTTTTTTTGTTAACAAGAAATTATTAATATTTGGAAATATAAACGGAAATGAGTGCGAATGAACATTAAACGGAAGTCATGTGATCACGTGAGAACAAAATGGCCGAAAACTAGGAAAGTTGTTGGCACATATTGAAGTTTTAGCGTTATTTACATTTGTTTGTTTACTCTTATTAATAAACAGGTAAATATAACATTGCATGCCTATAACCAAATTTTCCTCACCGATATGTGTTAAAAAACTGTTTGTTTTTCACGCAAACAATGCGTAGGTCTTGTTTTTCCAAACTGAAAATCTAGTTACGGTTTGGATAATTTATTAAAAACTTATGATAATAGATATTCGAGTATATGTGTTTGAAGAATTGAGAACTACACGGCTTACAGAAACTCCTTACAGAAGGTCTTTCTAAATGTCTTTTCCATCAGTCTGGCTGACCATCGCCTAAGTGCTATGCAAGTAAGTGTTATGGTACACTGATTGACAGTTTCCTAACTAGCAGATGACAGGCTATTCTTATCAGTAGAATTGCCAGCAAAGATGACCGGTTGCATATCTCACTGTATAAAACATATCTAAAATGGTCTGACTCGTGGTAGGTTTAACTGTAACTTTAAATACCTTTAGTGTCAAACAATGTGTTGAAATATATACTGAGACAAAGCTGAGATGATCACAAGCTTTTCATTGGTGAAATAAATTTTAGAATCAGACATTAAACAGGCCCAAACTAGCGGTTTAAGCACGGCTAAATTTGCATTGTTTTAGCATTAGAGATATGGATTTTACTTGAAGATAAGGAAAACAACTTGTATTTTTTCACTTGTCAAGTTGATATTCCTCGGTTATTTACATAGTTCAAATAAAGACTGTCAATGGGTTTTTTTATAGCTTTTAAAGTCTTTTATAGCTTGCATTTCCTTCGTATTCTTTTTTTTTTGACAAAATGGCATAGAATGTTTATTAAAGTAAACAAATGCAGGTTTGTAGTAAAAACCCTTGTTTAAAGACACAAAATAAAATATACATATTCTACTTTCATATAATTTTGAAAAGTGCCGTACGACTAGACAATACAGTGTGTCCGGGCTAGCCGTACGTGACTCCATTTGGCTAGAACTTTTGGCTAGCCGTACAGGCCGTACGACTAGCCACTTCTAAAACAATAATAGACGCAACTCCTCATATGAAAACAGTGCTAGTATGTGCTTCTAACTATATATTGACCAATATTTTTCAATTTTAAGATTATTAAGTGCAATTGTGTTCAATTATAAAATTTTCCACTTTAATGCTACTTTTTTTAATCTTATTCATTTAGGGTCTTTCTGAAGATGGCAGAGTTTTGGCTGATATCAGCTCCAGGTGATAAGACATGCCAGCAGACCTTTGACAAACTTAACACCTTGACATCCAGACAAAATGTTCTCTCAACAAATTACAAGTTTAACCTACCAGATTTAAAGGTATGTAATCTTCCCTGTCCTTAGTAGTACTGTTGGTCTATAGATTATTAGATATGTCATGTCATGATGTGTGAGCATGAGTTATAGTTTGATCATCGGTCATTCAATGTAATTAAATTATAATATATGTTATTCTCTATATAATTTTATCAATGATATTCATTGGCATATCAATTTCAATTACGTGATTCCTCAGACTTAGTTTATATAAATTTATTTTAGTTGATTGTGTTGAAAGCTTTATTAGCTTATTACAGTCATCAAATTTAGCCCATGGCCAGTGAAAATTAGTTTCGGCTAGTGTTAATTTCAAGAAAATTTAGTTATATATATAGTAGAATAAATTCAAAACTGGAATTCAGGCCAGTAAATTCAAAATCTTAAATTCAATGACTGTACATGGAAACAGCCAGTACTAAGGCAAGCAATTCTAATTGTAAATTGCTCCCAAAAACAATGGCTTGCCCCTAACGGGGCTTGGAATCGATCAGATTTTTTTTGTTTAGTACTGAGGTATGTTGCGACATCTTGCTAACCATATTTTATGAACATCTGATACAGGTTGGTACCCTTGACACTCTTGTTGGATTATCTGATGATCTGGGAAAGCTTGACATATACTGTGAAGGGTGAGTCTTGCATATTTTAACTCTCTCTTTGTTGGTAAAGGATCAAATTAAGGAATTCCTACACAGCAGACCAGTCAAGAAATATAGATATAAAATCAGAAATTTTTACAGTGGATTATTTTACTATAAGGTGCAAATTAAAGATTTTTATGAAAATTTATGCTCACTTATTATCTAAGTACTGAATCTAAGTAGTAAATGCACAAGAACTGAAAGTAAAAATTTGCAAATATTTCACTCTACCAATTTGTCGAAAATTTATTTTAATTATGGTACCACAAAAATACCTGATTTTAAAGTAATGTTAAGATAAGAATTAAAAAAATCTTCATGTCAGGTCAGAATTTGATGTTGGGAACCAAACATCTAGATAATGTTATATCTATACACTATGGTTTCTCACTTTTTATCTCTGATAAGAATTGCTTTTAAATAGAAAAGTATAAGGCTTATAAAAAGACATAGTAAACTAGTACCTTGTATTTTTAATTGAAGTCTGTACATGTACTTAGAAAATCTATTTGTATTGAAAAATATTGACCTTTAATGGAATTATCAAAAGGGATAGAAATCAAGTGATAGTTACTGAAACTTTTTACAGAATTTTGAGAAAATGGGTTAGAGATAATGAAATTTAGCGGTGTTCTGCAAAATGATTTTTCTTTTTTCTTTTACCCGACAGAATCACTAAGAAAGTTGCAGGTTATCTTGGTGAAGTACTCGATGATCAGAGAGATAAACTTCATGAAAACCTCCTGGCAAACGGAGGTAATTATTTTTGTTTTATTTTTTTCCGAGGCTTCAATTTTTTTTTTTGAGAAAAAGATGAAAAGTTGCCATATGTCCTGTACAATGTACAACACAACAAAATAAATATATTTTATTTTTTTATTTTTTACATCAGTCATAGATGATTTAGTGAATTGGAATTGAACATGTTTAAAATTTGCCACCTTACTGCGGTAACTGAATAACTCTTATTTAAAATCTATTAGGAATTAAATGGTTACTACACTAAGGTGACTATATATACAATATATATATCTAAGCAATCTAAATGAAAATATAATAGATTTAACATAGTGTTAAAGATTGAATCCAACTTTATTTTAGTTGACTTGAACACATACCTGACCAGATTTCAGTGGGACCTGGCAAAGTATCCTATAAAACAGTCACTTAGAAACATTACAGAAATTATCTCCAAGGTTGGTTATTTTATACTTATAGATGTCAGATCATGTCTTTATCATTGAAATGTAGTTATATTTGATAACTGCTAAAATGTCTACAAATGTTTTGCTAGCCCGTTTCATCAAGTAATAAATCAGTGTAAATGTTTAGACTAAGATAGTGCCTGGCATTGTAAGGAAAGAAATCACATTTGCTGACAATATTATGCTTATTTTATTGTTTTATTGTATAATTATGTTTTTATTTAACATCATTTGCTTGAACTAAAGGCTATATATATATATTATACAGAATTTATTTTAGTTTGATTTTGTAGGAAGCTATTAGCAAATGCACATGTTGACACGCGTTCAAATTTGTGCTCGGAAACAATCAGTGATAGGAGATGAGTGTTTCTTGCTTAAGAAAACAATGTCTTGCCCCTGAGATGGGGCTGAACCCACTCGGCAAGCAATCCCTAGATTACTAGCCTTACTGTTACACCATAATCACTTGGCCATGCCTGCACTATAATTATATGCTATATATATTGATGATCATTTTGTCTTTGCCAACGTTATAGCATAAAATCGGCTACTTTTCCCTCTTTTGCCCATGCTATAACGGGACCAAAACCATGCATTAACATAGTCACACGCTCTTGTTATAGCCCGGTTTTACCGATGCGCAATACATACAGGGCCCATTAAACAAACAAAAAATGACGATTTGGCCTGTTTTCCAGAGTCATGCCCTCTTGTCATATTGAAATTATTGATTTGAGGGCCTCAATCGCAAAGCGGCGTGCAGCATTCAAGTAACTATGCCGGAATTACGGCGTATAGACATCGCGTATAGACATCTTGGTTGTCGCCCTTTCTTAGAAACGGACAGTTGTCAATGTAAACAAACAAATATCTGGCATTCAATTAAACCCTCCGATTTACTTACAAAACAAGATAACACAAAATGAATATGAGAAAATGTTGTTTTATTGATGTTTACATAAATTCTCTTTATATTTCTTTGAGAGAATAATGTTTAGTGCCTGATTTTTTTATAAACTTGTGTGCTTGAAAAAAAAGATTCTGATGTCACTGATGATGATCTGTTTTCTTGCGTCAATTTGAAATCATTCTAGGAATTTCTGGAGTCATGTTTTGCCTTGAGTAGAGTAATTTAATGTTGTTTTTTTCTTGAGTTAATAAATCTCCGATGTTTAGCCTTGTTTAATCAATTAAAATTCGATATTTCGTTCGGTTCTGAGCATTTGTATTTCCAAAGTTGTTGGCCCCGGAAAAATAAAACGCATACGTAAAACATCTAGAATTGGATAAATACCATCCAAGCACAAGGATTTAATGTATGTGTTTTGTATTAAATTAACATCATGAATCTGTTTTAAAATTTTATGCTATAATAGCGTCAACGCACGTTTATTTCGTGTTATAAAGTCTGCAGAGTCCCTCGGAACTGTTGGAGCCCTCGCCCTGCCGGGCTCGGGCACCAACCGTTCCTCGGGACTCTGCAGACGTTGTAACACGGAAAAACATGCGTTAACCCGTTAACCCTATATTATAGAGCCAGGCCAGGCACACTTCCAAACAGTTGGGCTAAGCTCCATTAAAATTTTCATTTTGATATCCACAAAAGTCCTTTTTCACCCTTGTGCAGTAACAGGTTAACTTCTATTAAAATATAAGGAGTTAACCCAATATTGCACTAAGTTGACAATTTAAGAACCTCAGCAGACTAAAGGTTAAAGATTTTTTTTTCAGCAAGTTTCACAGATAGAAGCTGATCTGAGAATAAAGTCAAGCTCGTACAACAGTTTGAAGGGTAATCTCCAGAACCTTGAGAGAAAGGCCACGTAAGAGTTTTACTTTTGATAAAGAGTATGCAGTTTAAAATTAAATGTGTTATTTATATGTTGTTTTGATCTCTATCATTGTTTTAGGGGTAATGAGATCTGTGCGTCACTGTCTCTGAGGCTAAAAGTTGATTTGTTTTTCTTTTCCTCATAGTGTATAAATTTGTATCGAAGAAATTTGGCTCATAGCATGGATATGTACCCTTTGAATGGATATCAAGTTATTGAAGTAAATGAAATAGGTGCTAAAAATTTATCTTTCTACTCTTACCTAAATTTTGGCATTACATGCATTATTAAGCTGTATCAAAGCAGCAGCTGCAGTATTCTCAGGTGTTGATGGTTTTAAGTACATAATTATGTCTCAAGCCATTTTGTACTCTTTGATAGTTAATTAATTTTGCACAAGTTACATCCGATTACTACCAAAGACATGTTCGTGTTGATCGAGAACTGAAGAAATGTTGGAATATTAGTGATAAACTACTACAAAGCACCCCTTATTAAAATATGAAACATATAAGTTAAGACTTTGAAAAGTTGGCAACAAGGATACAAATAAGGAATCTTAACATTGATTGTAGAGCTAACAAAACAAACTGGTTATATAATATTGTATGTTTATTTTTTTCAGTGGTAACTTGATTACACGTTACCTGGGAGATATTGTGAAGAAAGAACATTTTGTGCTAGATTCTGAATACCTAGCCACTCTTCTAGTCGTTGTTCAAAAGTAAGTGCATTGGCTATATAGATCTTAGAGGTAATATTGAAATGTGAAATAAAGTAGTTTTCTCAATTTATCAAAATTGCTTACTTTTCCCCAAAATGGTGTTATCAGAAATATATTTTTTTGCCAATTGACCTGTTTTCATGTCCTAATAAAAACTGTCTTGGTATGACTGTCTTTATGGCCTAAATAATACTGTCTTAGTATGACTGTTTTCATGCCCTAAAAAACTGTATTACTATGACTGTCTTTATGGCGTAGATAATACTGTCTTGCTATGACTGTCTTTTTGACTCAGAAAACTCTGTCTTGGGATGACTGTTTTTATGACCTAGAAAATTCTGTCTTGGTATGACTGTTTTTATGAACAAGAAAATTCTGTCTTGGTATGACTGTTTTTTTTTTACCTAGAAAATTCTATTTTGGGATGACTGTCCTTATGACGTTGAAAATTCTGTCCTGGTATGACTGTTTTTATGAACTAGAAAATTCTGTCTTGGTATGACTGTTTTTATGAACTAGAAAATTCTGTCCTTGTATGACTGTTTTTATGAACTAGAAAATTCTGTCTTGGTATGACTGTTTTTATGACCTAGAAAAATTCTGTCTTGGTATGATTGTTTTTATGACCTAGAAAATTCTGTCCTGGTATGATTGTTTTTATGACTTAGAAAATTCTGTCCTGGTATGATTGTTTTTATGACCTAGAAAATTCTGTCCTGGTATGATTGTTTTTATGACCTAGAAAATTCTGTCCTGGTATGACTGTTTTTATGAACTAGAAAATTCTATTTTGGGATGACTGTCCTTATGACGTTGAAAATTCTGTCCTGATATGACTGTTTTTATGACCTAGAAAATTCTGTCTTGGTATGTGTGTCTTTATGAACAAGAAAATTCTGTCTTGGTATGTGTGTCTTTATGACCTAGAAAATTCTGTCTTAGGATGATTGTTTTTTGACCTAGAAAATTCTGTCCTGGTATGACTGTTTTTATGACCTAGAAAATTCTGTCTTAGGATGATTGTTTTTTGACCTAGAAAATTCTGTCTTGGTATGGCTGTCTTTATGAACTAGAAAATTCTGTCTTGGTATGACTGTTTTTATGAACTAGAAAATTCTGTCTTGGTATGACTGTTTTTATGACCTAGAAAATTCTGTCTTGGTATGTGTGTCTTTATGAACAAGAAAATTCTGTCTTGGTATGACTGTTATTTTTTTTACCTAGAAAATTCTATTTTGGGATGACTGTCCTTATGATGTTGAAAATTCTGTCCTGGTATGACTGTTTTAAGCTCACCTGAGCATATGCTCAGGGTGAGCTATTAGGATCACTCTTCGTCCGGCGTCCGGTGTCCGTCGTACATCGTCCGTTGTCCGTTCACACTTTTCAAACAACATCTCCTCTGAAACCATAAGGCAGATCATAATGAAACTTCACAGGGATGTTCCTTGTGTGAAGCTTTAACGAAGTTGTTCAAAGAATTCCATTCCATGCAGAACTCTGGTTGCCATGGCAACCAAAAGAAAAAACTTTAAACATCTTCTTCTAGAAAACCCAAAGAGCTAGAGCTTAGATATTTAGTATGAAACATCTTCTAGTGAGTGTCTACCAAGATTGTTCAAATAAAAGCCCTGGGGTCAAAATTGGCCCCGCCCCAGGGGGTCATTGATTTTCCCTATATGCATATAGTAAAAACTTAAAAAAATCTTCTTTTAAAGAACCCAAAGAGCTAGACCTAAGATATTAAGCATGAAACATCTTCTAATGAGTGTCTACCAAGATTGTTCAAATAAAAGCCCTGGGGTCAAAATTGGCCCCGCCCCAGGGGGTCATTGATTTTCCTTATATGCATATAGTAAAAACTTAAAAAAATCTTCTTCTAAAAAACCCAAAGAGCTAGAGCTTAGATATTTGGCATGAAACATGTTCTAATGGATGTCTACCAAGTTTGTTCAAATAAAAGCCCTGGGGTCAAAATTGGCCCCGCCCCAGGGGGTCATTGATTTTCCCTATATGCATATAGTAAAAACTTAAAAAAATCTTCTTCTAAAAAACCCAAAGAGCTAGAGCTTAGATATTTGGCGTAAAACATGTTCTAATGGATGTCTACCAAGTTTGTTCAAATAAAAGCCCTGGGGTCAAAATTGGCCCAGCCCCAGGGGGTCATTGATTTTCCCTATATGCATATAGTAAAAACTTAAAAAAATCTTCTCTTAAAGAACCCAAAGAGCTAGAGCTAAGATATTAAGCATGAAACATCTTCTTATCAGTGTCTACCAAGTTTGTTCAAATAAAAGCCCTGGGGTCAAAATTGGCCCCGCCCCAGGGGGTCATTGATTTTCCCTATATGCATATAGTAAAAACTTTAAAAAAATTCTTTTAAAGAACCCAAAGAGCTAGAGCTAAGATATTTAGCATGAAACATGTTCTAATGGGTGTCTACCAAATTTGTTCAAATAAAAGCCCTGGGGTCAAAATTGGCCCTGTCCCAGGGGTCATTGATTTTCCCTATATACATAGAGTAAAAAGTTAAAAATCTTCTATTAAAGAACCCAAAGAGCTAGAGCTAAGATATTTAGCATGAAACATGTTCTAATGGATGTTTACCAAGTTTGTTCAAATAAAAGCCCTTGGGTCAAAATTGGCCATGCCAGGGGGGGGGGGGGCAAAAGTCATTGTTATTCATTATTTGTGTATAGTAAAAACTTAACATCATGAAATATCTTCTAATGGGTGTCTTCCAAGTTTGTTCAAATAAAAGCCCTTTGGTTTAAACTGGCCCGGCCCTGGGGGCCTATGTTCAGGTGAGCGACCCCAGGGCCATCATGGCCCTCTTGTTTAGCTCACCTGAGCATGTGCTCAGGGTGAGCTATTAGGATCACTCTTCGTCCGTCGTCCGTTGTACGTCGTCCGTCGTACGTTGTCCGTTCACACTTTTCAAACGACATCTCCTCTGAAACCATAAGGCAGATCATAATGAAACTTCACAGGGATGTTCCTTGTGTGAAGCCTTAACAAAGTTGTTCAAAGAATTCCATTCCATGCAGAACTCTGGTTGCCATGGCAACCAAAAGAAAAAACTTCAAACATCTTCTTCTAGAAAACCCAAAGAGCTAGAGCTTAGATATTTGGCATGAAACATCTTCTAGTGAGTGTCTACCAAGATTGTTCAAATAAAATCCCTGGGGTCAAAATTGGCCCCGCCCCAGGGGGTCATTGATTTTCCCTATATGCATATAGTAAAAACTTAAAAAAATGTTCTTTTAAAGTACCCAAAGAGCTAGAGCTAAGATATTAAGCATAAAACATCTTCTAATGAGTGTCTACCAAGATTGTTCAAATAAAAGCCCTAGGGTCAAAATTGGCCCCGCCCCAGTGGGTCATTGATTTTCCCTATATGCATATAGTAAAAACTTAAAAAATCTTCTTCTAAAAAACCCAAAGAGCTAGAGCTTAGATATTTGGCATGAAACATGTTCTAATGGATGTCTACCAAGTTTGTTCAAATAAAAGCCCTGGGGTCAAAATTGGCCCCGCCCCTGGGGGGTCATTGATTTTCCCTATATGCATATAGTAAAAACTTAAAAAAAATTTCTTTTAAAGAACCCAAAAAGCTAGAGCTAAGATATTTAGCATGAAACATCTTCTAATCGGTGTCTACCAAGTTTGTTCAAATAAAAGCCCTGGGGTCAAAATTGGCCCCGCCCCAGGGGGTCATTGATTTTCCCTATATGCATATAATAAAAACTTAAAAAAATTTTCTTTTAAAGAACCCAAACAGCTAGAGCTAAGATATTTAGCATGAAACATCTTCTAATGGGTGTCTACTAAGTTTGTTCAAATAAAAGCCCTGGGGTCAAAATTAGCCCCGCCCCAGGGGGTCATTGATTTTCCCTATATGCATATAGTAAATACTTAAAAAATTTTCTTTTAAAGAACCCAAAGAGCAAGAGCTAAGATATTTGGCATGAAACATCTTCTAATAAGTGTCTACCAAGATTGTTCAAATAAAAGCCCTGGGGTCAAAATTGGCCCCGCCCCAGGGGGTCATTGATTTTCCCTATATGCATATAGTAAAAACTTAAAAAATCTTCTTCTAAAAAACCCAAAGAGCTAGAGCTAAGATTTTTGGCATGAAACCTGTTCTAATAGGTGTCTACCAAGTTTGTTCAAATAAAAGCCGTGGGGTCAAAATTGGCCCTGCCCCAGGGGGTCATTGATTTTCCCTATATGCATAAAATAAAAACTTAAAAAAATTTTCTTTTAAAGAACCCAAAGAGCTAGAGCTAAGATATTTAGCATGAAACATCTTCTAATGAGTGTCTACCAAGTTTGTTCAAATAAAAGCCCTTGGGTCAAAATTAGCCCCGCCCCAGGGGGTCATTGATTTTCCCTGTATGCATGTAGTAAAAACTTAAAAAAATCTTCTTTTAAAGAACCCAAAGAGCTAGAGCTAAGATATTAGCATGAAACATCTTGTAATGAGTGTCTACCAAGATTGTTCAAATAAAAGCCCTGGGGTCAAAATTGGTCCCGCCCCAGGGTGTCATTATATTTAACTATATGTGTATAGTAAAAACTTAAAAAAATTTCTTTTAAAGAACCCAAAGAGCTAGAGCTAAGATATTTAGCATGAAACATCTTCTAATGAGTGTCTACCAAGTTTGTTCAAATAAAAGCCCTGGGGTCAAAATTAGCCCCGCCCCAGGGGGTCATTGATTTTCCCTGTATGCATGTAGTAAAAACTTAAAAAAATCCTCTTTTAAAGAACCCAAAGAGCTAGAGCTAAGATATTAAGCATGAAACATCTTCTAATGAGTGTCTACCAAGATTGTTCAAATAAAAGCCCTGGGGTCAAAATTGGTCCCGCCCCAGGGTGTCATTGTATTTAACTATATGTGTATAGTAAAAACTTAAAAAAATGTTCTTTTAAAAAACCCAATGAGCTAGAGCTTAGATGTTCAGCATGAAACATCTTATGGGTTTCTACCAAGTTTGTTCAAATAAAAGCCTTTGGATTAAAATTGGCCCTGCCAGGGGTGGGGGTGGGAAGGTCATTGTTTTTCATAATATGTGTGTATAAAGACTTAACATCATGAAACATCTTCTAATGGGTGTCTTCCAAGTTTGTTCAAATAAAAGCCCTTGGGTTTAAACTGGCCCCGCTCCAGGGGCCTATATACAGGTGAGCGACCTCAGGGCCATCATGGCCCTCTTGTATGAACTAGAAAATTATGTCTTGGTATGACTGTTTTTATGACTTAGAAAATTCTGTCTTGGTATGACTGTTTTTATGACTTAGAAAATTCTGTCTCGGTATGACTGTTTTTATGAACTAGAAAATTCTGTCTCGGTATGACTGTTTTTATGACCTAGAAAATTCTGTCTTGGTATGACTGTTTTTATGACTTAGAAAATTCTGTCTTGGTATGACTGTCTTTATGACCTAGAAAATTCTGTCTTGGTATGACTGTTTTTATGACCTAGAAAATTCTGTCTTGGTATGACTGTTTTTATGACCTAGAAAATTCTGTCTTGGTATGACTGTTTTTATGACTTAGAAAATTCTGTCTTGGTATGACTGTTTTTATGACTTAGAAAATTCTGTCTTGGTATGACTGTTTTTATGACCTAGAAAATTCTGTCTTGGTATGACTGTTTTTATGACTTAGAAAATTCTGTCTTGGTATGACTGTCTTTATGACCTAGAAAATTCTGTCTTGGTATGACTGTTTTTATGACCTAGAAAATTCTGTCTTGGTATGACTGTTTTTATGACTTAGAAAATTTTGTCTTGTTGTGACTGTTTTTATGACCTAGAAAATTCTGTCTTTGTATGGCTGTCTATGACCTAGAAAATTCTGTCTTGGTATGACTGTCTTTATGACCTAGAAAATTCTGTCCTAGTATGACTGTTTTTATGACTTAGAAAATTCTGTCTTGGTATGAGTGTTTTTATGACCTAGAAAAATCTGTCTTGGTATGACCTGTTTTTATGACTTAGAAAATTCTGTCTTGGTATGAGTGTCTTTATGACCTAGAAAAATTCTGTCTTGGTATGACTGTTTTTATGACTTAGAAAATTCTGTCTTGGTATGACCTGTTTTTATGACTTAGAAAATTCTGTCTTGGTATGACCTGTTTTTATGACTTAGAAAATTCTGTCTTGGTATGACTGTTTTTATGACCTAGAAAATTCTGTCTTGGTATGACTGTTTTTATGACTTAGAAAATTCTGTCTCGGTATGACTGTTTTTATGAACTAGAAAATTCTGTCTTGGTATGACTGTTTTTATGACCTAGAAAATTCTGTCTTGGTATGACTGTTTTTATGACTTAGAAAATTCTGTCTTGGTATGACTGTCTTTATGACCTAGAAAATTCTGTCTTGGTATGACTGTTTTTATGACCTAGAAAATTCTGTCTTGGTATGACTGTTTTTATGACCTAGAAAATTCTGTCTTGGTATGAGTGTTTTTATAACCTAGAAAAATCTGTCTTGGTATGACCTGTTTTTATGACTTAGAAAATTCTGTCTTGGTATGAGTGTCTTTATGACCTAGAAAAATTCTGTCTTGGTATGACTGTTTTTATGACTTAGAAAATTCTGTCTTGGTATGACCTGTTTTTATGACTTAGAAAATTCTGTCTTGGTATGACCTGTTTTTATGACTTAAAAATTCTGTCTTGGTATGACTGTTTTTTATGACTTAGAAAATTCTGTCTCGGTATGACTGTTTTTATGACTTAGAAAATTCTGTCTTGGTATGACTGTCTTTATGACCTAGAAAATTCTGTCTTGGTATGACTGTTTTTATGACCTAGAAAATTCTGCCTTGGTATGACTGTTTTTATGACCTAGAAAATTCTGTCTTGGTATGACTGTTTTTATGACCTAGAAAATTCTGTCTTGGTATGACTGTTTTTTATGACTTAGAAAATTCTGTCTTGGTATGACTGTTTTTGTGACCTAGAAAATTCTGTCTTGGTATGACTGTTTTTATGACTTAGAAAATTCTGTCTTGGTATGACTGTTTTTATGACCTAGAAAATTCTGTCTTGGTATGACTGTTTTTATGACTTAGAAAATTCTGTCTCGGTATGACTGTTTTTATGAACTAGAAAATTCTGTCTTGGTATGACTGTTTTTTATGACCTAGAAAATTCTGTCTTGGTATGACTGTTTTTATGACTTAGAAAATTCTGTCTTGGTATGACTGTCTTTATGACCTAGAAAATTCTGTCTTGGTATGGCTGTTTTTATGACCTAGAAAATTCTGTCTTGGTATGACTGTTTTTATGACCTAGAAAATTCTGTCTTGGTATGACTGTTTTTATGACCTAGAAAATTCTGTCTTGGTATGACTGTTTTTATGACCTAGAAAATTCTGTCTTGGTATGACTGTTTTTATGACCTAGAAAATTCTGTCTTGGTATGACTGTTTTTATGACTTAGAAAATTCTGTCTTGGTATGACTGTCTTTATGACCTAGAAAATTCTGTCTTGGTATGACTGTTTTTATGACCTAGAAAATTCTGTCTTGGTATGACTGTTTTTATGACTTAGAAAATTTTGTCTTGTTGTGACTGTTTTTATGACCTAGAAAATTCTGTCTTTGTATGGATGTCTATGACCTAGAAAATTCTGTCTTGGTATGACCTGTTTTTATGACTTAGAAAATTCTTTCTTGTTGTGACTGTTTTTATGACCTAGAAAATTCTGTCTTTGTATGGCTGTCTATGACCTAGAAAATTCTGTCTTGGTATGACCTGTTTTTATGACTTAGAAAATTCTGTCTTGTTGTGACTGTTTTTATGACCTAGAAAATTCTGTCTTGGTATGACTGTTTTTATGACTTAGAAAATTTTGTCTTGTTGTGACTGTTTTTATGACCTAGAAAATTCTGTCTTGGTATGACTTTAAATCTTTCCAAGAAAGAACTGTGATCTAAAATTAAAATTACCAGAAATGTACAGAGTGGAAACATGTACTTTCATTGTATGAGTTTTAACTGAACTATATTTAAATATATTTAGGACTACATATATATTTAGATATAATTATTGACAAAATCCTGAGTAAGTTACTGCATTTATATAAGTATGTTAGTGTATTTATATTAGTAAGTTATTGTGATTATATTTCTAAGTTTGTGTGTTTATATTTGTTTGTATGTTTCTATTATTAAAGTAAGTGTATTCATATTAATTAGTAAGTTTTATGTGTTTATATAAATTAGTTTATGCTGTCTTTTATATATTCAGGTCCTTCATTCATGATTGGAAATCCAAGTATGAGACCCTGACAGACATGATTGTTCCAAGATCATCCAAGTAAGTAACCCCTTTAACCTGCTTAATTTCTTAAATGGACTTGTCCAGTTCCTGTTTCCAGACATGTCTATTACCAAATTTTGGGGATATCAAGATAAAAATTGGAAGTTTGCCAACAGTACAGAGCCTGATCAGACTGGTTGGATGTGCAGGCTGGCCTGGAATTATTCTAGTGACAAAGGCTTAGTTTATCATACTCCCACAATAATCAGTTTAACAAGGGTGGATGGATTGCAGGAATATTGGTTTAACCTTAATCTTGGAATAAACATCTTCATTAGGATAGAACCTTTATCTTGTTTACAAACATAATGCAGAAAAAAGGCTTCAGTTTGATTTACTGAACTACATGAATGACCTTGACCTTTACAGTCAAAATTTTCAAAATTCTAGTGATTTCTTTATAAAGCTTTCATTATATTTGAATGGATGTAGGGTAGATGGCATTTGTGTTTTATCAGATTTAAGACATCTTGCTTTAATCATGATTTTTAGCCACTATTTGAATGTATTTTATCAACAGAACTCAGAATTATACACAACATCAATAATGATATCAATTTTACAAAGAAAGCAATGTGGAATTAGTAGTTTTTCACTCAGTAGTTATGCCCCTTTTATTACAGTAGAGCACCGGGAATAGGCGAGTGTACTGTTTTATGGACAGTTCTGATTATTTTTCAGTGTAATATACGAGGATGATGAGAATTGTTTGTGTACGGTGACATTGTTTAGAAGGGTAGAGGATGAATTTAGACAAAAATGTAGAGAAAATAAGTAAGTCTCTGTTTAAATTTCTGTTGGCTGCAATTGATAAAAATATGAATGTCATATGTTATTGTTAAAAGGGTTAAAATTGACTTCTATTGCAGATTGTTAGATATTAAGTTTTGTTTATTTAACCTCCATTATTGAAACACTCAATTTCCTGGAACTAACCCTTATAGTGTCTGATTTTCTAAGAGACCTAAGTTTAAAATCTGATCATTTCCCTTGATAGTCTAAAAAATATAGCTTTCTTTTGACAATTTTTTTTAAGAAATTCATAAAATATGTTTAGTAGGAAAATATCGTTAGAACTGTGACATATTGAGAATCAAACAGTTACAGAGTGTACTTACGTTGTCACCCCAGAAGGGGTGCAAACTCATGAACCCTTGGTTGAGAAGCAGACACATTAACTGCTAGGCCACTACTCCCTTCTTACACATCATACCTCCTTTTATCAGTTGAATGAACATTTACTTGATTGTTGTCTGTTGCCAATTTGTTTTCCGCCGATAATGACCTAAGCATGTGTAAAGAGGGTGGCACTGTTTCAGTAGATTTCACAAAGAGGATGTGGATAGGAATAACAACCATGTCCGAGGCTCTTAACCATTTCTATTTCTTCTATTTTATGTTGCAGATTTGTAGTACGTGATTTTACCTACAATGAATCAGAACTAGCTGCGGGGAAAAACGAAATCAAGAAACTTGATGCTGATAGAAAAAAACAATTTGTAAGTACATTGGTTTGATAGACTATTGTATTGCATAGAGGTTCTTTTAGAGATTTTTGTTATTATTTTTCACCATTTAGGATCAGTATGGATGTGAATATAAAGTAGGCGTCTCAACAGACAAGTGGTTGAGGTTGCAGACTACAAGCTACTTGACTGTTATTTGCTGTTGGTTTGAATCCTGCTAGGGAATTTGGATTCATTCTTGTGAGGAAGCTATCTAGCTAGCTTATGTAAGATTGATGAAGGTTATGATAAAGGAAGGGACACATGTGGTGTTCATCCATCAGTAAAGCTTTAAAGCTGCAGTATGACCTGAACAGTGCTAATGCAACTTCAAAGTTATAATTTTGAGCTACAAACAGTACAGAACCCGGGCCAGAGTACTCAGCCCGTTAGGCAGGTCTGGCTTCAAAACTGATGGCAAAGGCAAATCTCTTTCAGATCCAGCAATGTAAGACATAATGATATTACATTTTATATCATATATTGTGTAGAAATTAACCAATCTTTGTTAGATTTATATTTTGATATGATATATTTTCAGGGTCCTCTAGTAAAATGGTTGAAGGTTAACTTTGGGGAATGCTTCACAGCATGGATTCATACAAAGGCGTTACGTGTATTCGTAGAAAGTGTTCTTAGGTATGATGGATGTTTTGAAACCTATTGTAAGGGCATTTGTGGCTGAGTGGTTAAGCTTGTTGACTTTAAACCTTTTGCCCCGCACTGCTAAGGGTTCTGATACCACCAGGTACATGTGAGGAAGCTATCCAGCTAGCTTACAGAACGTTGGTGGTTCTACACAGGTGCCTGAAGAAAGACACTGAGGTGCACCTGAGGTTTTCCTCCACCAGTTAAGACTGAGTTACCATATGACCTTTACCCAATTAAAGCTGTTCCTGGAACCAACCATTACTAAGCAATGTGTGTAAAGTTTCTTGCTCAAGGAAACAATGGCTTGCCCCCATTTGGTTTGAACCTACGCTACCAGTTACGGTATCCTTTGATATAACCTTTGCAAAATACAAGTATATTTTTAGAATAATTGTCCAGTTGACTGCATAAAGCAAAACATTATTAAAGATAATCCATAAACCAAATTTAAAGCTGCATGCCCCAAGATGAGTTAACAGATTTTCAAAAAATGTTTTAAAGAATACATGTATATTTTGACTGTTTGAACATCTTAATGTGAAATATCTTAGCGATTTTTAAAAAGAAATTAATTTTGATGCAGAGAATATATTAAATGAACTGCATTTTTCTCATTTTGAACCTGTTAAAAGAGTCAAACTTCATTCTAGGCAATGTTTACTTATTGTGACTTATGCAATATATTATGTATTTTAGATATGGGCTACCTGTTAATTTTCAAGCAATGTTGTTACTGCCTCATAAAAAGACACAAAGAAGATTAAGGGACGAACTTGGCAGATTGTACGAGCACCTAGACAACACTGCATTGACTGGCATTGATGTAAGTTACAGACACTAAAAAAAATCAGCCTGCTAAGTACAATACAGGGAGCATTAGATTTGATATCAAGGGGTCACTGGTTTGATTCACGAGGAAGGTGAAATATCACCATGACAATCAAAATTGGCCATTCAGTCAAATTATATTTTGTTTGTCACTGCTGATTCACAAATTATGTGGATTAGTAGTTTGTCACTTGCCAAGAACTTGGTAATAACTGGTTGATTATCAAGGAAAGCTGGTAAGGTGGAGAAATCACCAAGACGTGAATGAAAATGAATTAATATTGTGGTAAAAACCAAACAAGAGACATAAGAAAATCAAAACTTGATTGAAAGTTGAAATGTGCATATTTTGTAAAACAGTTACAAATTTCTCTTGAATTTCATTATTTCATTATGGCATTTCAAGTCATCATGTAGGTTAAAATCAAGTCTGTAAGAATAGACATAAGAGAAATTTTGAAATGGTAATTTAGATCCTGATTTCTAAATCCTACTGAACAAAGGGCAAGTTTTTGTATGTGTGCTTGTCTGTCTTTATTTTTTTTTGTGTTTTTATATTTTGATTGAACATGTATTTAGCATTGGTGTATGTTATATTTCAGAGTGGAAATATGGACATTCCTGGGTTGGCTGGTATGGGCACAGACTATTATCCATATGTGTTCTACAAAATCAACCTTGACCTTGTAGATTCAATACATCGTTGATCCATCGCCTAGATATAAAAATAATTGACTTGTAGTAATCTTGTATAAAATCTGCTTCGATGACATTACCATAGGTTATAGTAGACCTACTTTTGTTTAAAGTAGCTCTAAAATTGTTAAAAGTGCTGAAATTTCAAAATGGTATGTTATAATAGTTTTAAAGAAGAGAACATAAATGATCAGTTAATGAATTAAAATTAAGCAGAACTATAAATATGGGCAGATATTATTAATTCTGTAAAATCCAGCTTAAACTGTAATATCACGAGGTCGCTAGCTTTCAATGTAATATGATTATTTTGTTTTCCTTTAAAATGACAAATGTTTAATAGAAAAAATGGCTCTTAAAAAGTAATTTTGTCATTCATTAAGCAAAATTTGCTTTTTACTGTGTCATGATATAACACAAGAATCTTACTTTTATAATCACTCCATACAAAATTATGTTGAAATGCTATAAAGCTTTCCACATGCTCGCTCGCTATATTCCCGTAACTTGTTTATAGAAGCTATAATGAAGTAAAACAGAAGAGAGCAAAATACTGACCTCATTTACTGTAATCATGTACAGACGAAAGTGTCAAAATTTAACCTGAGTAAAATATAAAGTATATCAACATGTTATTCGGTATGTTATTTGCATGTGTCTATATGAACTTAGTTGACCACCCCTCTTACAAGTATAAAATAGCTTCCCATGTCAGATCCTATTTCTATTGAATTTTAAACAGTCAGAATCTGGAGATATTTTCTACAAAAGTTTGTCTACTATACTTGACTTAAACAATCCAGCTTAGTGTCTATTCCAGTTGTTCTTATTGTTATGTTTGTTTTTCTTTATTTTTTTTTAAATGTTTTTCACATGCAATATTTCGTATCCACTGTAATACATCATTATTACATTTTTGAACTGGGATATAAGGTCTCTCATAGATTTATATTTTTTAATGGTCTTATCACACTTTAAGGAAACAATTTGTGTGGTATTTAATAAGAATCTGTGTCAAAAGAAAGCTGTTATTATGAGGTACAAAAAGTATAATTGAAACAAAAACAGTTTCTTTTTCTTTTTTTTGCTTTATACAGAATTTATTTTAGTTTGATTGTGTAGGAAGCTATAAGCTTATAGACACACTTTTGTTACTGTTCCTGGAACCAACCAGTACTGACCAATGAGTTTCTTGTTTTAAAAAAAAGATTTCCTGCTGAAAAAGTACAAATCTCTTAGCCGATGGATAAATTTATGAAAATATACCGTACATGTATATTTGTTATAGTGGAAATCATTGATCAAAAATTCATTGTACAAAATGTTTCTTAATTTCTATGTAACATTTTATTTCATGTTTACAGTGCATTGTAGATATGTTATTGACAGTTTGAGCAATTTAAAGTGTTTATTGTTAATTTTGGAGTCAAATGAATGTAAATGTAAGCAGGATTAATAAGAATATTAGTAGAATTTATTTTTAGATAGAAGTTTGTTTGATATATTTGTTGCCATAGTTTAGGGACTGCACATTTTATATACATGTGTTTATAAATGGAGATATTGATATTCTAACATTCAAAAAGATACTGTATTATATAAAATGTAGTTTTGTTTGGGGAAAAAAAAGTCATTATGTTGTACACCAGTGTATCTAGTCAGTTCTTGTGTCAAGTGTGCATTCAATTTTAATACATAAAAAAATTATTTACATGTTTATCTATTATCCAAAAAGATAAGGGATAAAATTGAATATACCAAGATGCATTGAATGAATGCATTGTAAAGGTGTACGAAGTTTTTCATCACTAGAAATGCCGTATATCTATTAAGGTTATTGGGCCCTTTTGAAATTCCTCATTCATGTTTGAAATCCAAAGTATAAGTACTGTATGTTGACCTTTGACCTACTGAATTTTTGTAATGAATTTGTCCAGCTTTGAATTTGGAACAGTCCATTCAAAGTTTAAGGGATTTTAATATCAAAATAATTTGTTTTGAAGCCAACAGTATAGAACCTGGTCAGGCTGGACAGATGTGCAAGCTGACCTGGCTCAAGACAAGTGGCAAAGGCTGATCACTTTTGTTTCTAATAGATTAAGGGGTAGATATATCTGACAAGGTTATCATGATTTTTAGTATGTATATTATATTACAGAATAGATGCTAGTTTTTTCCCCTATATATAAGAGGTACATTTATTTTCCACATGATTTTTATTCATTCTTTATTCTTTTTCAAATCTTACACATATTTGACACTATCATTATTCTTAAAGAACAGTAGATATTCTGATTGGTAAATATCTACAATTACTTGACACTTATCATTTTTATAAAAAGGAAAGATTTACTTGTATGTAAATGTCGCGAAATACTTAAAACTTTTAAGTGAATAATGGACTGCTTAAAACGTTGTTTATTGACATAATTGGAAACACTGAACAGTATAAAAATACTTTGACATAATCTTAAAAGATGTATTTTCCACCTTGTTTTGTAGTTGTAAGCTTATTAAAGTTTTTATAAAAATTTAACTAAAAGAAATTTATCCATAGTGAAATAACATGATAAATTTATATGCATATTTGGATTTTGATGGCTGTTAAAACAGATAGTACTTTTTTTTCTCTGACTTCTTTTGATTTCTGCATATTTTGAATTATAAAGCAAATTGACTAGGTTCGGTTAGTCTCTAAAGTAAAGTTTTGGTTTTACTATCATGACTGTAGATGAACAAGTAAGTAAATATTACTGATTTTATAACTGGTAAAAGTCTAGGACAATGCTGGGCACATTGTACTGGAGATATAAGCATTTGTTTAATATAACCAAGATGTTTTAACTGTGATTATATATGTTTATATTGTATATTGTTGATGTACATCATGATTTTTGTATATCAGTTATGTGTTTTTACATAGAAAAAAGGATGAATTATTATATATAAGTAGCTAATACGAAGTTTGTTTTAACATTATAAAATCCTGATTTATAAAATACAGTGGAATCTGAGCATGTTTATTGTAAAAATATCAAGCTAGCTGATGGAATGTCAGTGGCTTTACTTAGGTGCCATGACATGCCTGAAAGTGGGAGTGATGGCCTAGAGGTTAAGGTATCTGCCTCTCAACCCAGGGATAATGGGTTTGAGCAATAAATGGGTCATGACCACGTTTTTTATTAGACTATTTCTGGTTAGTTCAAAGAAGTGAGATACAAGAGTTGTTCAAGCAAATTTTCATCATAATCCAGCTTAGATAAATATTTTTTTAATAATGCATGACCCCATAGTAGCTAAAGGGTTTCTATAAATGGTTGAGGCACAAAATTTGTAGCCACCGTTTATCCCTGGGTGTTCGCAAGAGGCAATTACATTGGTTCAAATTACTGGAATCTATGCATCTCTTGGGTCCAGCAGGTGAGGTGGTTCTGAACTCTTGTGATGCTTAAGTTTGTAACACCCTAGGTCAGCTACAATCATCTTTCCTGTTTCGGCGTGATATTGCCTAGAATTGGTTGGTGCACTGTTCAGCCAAACAAAACAAACAACTAAAATAATGCTAGAAGGTGCACCGAAGGTTTTCCTCCACCCATAAAGCTGGAAAGTCGCCGTTTGACCTTTACAGTGTTGGTGCCACTTAAAATGTAACAAATTTGTACGGAATTGGTTTCATATTTTTTATGAAAAAGTTCATTAAGCTGACTTACAAAAGTCTGGTGGTAAAATCCTTAGAATCTATGTAAGCCTTTATAGACTGCACCACGGGCCTTTCTCCAAACGTAAAAAAAAGGCTGGGAAGTTACTACATAACCTGTTTGAGATGGAATGATCAATAAATAAAAGTAAAATCACAAGTGACTTGGAAGACAAGTTATATATGGCAATAGGTATTTTAAGAAGCATGTTACAAATTAAGAGGATTCTGACATTCTAAGACTGTAACTTCAAGAGCAAAGATAAACACTGAGCATTTAAAAAATGTAAATAATGTAAATAATGCAAATACCAGCACTGCATCTGCATATCAAAGCCAGAGAGGTAACGAAAATACAAGACATATTCTTGTCCAGTTTCAATATACATTAACCTTAGAAAATAATAAAACATTCCAAGATTTAAATTATAATTAGATACAGATTTTGTGCATCATAATGTTGATATCCTTGATTGCTATTTGTTTCAAAGATTTATTGATGGAATACCTTCAAAAAAAGAAAACAACTACAGGTTCAGATTTGGTTTAATTTTTTTTTACAATATTTTTTTTTACAATAAATAATTTTTTTTTTCAATAACAAAATCTTGAACATTTTCATCAAATAATACTGCACCAGATTCAACTTTTATCAACACAAAACATGAAAATAATGTAAAATGGACGGGAAATAATGTTTCAAATTGATGGATTGGTGCAAAACGGATGTAAACCTTTCATTATATAATATTACGTACAGCTGTTTCGCACCAAGCCCTCGAAATAATGAAATAAATACAACAATGTATGGAATGTACATGTATAGGAAAAGTACTATAATGTTCCACAAATTTTTCCTACTTACAGTCTTGCATGAAATGGTCATGCAAAAAATGGATAACTTGCAATATGAATTTTTTCCCTACAGTAACAGGGAGTGATTAAGCCTTTGCCACCAGTATAGAGCCAGGCCAGTCTGCTCATCTACACAGTCTGACCAGAGGCTCTATACTGTTGGCTGACTTAATTTCTTAATTTTCCATTTTGATATCCCTAAATAGACAATGGACAGTTCCATGAATTGAAGTTTGGGCAGATCCATTTATGAAACTCAGCAGGTTAAGGGTTAATTAGTAAAATGCTTTCCTCCAACAGTGAAATTTTCATATGATAATAATTATTATATGAAGTGATTTTATGTCCTAATATTTTATGTCCTAATATGTTATGTCCTAATAATAATGGATGTTTCATTTATTATAAACTATCTACAATAGCTGACCTTTTCTGTATGAAATCCCCAAATTTACAGACTAAAAGTAACTATAGTTATAAAGAACAAAAAAAATTAATACATATATGATACATGAAGTATTTTTTAACCTTTAACCTCCTGAAAAGAAAATGTTTAGTCTTTGCCATCATTAATTCAGGCCAGCTGTGACATCCCAGGCTTTTTCCTGTTGTCTAAGTTGGACATGTCCATTTAAGGAATTCAGAAGGTTTACTTTTACAATGTCAAAATTATCTTTGCTCCACTAATTTACAATACTCTTCTGAGTAAACAGTCAAAATGAAACAATTTTTGTGTCAGTTTTATAAACTATATTTCAATGACCACATCTGATGATGAAAGAGGTTTTTATTTGGATGGCATGTTACCCTGAGGTTTAAAAAAGTCTGTCCAAAAACACATACTTCAAGTACAAACCCTATAGAGATCTATATCATGTTGTTTTTTTATAGACTGTTCATGGCTTCTAAAACACGATGTACATCAACTCATACTCTCTTCACAATAAATTTAAAAAATAAACAAGTTTTAACTTGTTGAATAAAACTATTCAATAAATAAAACACATGCTGTTATTTGCGTACAAATAAAACTTGTACCATTTCAGTTGTAGTTGTTGTAAATCAAATTCTATTCATATTTGATTACATTTACTCAGAAATCCTGGAGGGTCCATAATTCTACAGAGTTTCAGTCAAGTTCATCGTCAGGACTCCATACGTCCAGGTTGTCATATTTTCTACTGTGACTCAAACCTAGATTCTCCGCAAGATCCTGAATCTTTTCCTCTTTACTCATGGCCGCGTATTTTTTCTCGTCTTCAGAAAAGTCCATTGCCATTCTTAAGGCACCTGGGCTGTTAATGACTTGTCCCATACCATAAGGCCTTTCTTTTGACATTTCTGATGAATTCCCTTTAACTGAAGCTGATATGTTTACTTCTTCCACTAGTTTTCGTGTTTTCTCAATGTCCGAGGGTTCATTCATGTCTTGAATAAGTTTCTGCTTATCTCCTGACGGTTTGGCCCACATATTATCATTAGCACCAGTTTCCTCTTCATCACTGTCTGAATCTGTATCAGAATCATCATCGTCACCAAGAACTTCTATTTTAGGTTTGAACGTTCCTTTTTCTGCTCGACTGGATGCTGGCAGACTTATAGACTCAATGGATTTATCATCTGTAAGGAATAAAATACTGAGCTATTATAAATAACAAAAAAAAAAAATATGACAATTTTTAAGAAATTTTTTTTTATTTTTTAACCAGTCTGTAAATTATGTTTATTGTAACTTTGTCAATATGATTAACATCTTGAGAACCACAGCTTTAGCCCTTTGTGGTTGTGTATCAAAAGATAAGTTTATGGAGATAAAAATGAATCTGTAATTAGACCTACATCTATTTATTACCTGTACCTAACAACCTGTTTAATCACAGTTTGCAAGTATGGATACTTCTTTAAGAACAATCACATTAAATAAATTGCTTTAACTATAATAAAGTTCTGAAACTTAAAGTGCCCATAAGTATGGTAGCCTTATTTGCATCATAACCTTTAACTGCAGAATTTATGTAATGGATTTTTCCAGCTTTAAATTTAGAACAGTCTTTTCAAAGTTTAAGGTATCTCAACACCAAAATACAATAGTATATTATGCCCGGTGCAAGCTAGCCTTGCCATCTATAATTGTGGCAAATGCTTATTTGTGACTTTCGATTCCACACAGTTCTGGGTCAAAACAGTGAAAAGTAATCCTAGAGTCTCAAAAATGTTCTTTATGCACTCTGTACATATACTTTAAAGAAAATTTATTGAGTGACCCAGTAAATTGTGTGTGACCTAATAAGTTGTAAGTGATCCAATAAGTTAGTCAAGAAATAAGCGTGATAATTACCTGCCATTTCTGTTATGAAAATTTCTGAGCTATCAACTGGTTTTGATTCTGGAAAAAAAGATAAAGGATACATTTTATTATTTTATTAAAAATAGTAAAGATTGTACTAAGCAATAAATGTGAAGTTTCTTGCTCATTTTAGGAAACAACAGTTTGCCACTCAGACAGGCTTTAGTTTATGCAAATTTATTTTAGTTTGATTGTGCTGGAAGCTTTAAGCTTATTGAAACGTCACTCTCAAATCCGTTCCTGGAACCAACCAGTACTAAGCAATGAATGTAAAGTTTCTTGCTTCAGGAAACAACCGCTTGCCCCTGATGGGGTTTGAACCCACACAGTAAGCAATCCTTAGATTACTAATCTGATGCATTAACCACTCGGCCCCTTCGCCACCCTATGGTGGGGTTTGAATCAACAAAGTCAGCAATACTAAAAATACTAGTCTGAGGCATTAACCACTTGGCCATGCTGTACACTCCATGTATACTGTTAAGCAGCCAACAGGTTAAATCTAAATGTTTTCTTTTCTGGCCCTATACCAGGTACAGGCTGGGTTGAGATATTTCTAAATTAAAAAAAAGGCATTAAATATATACTTTTACAGAATAATAGTAAACAAATTTTTTTCTATCATGGGACAATAAATTCTAAATGGGAGATCATCTTTTAAGATACACATACTTTTTCCGGAAGAAAAGATTCCCTCTGCTTGTTGAGCATTGTTAGGTTTTATCAAAGGAATTTCTTCTGGCTGACTGGTTCCTGATTCTTTTGGTTCCTCTGTAGTAACATCTTCAATGACTAGCCTGGTACCCGGCTCATTTTTCAACTGTTCTGATACATCAACATCTTCAAGGTCGGGCATGTCCTGAAAAAGTTACCATCATGTACAGAAAACAATAGCATTTTAGCTATATATCTGCTGCCAAATTATTGTTTGAATTTTAAAAAAAGAATACTTTAAAAAATGCTTTTATACAAGAAATATGGTAGTTTAGAATTGCCTACAAAGCTATAGCTGCGTGCATAAAATTGTTGCTAAACGGATAAAGCCTACTTAAAATTTGTTGAAGTGATTTCATCATCAGAAATACAAAAATTGAGCTACTAAATGAAACAGTATAGAACCTGGTCAAACTATGCAGAAGCACAAGCTGACCAGTGGCTCTACATTGTTCAGGCAAAGGCGTATCACTTCCAGTAATCATCATTCACTTACTGTATTTGTATCAGTTTGAGTATCTCCTCTCTCCGTCCGTTCTTTCGCTTCACGAGCCACCTGTGATTTAGTCTTGTATGTATCAGTTAACCAATCTATAGTTGATATATCAACCTCTTCACCCTCTCCAGCTTCATCTAGTTCTTTCTGGAAACGTTTAGCCAAGTTCTGTAACCTTTTTTTACTCATTGCTTCAATAAAGAAAAACATCCTTAATTACATACTTTTAATATGCAGGCATTTAAGTATTAAAACAAGTAATTGTCGTGTTTCTTATATCCTTTTGGTTTGTTTGGGTATTAAGTAGCATCAACAAAGAAAAGGTTAAATGTCGTCTATCCAGCTTTACTGGTAGAAGAAGACCTCAGGTGTCCCTCCATGCATTATTTCAGACAAAAACAGGTACATGAGTAAGAGCCCTCAATTTTCCATAGGCTAGCTGAATAGCTTCCTCATATTTTCACTATTTGGAATACTTCCTGAAATGCTCAGGTCAGGCAGGCTGCAATAATTATTTCTATGTAAACTTTTTGCTCAATCAAAATTACTACATATAAGATCAAATTTTGTATGGACAATTAGTCCTACCATTAACACTGTCTGATATTTTTTTCCTTTCAGCATCAACCCATTTCTGTCTCTCAATTCTTTCTGCTTCAACACCACCTGCATTCCTGTAATTATAACATAGAGCATCAGTTTAAGGTGCATGTTAACCTGAGTAAGCATGCTGAATTTCCCTACTGGACTTTTCCAATTTAAATTTTAAAACAGTTCATTATTAATTTTAAAGGATATCATATGGAAGTTTGTAAGTTGATCAAACAAATGTATACAATGGCTTATTTGACACCATATTTTTATTTTATTGGAAAGTTTAATCAAGTGGTTAAATTATGAGAACTCTTAACTTGCTGAATTTCTTAAATGGACTTGTCCAGCTTCCATTTTTGGAAATGCCCATTATCAATGTTGGGGATATCAAGATGAAGGTAAATATTTAAAGTTAATCAGCCAACAGTATAAAGTTTGGTCAGACTGCAGATATGAGCAGGCAGCAGCCTTTTTCTTTTGTTTGTTTGTTTTGGATTTTATGTCACATAGAGACAGTATAGGTCATATCACGACGTTCCAGCTTTACTGGTGGAGGAAGACCTCAGGTGCCCTTCCGTGCATTATTTCAGCACGAACAGGCACCTGAGTAGAACCACCGACATTCCGTAAGCTAGCTGGATTATTATACTACTAAGCTTTCTCACATGAAAGAATCCAAAGTCCCTGTCAGGATTCAAACCCACAACGGTGAGGGGCAAGTGGTTTGAAGTCAAAAACCTTAACCACTCGGCCACGGACGCTCTTTACTAGTTGCAAAGGCTAATTATTTTCTGGCCAAGCAAGTTAAATCATTAATGAGGCATTAACAATGCAAGTTATAGTGGCCTTGAAGTATCCAAAATATTTAATAATTTCTCAATAATGAATCATAATCAAAATCTTATTTAAAATGCCACTCATTCCTTTTGTTTTCATTGCTGATATATTGTGATTTAAAGCAGATAGACAAAGTTCTACATATTGGTCGCCTTTCTGCATAATTAACTAATCTCTTTAATGACTGGAAATGAATCAAGCAGAAAACTTTGATATTAATCAATCCAGTCTTTGTTTCATTCCGTTGGAACCTGTCACCATTGATGAATTGATATCAACTGACCATTTGATCTAGACCGACTAGCAAATTAGTTTCTTATCCAAAAGAGCAACCATTCAAGCTAAATAACTTCTAATTATACAAATTGTGAAGAAGAAAAAAATATCTTGACATTTCGAAGAAATTGCAATGTCAATAATGAAATGCAAAAAGTTAATTACTAAAAAAGGCAGAATGTTTTTTTAAAAAAACTATTGTTTCAATGTCTGTATTTGGTGGTCATGATATATTTACAAAGACAAAATTAAGTCATATTTTTGGCAATGATCCAAAATTCTTGGATTCAAAATATAGAAAGAATTGACCAGGAAATGGACTCAAAAAAAAAATTAATAGTCGAGTTAAACAAATTTGGAACAGGCTATAACAATCAGGCTGAAATAGAAAATCCTCCTAAAGAATCATAATACTGCTATGCGTAATTGGCAGAATCTAATTTGTTTGATATCGATGATTAGACACCAACCTAGATACGTGATTACAAAATCATGAGAATCGTGTTTTCATATTTCTATTAAAATGAGGGGTCGCAGCATATGAATAATCAATGGTAAACTGGCTGCTTAAAAATTAGCTACGAAATATTTTGTTAGGAAAGTTTTATATGATGAATTTGTAATATCTGTGTGATAAGTAATTTGAGGAGTCAACCTTTCATTAGAAAACGTCTCTTTATCATTCACATATGAGAACCATGTAACATGTTCTTAATTTGTATATTTTTCCCCACCAAGTATATATTTACAATGTTAACTTACCAAGCCTCTGCACATGCTCTGTCTTTAGGGAATACTGGCCTGTCATCCAAATACTGAAGATTTACCTGCAAAAAAAAGTTAAGTGTCAGAGATCATTAAATTAAAGATACATTGATCAGTAATAAGTAATTTCAGTTAGAGTGCTGTTAAGTGTTTAATAATGTATGTGTCAAATTACTCTTCTGATTTTGTATAATACATGATTTTAAGAAATAAGATTTTTTTTTATATTTCATTCTACACAAGTTTAAATATCTTATTATATAAATATATAAACTTAATATAAAAATTTTTGTGTATCATGGAACTTTTTTACATATTTAAAAAACATTTTTCTTTAAACTCTCTACAGGTGGCACACTCGTAAGCTTTGTAAGTAAACACAATTTCCACTTATATTTATAAGGTTTGGAAAGTCACATTTGTATATATAATTCCCAATTATACTGTACTCATAAGCTTGATAACAATTTGTAATTTCCATACATAAGATAAAGTATAATAATATTAAATATAATTCCGACTCATAAGGTTTATAACTATATATACATTAATTCTCACTTACCAATCTAACAATTAGTGTCTTTCTGTAATTCTTGATATTTCTAATCACTTCATTTCCCATCAAATTCAATACACGCTGAAAAATAAACATATGAAAATAACACACCTGAGATTTTAAGTCAGACATTGTACTGATGAGAAACAAAACAAAAGCAAAACAAAGCCAAATACTTTATGTATTATCCCAATCCAATCCATGCTACAGAAATATAGATATATATTAATATTTATACACTTTCTTCCATTCTAAAAATTGATATTCTTCAACAATAATATCTGATCAGTGTCATACTGTTAATACAAACACTAAATTAATTCTGAAATATTTGTTCTAAAAGTATCAAGAGAAATCTTGTTCCATTAAATTTAAATTGGACACAAAAAAGTGTGTAATATAACATAAGTTTGATAATTGCCCCAACATTTAGTCAATTATAACCCTGACCTTGGTCCCTCTGGAGTCAGAGCAGTCGGGGTTACGTGAGATAGAATTAGCCAAGATTTTGTTTTCTTTCGGACCCGAGGCCCACAATGCCAGGCCAATGGGGTGGTTGAACATTAGTTTTGGCACCCCAAAAAAACCAACACAATGAAGCCCATTTAGCATGGATTTTACCATCTGACAATCCCTGCATGTATTTTAGCTAAGGGTTTGGAGATAAAATAATGGCCGAGGCACAGTATTCAGATTTAAAATTGACGTAAGCAGGTGACGTATCATGATCAAGGGTATAAATTTCCATGCATATATCTATATATATGTTTTGTTTTCATGACTCAAACATTGATTTACTTAAGAAACGCATAAGACTTTTTATACTTACGAGATTTTTCATCTTTTCGAACACATCAATAACTTTAGTGTCTGTGATCTTATTGTGAGAGAGATCTAGACAAGACAACTCCTCACAATCTATCAAATGCTCAATATCTTCGGCAACTTTCAGTTTACAATGAGTTATCTGTAGTGTATGCAGCTGAGGGATGCATGCTGGAATGTAGATTATCATACATTATAAACCTATTCTGTCATGATCAACTTATTCATCTTTACTTTAATACATGTATATAACTAAATAATCTCTAAAATGAAAATATTGCCATTTTCAACTGATCAATTTTTATGAATTTTACACGTTTTTGTTTAAATGTGCAAGTAATATTAAGTCACAAATTAATGTGTGATTCTTGGTGAACAAAATGTACACACACTTTATCACAATAAATTTTTTTAATGTAAAAATGTTTATTCCTTAAATTATAACCCTTACCACTTGAACTTGTCAGTCCTTCAATTTAGCCAAAACAAGTTATTTTTCTTTGTGAAAATTTCAAAAGAAGTACTGACTGAATGGGGGACAGTGCAGACCAAGATGTCACAGGTATACTACCTTATCTTTGTCTGCACTGGAGACATTGGTAGTTACTTTTGCTGCCAGCTGGCTTATAAGGTTCTTACAATTTGAAATCAATTTTAATGCTTTTTAAAAAAAATCATTCATAGATTTTTTTACTGACATTTATCAACGTATATAAAGGAGTTGACTATTAGCTACACATCTTTAAATCATTACTTCTTTTTATTCAGAGCAATAATTGTAGAACATGAAAAGATAAAAGCAAACATACACAAGTTCTCGATCTTGGTGATGAGATTACTACTGACATTCAGCGTGTCAAGTTTCTGTAACGGCTCGAGATTCTCTATCTGCGTAATGAGATTCTGATGGAGGTACAAACATCGTAGTTCCTTCTGGTTCTCGAGGCCATCAATCTTAGAGATACCGTTACATTCTAACCAGAGACATTTTAGACCTGTATATTCCTCCAGGCACTCAATCTTATGAATACCTAAAATAAAATGAAATAACAAAAAAATTAAATTACAGTAAAACCTGTGATAGAGACCACCTCTGAGTAGGAGCCATCCTGGAAAGAAAGACAACTCTTTGATAACCCTTATATTAAATCTAATAGAGTCACCTTCAAGTAAAGACCACTCATCCATAAAGGCCATGTTTGGTCACTTTTTTAGATGACCTTTGTACACACACAGGTTTTACAGTATTTTTCTCTGATAATCTTTTTATCAGTTAATTAACTATTGGCTATTTTAATCAATTCATTGGTGATGATGGTCTTTTGTATTTTTGTAAGCAAAAGAGCCTGCAAATTTAAATTAACACTTGTTAATGTAGAATTCATTGTTGGTTACTTTTGCCAAACCATGATAAATGAAAATGCTTTAATTCAGCTGGCTTCTCTCAAATACTTTAATAATTTTCTGTGAGCACTGAATTTAATGGTAAGTGTATGAAAAGATTTCCATAATTTAATCAAATAAGTCCATTCTTGAAAACTTAAAATCTGTTATTATGATGATTTTTTTTTATCAGCTCAACATAGCTAAGAATTGAACATGTGACATATATGTTCTTAAAGAGAATATATATCCAACCTCTACCAGTCTTCTTTATTGAGGTATTTTAGGGTCTGACAATTGATTTGAGTTGTACGCTTATGAATACAAGGTCAACGAAACTCAGGTCATTGAGATAATATCATAGCCCTTACTTCATTTTCCAGTATCTTTCATCGTCTATTTTATGGATATTTAACATAGCCATATAAGTTTGTGTTTACTGTTCAAAGAAATTGTTACAAAGAATACTGTTAGTGTTACTTCTATAAAAAATTTTGTCTATAATTAAATTAATAGTAAATTGCAGAAACTCAATCAAAAAGGAAATTGACACTGGTTAAGTCTAATCAAATAATAAAGAAGGCATATCTGAGTGTCTCTAAAAATGTCAAAAAAATCCCCCATTAATATTGATTTATAATTATACACACCTTTGTAGTGAAGATACAGTACATCATTTAGTTCTGGTGTGATATATAGTTTCATGTCCTTGCAGTGCTGCTTCAAAAACTTCTTACTCAACCTGAAATCATTTAAAATCTATTAATACAGAAATAGAAGTTTTTGTCCATTGATTAGGGCAGTTTGAATGGTACAAAATTATCAGGTTGTCATTACATTTTTTTGTCTGACCAGGCTGACACTATCACAAATAATATAGTATTTAAAGGCCTGCTAACACTTCAAAAGATAAAGAAGGAACACTTTCATTTAAGGTATAATATTCTTTTATCATAGGCTTTTATCGAAGCATATATTTATTGGTTGTAATGTTGTGTGTATTTATTTTTGCATAAAGCCATTATCTGTCTTTTGGATATAAGACACTCGCTAGGTAGATCATCCAGGGTATCTGGTATTAAATTTGAACTTGGGTACACAAACCAACAAGTACATGTACCTCATCCCCTGATACCACAGGGTACTTGTCCATGCCCCATTATGCATTAAATATTTAATTAAGATTTTATTAAACTATTGCATAATTTTACTGCAGACATTTCTAAAGCATTATTTACAAAAATAATGTTTTGTACCATTAGTCTAATTAATTTATTTACATACCTAAAGTATCTGTCTTCTTCTTTTTCCTTTTCATCTTTCTTTCCTTTTTCAACACTTGTTTCCTTATTGTTCTCAACAGTTCCGTTTGGATCTTCTTTCTTTACAACTACAGAAGTATCACCACCACCGTCTTCTTCTAGTGCAGGCATCTCGTCATTATTATCTAATATAAAACCATAAAGCCATTGTTCAAATTTATATGTATAAATAGAAACGTACGACTAATGATATGGATCGCCAATTTCTTAATAATGAATACCCTCCAATCATCATTCAAGACAGTTTGCATTAACTCATTACTTGCTGACTTTCTTAAATATGCCTCAGAAATGAATAAATTTAACTTTTTTTAGAAAGGTTAAATAACATGAGTGTTTAACAGCGTTTACATAATGGTATTAGAGCATGACTTTGATGTTTGTTAGTCTGAAGAAAGTAGCGCTAAATGCTACTTTCTATTGTTTCTCACTGACATCTGAAAATTAAATTCATTGTTCAAGCAAGCCAAGAAAAAGGGAGAAAAGTGGCTTCCCACTTCTTACTTAAGCATGAATACTGAAAATAGTTTCACTAAACTGTAAAACAGGGAGAAATAGGTTTTGAATTATACTGATATTCTAAATCATTATTTAATATTGAATCATTATTTAATGTTGAATATCAATATTACATTGATATTACATTATATTCAATGACAGCCCTAATATGAAGTTTTTGTATTTTTACCTTCACTTGTTTGGTTCTCAACAACTTCAATGACAACTTTGTTTTCTATGTTAGTATCAGCTGGAGCAGTCTGAACCACTGTGGTTGTCTCAACTATCTCTTCTATTAAAGGCATCTTTGTTACTTAATGTCACCTGAGAAAATAAAGCAATTGTGAATTAATATTAAGAGTAAATGATTTAATGTTTAATATTGTCTGCTGTTGATAGCCTAATAAGCGTTTTAATAGTGAGCCAAATTGATCCATGCCAAATTTGTTTAGAGCCGACTTGACCCATTACAGAGCATCATATTCCTTATATTGACGGCTGCAATCTCCTGCATTAGACCCCTATGAATATTTCAGAAGTAATACCTGTATATAATGCACTAAAGAAAATGGAATGAATCTTATATATACTCCTGGTTTAGAACCCAGGGTCTATTCAAGGATATAGCCATAATCAATGAGCTCATAAAAGATTTTTTCGAAAACTAGCAATGCTGGGATTATCTCTTGACTTTTACAATTCACACAAGTTTGTGTGATAACTTTTGATACCCTGGCAGGAAGCAGTCAACTGACATTACATAAAAAGCATGTGTAGGTTCTTTGACACAACGGGATAAAAATAAACATCATCATCATGCTTTGCAGCCTATATGTTACTGTGAGTATGTTACAATTAAACAACACCTGGCTCAACATAACAGCTTAAGACATAAGAAAAATAAACACAACTAAAATCATATCCACTTTACGTAAGTAACCTTTCAGTTGTCTTGTAGAAGGGTGGGGGTTACAAAGTAGGTCAAACAACATAATTTGATAAATAACTTAAAATAACCCTGTTAAATAACAAAAATATTTTATTGAGAAAGTCAGTTCACGTGGTCCTTGCAGAAAATATTGTTACCTTAATTAATAATGCGCAGATTATCAACAGCCTGTAACTTTTCTTTGAAGAATTCCCTTCATACAATAAACTTGTTTACATCGGTAACTGTATCACGTGTATAGACCCGAATATTCTCGAATTGAAAGTAGGAATCTATGTAAACAATAAACATCAGCGTAGCAACGATGGAGAATATTGAAGGGAGATAATTCAGCAGGTGCTTTTGATGAAACCTAAAGACAATTAATGAACCTAAAGAATTGCTATCAGTTTAATCTATCATTTGGCATAATTAATGTCATTAAGAACAGAATAAAAATGAAATTAGCTCTACTTTGTAAGTGTCAAATCTAAAAGGTTTATTGTTATTTGTCTCACTTTTTTAAACATCCTCAAAAGAATAGGTCACAATTTAAATCAAACAAATAGGCTAACAATCTTTCATACTTTTATTTTGTCCAATTTTAATTTTTGTCCTATGGCATGGCATTTCTGTTCAGAAAATAATACTAACAAGATGGAAAAACTACAGGAAAGAGCACTTAGATTTGTGTATAATGATTTTAATTCAAGTTATGAAGATATGCTGATAAAAGTTAATATACCAACTCTAAAAATAAGAAGAATGAGGGCTATGGCCATTGAAACTTTAAAAATTTTTCATGATATGTCTCCTGCTGATCTGTCTGACCTTATTGTCAAGAAAACTACTGGTATTAATTTTAAATATTCAAATATTTTGCAGATCCCGCAAGTAAGAACTACAACTACTGGTAAAAAATCTTTCAGGTATGCTGCACCTGCTTTATGGAATACTCCACCCGAAAATTTTAGAAAATGTTCAAATTTTGCTCAGTTTAAAAAGTTAATTTCATCCTGGAATGGTAAACAGTGTAAATGTATTGCTTGCAGCTAATTTCTATATCTTGATTTACTCCACTTTTTATTTATTTTTTCTGGGTATGAACATTTTCTTTTGGGTCACATTTATCATTTAGCTTCTTCAGTTTTTTTTTTTTGCTTGCTTTAAATGTGTTTTTGCTATTCTTCCCTGCTTATGTTAATATTATCATTTAGTTTCTAGATATGATGTTGCTTTATTTTGTGATCTTTTGTTTTGATTTTGCTTTTTGTTTTGTTGTTTTTTGCTTATCTTTCCAGCATGACTCAAGCTAGCTGTTAAATGAGTTCAACTAATGACTTACATGTTTAATACCTTCTGTCTTTGTGTAGTCTGATAACCCATGGTCTTTCATATATAAATTATATATAAAAATGTATGGTTTTTTTTTTGTTTTTTTTTAGTATTTTTATTTATTTATTTATTTAAATAATTCATTAAATTTTTAATTGTTTACATGGTATATTATTGAACTTTAAGTAAATTTTTAGATACTAGACATTGCTATATAGTGATGTAGATTTGGGTAAACTATCATTTTTAGTTTTTTAGCATATGATTCGTTTTTATAAATATATCCTAAAAGGTCTATTTTATGCATGTGATGTAATATATATCATGTCTAATCATTTTTTATTGTAGCTGTTTTATCTTTGTTGATCTTATAATTTATGTTATTTACAGTCGGTTATAAAAGCTCCTAGAGCTTTAATATGTTGTACTCTTGAAAACATGCCGACTTGAAATAAAACTTATCTTATCTTATCTTATCTTATCTTATCTTATCTTATCTTATCTTATCTTATCTTATAATCTCAAGCATATTAAAAACATTGACAAAATTTTTGTGCATTTGTAATTGTATATTTTTGTTACATATTTTTATGAGTTCTTGTTGCTTTGTTAACTGTTAACATTCATATGAAAATATGCTAGATGCTAGATGCATTAATCAGTGAAAACATTGTTTTTTAATTTGGCGTTCAGAATAAGGTTAACAGAGTCATGAAGAGATTGTCTGAAGCTGTTACTTTGTTTCTTCTATTCATTACAACCTTGACACTCATATTTAGCATTTGTTGTTGTTGTTTTTTTCTTTTGGTTTTATTATATATTTTTTTTAATTGCGATATTAAGATGACATTTCAATAGCCTAGATGTGGTATGACCAGGGCAAGCAGAATGATCTCAATGGTTTCCTTTGTGGCCTGATGCTTTTGATTTTTAGATAATTCAACATAGCTGTGCGGCATTTACGCTTGATATGTTCTTTAAAATTTAATGTATAGTCCAAGAATGGGCCTAGATAATGAATACAACTTTCTGCATCGGCGCCATCAATAGCTATATATATACTTATTTTCCAGGTGTTTCAAATGTCAAATCTTTTGTTTACGCCCAAACATGTTCATGTCAAATTCAGTCTTTGATGTATTCAGTTTTGATTTATTTTTATTCACTAAGTTGTTTATTATAAATGCGCATTGTTCAAGTTTCTACTAGCATTGGATTCAGAGTTGGTTGATGATGGACGGAAGCGTGTTTTTGCTGATAATCATTTGTGAACGCCGTGCATCATTTTAGACCGGAAACCGTCGCAAACCTCGACAGCTGGTGTTAACAATCGCATCTTCTCGGCCCTTTCCGCCAAACTTCGGACAAGAACTATTGACAGTAGCCGAGATGGTCTGATTGCTGGTGGTATATAACGTTCCCACGTATGTCCGGCACAGTCAGAGATCAAGGCAACTACCCTGGGAATATTCTAGTTATTGGACGTGCTAACATTGATGAATTTTCACTCACTCGGCAATTTTGTAGACACAGGTACGTATTGATTCGGCCATGACTTGTGCTGCCGATGGTAACCCATATTGCTAGGACAACATATCAGTCCATAGTATCAAACGTTGTTCTCAAAAGCGACGAACTCTATTACCTCATGTTTTTTTTCTAACAGTTCAATATTAATATAACTATAAGGTACAATAACAAAGGTTCCTCTTGATGTTTGAAGTTATAATTAAAAGATCGAAGTGTATACTGGCCCATATAATGTTTTTTTTCCCGTTGGCGAGAGAAGACAAACCTTAACACATACAATTATATATATCGCCCGTACTTAACATTTCATACATGTGTTGACTTTGGCTATAAAAAGATAAATGATAGCTTAAGACACACACTGTTATGATACGCAAAAATGTAAAACTATATAGCTTGTATCTTTTTATCGGCAAGATCTATTTGAGTGACCCTTTTAACACACAAACAAATAGAACATTCAAAATAAAATTAAAGCTGATGTAAATAAATTAGATATGGATGATCATTTAAGTTTATATAAATCAAACTTTGTTTTGTTTTCCTCACAATTAATTTATTCAATCAGTTTTTTTAAAAAAATAGACCTAAAATGTAAATTAACTACCTCATTATCACACCTTTTAAACCTTTAAAAACCAGGACTCCTTAAACCCTTTTAGAAGTATGAATTACCCAGCATGTATGCTCTATGTAAATATTGCTGTCAATATTTTCTTCCCGTCCATACAAAAACTTTTAAACAAACATTTCAGTAATTTGAGATTTATACAGCAAATGCTGAATAATGTGTACATAATTAAATGCGCAAAATACGATTTAATCATACCATAAACGGAATATGATAAAGTTCTGAAGTAGTTTAGAATTCATTTTCTGAAAAAAAATTGTTTTGTTTTAGTTTTTGTTTTTGCAATAATATATTACCGACAATCAAAAAAGAGTAGAAATTTTGTCGCACGTTCTCTGCATAAACACGTAACTTAAATGAAGAATATTTTGTAAATCGATGTAAACTTATATTTTAACTAGATATGTGCCTAAATCCATTGAGCTCGTTTATTCTAAATGTACTGTTGTTTGAAACATTAGACATTAGAAATATAATTTACGCGTTACCAGGTATGTATGACCGCCATTAAGTCAGTTTATAGTATATTCTGAAATAGGCATATGCTTAAGGATAAAAAACAAACATCAATTTTTTGACGCAGTAATACGAGTAGAAATTATTTTCTCCCTCACATCGTTCGTTCGGAAATAAATTATTTCTTTCCTAAACCATATAATCCAAGAAGGAACTCAGAAAAGGTTCTATAGACTGGGGTTTACTTATGCTCGAATTTAAAGAATTAAAGAAATTTGGTGAACCGTGCGTTACACAGTAAACCTCGAATGATTAAAAACATAAAAATTTCGTGCCCGCGTGCATTATTCTACTCAAATTAAAACCAAACAAAAAGAGCAATAAAGTACAAAAAAGAAAAACAAGTAAAAAGTGGTGATTCAAGGTTATTTCAAGCATGAACGAACATCTGAGTATAGCCAATGACTTTCTGTCTGCTGACTGGATAGCTTCCTCACATGAGAGAGTCGAAAGTCCCTGACGGGGATCCAACCCATAGCGATGAGGAGCCACTCGGTTGCAGAGGCCCCAAGTAGAAAAATATATAAGAGCAATATGCAGATACTAAATCTATTTACAGCAATTGCTCTCGTGTGCAGCAATGGAAGACGAATACTAGTTTTAATATATACCAGTATCATATTTTATCGGGAAGGTCACATTGGGTACAGGAACGTTGCCCACTCCTAGCTTTTTTTCCTCAAAGATATTTCACTTGAAACTGGAAAGGTAAAAATAAAGCATACACAACATGGAAACAATATATATTTAGATAGCGATATCAAAGTAAAATGATAATTACAAGATAAAGGTCATTGGAAATTTACATTCTTAAGTCGACGGAATTAAAATTTCATCCAAACTGACGACACAGTCATCTGCGGTTAGGCAACACGTTGTAAATAAGGGGATAAGTATTTCAACTTGCAGAGTGACCAAACTTTGTAACTTGTTATGTGTACTGTTTGTCATCATGAACCAGGAGTGTTAGATATGCTGAAATTAATATAGAAACAATAGAATTTATCAGCGGCGTAGCGTTCATGAGACGGTACCCTACACATGATTTTCTTCGTATATTTCATTATCATTGTTTTCGTACAAACTCTTTAATCGTACATTCGTGCTCCTTGAGAAAATACTGCATATGCCTTCGTTAAGGACATGGATAAATAAGAAATATTAATGATATAAATTAAAAAAAAAATGTTATTAAAGATGTCGTAACGTCTGCAATTATGTATGACATAATCTGCATCAGCAGGTACCCGGCAGTGTTTAAACAAAGGTGAATGAGTCACAACTCTTGAGGAAACACTCTATGTGATACAATACAAGTACTAAACGCGACATCAACTATACACGTTAATATGGACTATTTTAAATTGTTTTATATCTAACCCAATGGTGGGAAATTATGTGCGTTCTTGTTAATACACCCACTGCTTAGATTGTATTAATCCGTTGTTTGATATAAAGAAGCAATCTTATCGGACGTTTAATTAATGACTAATATAAAAACATGTAAAACGTTTTTGCTTAATTGTTTGTGTTTTGTTTTTAAGGGATAGTAAAAATGATTGTGAATAAAAGTGAAAAGCTGTCGTCAACTTAAACTTAAAGTGAAAGAAGTTAAATCACGATTTATTTGTGTAGAAAATAATAATTATATAAGAAACAACGTTAAAATAATGAAACAAAACGAAATGTTGATAGCTTTAACACTGATACTTGTATTTTGTAACACTAAAATCACGTGTAAAGAATCGTTAGAAGTTATTTGGATGGTACCATTCCAGTCGCACAGGGAAAACGTGTTTCCGTACAACGCGTCATCGTCCGTGACGGCCGTAGCGCTCAGCCTTAAACATATTCGAGAGAAGGCTGTTTTATCTAATCATGAATTAAAGTAAGTAAATGCTATATTTTTTCACTTTGAGTCTGAAATGAATGAATGCTTTTAACCCATTCTCATCCTCTGTATACACGTATATTATTATAGTTATAAAGAATTTTTGACAGCAGCCGTGTATAAAAGTCTATATAAACGTCTCGATTATCCAGTGAAAAACGACGTTGCAAACGTGCAGTATTCTAAAATATACACTATAATAAGTAAGATGTATGCAGTGCATTCTTTTTACTTTTGCAATCAAAATTCATCGCTGTCACGAATTTTTTTGACCATATATATTTTTGACTGACCTTCATTATTTGGATATTTCGTTTTGAATATCATAAACGCAAGAATAACAAAATAAATAAATAAATAAATAAATAAATAAATAAATCACGACAACGACAAAAACAACAACACGAAGCTTATTGACTGACATCACAAGCACCTGCTATCAGAATTTAGCAAATTTACTGATCGGCAAAAGAGCCAATATTTATAATACATTATATAGCAGCAGAATTTTAAAATTCTAATAATTAAATTTTAATTTGTGTATTCTTATTACTTGAAAGTTCTTTAAATTCATATTTTGGAAATAAATAAATAAATAATTTTTAATAATTTTATATTCTTATATTACTTGAAAGTTCTTTCAATTCATATTTTGAAAATATACTTATATATTCATCTTTTGTTTTGAAGGAAAAAATAGAAAATTCGGCTATTTTCAACTGTATTTTCGATAGTTTTCCAGCACCAAGTTCATGAAAAAAGGAAATGTTTTGAAAGTTTAATATATTTAACATATAAAATATGAGTATACAGACCTTTCTAATGATAAAAACTGTTTCATAAAAAATAATTTTGTAATTCTTTCTATAAAAAACTATGTTTTCCATTTTATCAACCGCCATTTTTTTGCCGTTATCAGAAATTTGTTACTATTAATAGATTGCATAACAGTAGCATAGATCTTATAAAAACAATCATAGAACAGAACAGAACAGAACTTTTATTTTTGAATTGTACTTTGTACATCATCATATACATTTTTTTCAAGTAACATGTACATTTCTGTGCAAGCAATATAAAGAAATCAATAATAATATAGATAACGTAAAAGAAAGTATTTTGTAATAATTAAATGTTTAACATGTATCACCAATTGTGGTAGTCTTACTGTAATGCTTTCCCGCCCAAAAAATCTAACATCGGGAAATATCGTTGCAAATCGGTTATTTCCGGAACGTTTTTTTTTCTTCAAAATATTGGGCGTTAAATTGTTTACAATCACTCATCCTTTATCGCTATGTACTTAATTTCGGTAATAAACGGTTTAAAATTATTGAATACCAAAGATTGACTTTTTTTGCGAAAAATAACGTTCCGGAAATGACTGCTTTTTTACGAAATTTGCTAATGTTAGAACTTTTTTTTGGCGGGAAAGCATTGCAGTAAGACTACCTTAATGTAGTTTGTTTGTCACTTATGTTTTCTTCAGTGTAACATTAATTGACACCGAGTGTAACAGCAAGAACAGTATAGGAAAACTTGTGGAATTATTTTGTCTCCAGAATGTAGACGCTGTCATCGGTCCACCATGTCCAAAAGGTTTGTAACAATGCCTTCAGAATTATTTGAGCCGCGTCACGACAAAACCAACATAATGGGTTTGCGACCAGCATGGATCCAGACCAGCCTGATCAGGATCCATGCTGTTCGCTATCAGTTTCTCTACTTGTTATAGGGTTTGTAAGCGAGCAGCATGGATCCTGATCAGACTGCGCGGATGTGCAGGCTGGTCCGGATCCATGCTGGTCGCAAACCCATTATGTTGGTTTTGTCGTGACGCGGCTCATTTGAGTAATGGTTTCGAGCAGCTTTGAATTCGGAACAGTTTATTTCAAGTTTAAGGGATTTCAATATCATTATTTTTTTAGCTACTGACACTGTAGAGCTCGGTCAGACTCCACAGACGTGCAGGCTAGCCTTGCTTTATACTGGTGGCAAAGGCTGATCATTTTCAGTTCCAAGAGCTTTAGGGTTAATTACCAGACCCAATCACCGCAATAAAGAACATATGCCTTGTTTTAAAAAGAATTTGAATTAATGTTACTATATTGACTATTTTTATTTAAGAAACAATTTGTACATATTTGTATATTGGTACAGAGGGGATTCCTATTACAAAAGAACATTTGTAATACTTATGTAGGAATCGAGTTTGAAATATGCTTGACGTTTCTGAAAGGCAAAAATGCGAAACTAAGATATCGTGTCTCCTATGTCTTTTAATCACACATCCGTGCCGATTTTGCGACTCCGTAAATATGGTATTGCACGGCCGTGCATATATTTTGACGTGACGTTATTAGCGTTATTCAATTATAGTGTAAAGACGCGCTAAATGTTAGCGTTATACTGTAGGCGCGTCGATGAAAATGACTCTTATTTCACTTTAACGGTATTTATTTTGGATATGTGATAAATAGAATATTAAATTCGTGTTAGTTCATTACTGAATTTATTGCACTCGTTGAATAAAATAATATTATGCTCGCCAGAGGCTCGCATAATATAATTTTATTCAACTCGTGCAATAAATTCAGTATTGAACTTACACTCATTCAATATCCTCTATACATAAAATAATAATTCACAAAAAAGACATTTCTATCCCGAAGAAAGTTACAATTAAAAAAAATTAATATGTATTTTTGTCATCAATTTCGTTTTGAACAGCATAAATTTGCAACGATACCATAGCATATTAGTTGTAGATCTGCGTTGATGGAGCGGCCTTTCATTCCCGTCTTCGTCATTCCAAAGTCTTGAAATATTTACCGTGCGCTCTCCTGTCTGACGCATTAAAGGGGTGTTGTGGCCTGGAGACTTTCTTGTTTTAGGTCCTATACTTAAATCGCACTAGAGTGAAAAATAAAACTAACATTGTTTTGTTTGTTGTATTTCTTCAGTTGTTCAGCCGATAGGAGAGTTGTTGTCATTCCGGAATATACCGCTTATAAACTGGATCTCTCTCGGCCAAACCGTGGACTTTCAGAAGAAGGATTTAAACACCTACATTAGAACCATGGCTCCAATGTCTTCTTTAGGTAAGTTTGTATAAGTTCAGCGCAATTTTTCCCAAACTGAACTGGCAGGTTACGCGAATCACAATATACACAACGTAAAAGGTAGGCCCTATAAGGTTTTGCAGCAACTTTTACGTTCCTACCTTCAGCCGGAGGTCATCGGGTTTGCACATACCTTTAGCCGTTAAACAAAGGTGCAACTTGCATTGTAGTTTCGAACTATATAATGTAATGAAATGTAATGTAATGTACTATAATGTAATGTAATTAGAAAAAAAAACTAAAACGCACCATTACCAAATACATTTTATGTACTTTTTCTGGAAAAGAGTTATCTAAGTATTATGAACAATACTGTTAGCATATTGTTACCGCGTAAATGGTTGAAATTCAAGTCTTAAAGCTGCATGCTCCCAGATAAGCCAAAAATATTTTAAGCTAATCAAACTAGAGCAAAAATGTACTAAGATTTTAAGAAAAACTAAAAATATGAAAGATTTAATTAAAAAATTGCATGTAAAAGATTTTTGCAGTATTTATCACCATATTTCTACATATTAACTAACACAGTTTCTTTTTTTTGCAGATTTTGACCTTTGTTTTGATAATTTACGAAGATTGTGTGTACCATTTAGAATGTGTAATTTACTTTCTTTATTTAATTCACAATATTTTACTTTTAAATACATTTTATTTTTTTTTATGAAAATAAACATCAATCTCGAGGCATTCTCTCTCAATGCTGTATTATATTTTTGGCATATCTTTAGTAATGCTTTTAATTTTCTCACTAAAAAGGGGGACTCATGGTTCAGTTTTTCTATCAAGCTGGGTGGAAAAGGTTTATTCTGATATCCAGCGAGGGGAGGGACTATGTAAGTACAGGCGAGGATATCAAAGACAGCATTGGAAAACAGTCTGGTACTGATTATAAACTTGTCAGACATTACGAGGTGAAAAGGAACATTCGAGAGCAAGATATTATCGACAACTTCCGGTCAATCCAACACGAAGGTCGAGGTCTGTATTCTGTCTTCATGATATACTTTGTTAATCGCCATAGACATATGCTGTTTTCTTGTTTGCCGAATGTCCTCTAAGATGTCCATAACATGTTTGACTGTTGACCAAACTTTTTTTATCGCCCATTTTGTTTGCCTTTTACAAAGACTTAAGGTAATAATGACATAAATCATTGATATGAATTACATTGGGAGCTTTTATCATTGAGCAAAGTTCACACCAAACACTTTGTACATAACTTTATATGTTAGATAAAAATATCAACGAAGTTGTATCTGTCAAAGTCATGGAGTTGCGTACGTGCATTTCCCATCATAATCGACTTTTAATCTAACTGCGAATAAGTTATGTTAAAGTCATAAGTGTTACGTATCATCCGTAATTAACATATCATTAAACTAAATCTTATTTAGGTACATCATGAACATTTAATTTCATTTATTTTCAAATCGACATTTCACATGTCTTTGACCATTTACACATACTAAATATGGCCAAGGAAAACAGTTTACATAAATATCACATAAATAGCTTCACATGTATTCTTTGAATAATAAATAAGCACACAAAATATAAAAAATTAAGAAAATTTAAACTCACAAAGAAAATCAATAAAATCAAAGAAGCAGCATTATTTTCAAGGGTTCAGTTTCTCAATTCATAAGCTTCCGTTATAAACTTTGCATTTTTTACAATACTAGTGGACTGAAGGTCAAGCATCATTTGCAAAATTTATAGCATTAACAAGCAAGCATTGTCGCATTTGCATTATCGCTATACATGTAAATTTTATTAAATTTTATTTATTAATACAACGGGTCGTCGGGAGAGAAAAATACTGAAGATAACGCCTAACCTAAAGATATTCATGCAGAAGTTTGGGCTTGATGGGCTTGATAAGCTAAGGCCAACGCATTCATTACGTAATTTCAGAATGATACATGGAAAGAATGAAATTTTTATCAAAATTATGTGAAAATTAACATAAATATTTCATTTCTTACCTTTTTTTTTCATTTTTTACTGTCATTTTTCAGTTATAATAATGGTGATATCCCAAGCTAGTTTATGTATTAATAAGTTATTTCCGGACGAAAGATGGCAGTTGGGGATGGGAAAAGAAAAATGAAATTTTCATCAAAATCATGTGAAATATTTTTCAATAACATTAATGTTAAATATCTTTTCTATCTATTTTCTTCAGTTATAATAATGGTGATTCCTCGTGATCAGTTAAGGCGGTACATGTTAACGGCATTGTCTCTTGGTATGACGGACGGAGATTACCAGTTCCTATTTGTTGATACAAAGGTGTGTTATATATTTATTCAAGGACCTCTTATAAAATTTCACTGGTTTCCAAACCATTTACCCATCAATACTGAGAAGTCTTTAGCCCTGTATAGTTAGTTTCTGGAATGCCTTGAAAATATTTCGTGGTATTTACATTAAATGTAGACCAGATCAATTAAACTGATCAATATATGAACCAATTACATACATCTAAAACAAAATACTCGTAACTAAATCTAGAAAAGAACATTTTAAGAAAAGAAACATTTTGCATGGATCTTTGGAGAATTTCGTTATCTTTAAAAGGACCTAATGCACAAGAAAGCCGTTCAAAAATACGTAAAACTAGGGTTTTTCTAAATTTATTTGCAATCTACTAAGATTAATTATCATAACAAGTTTAAAAAGTTTATTAGGTCATAGACCCATGTGGTACAATATGCAAAATATATAATATGGCAAACGTGCATCAATATTAAATTGATCACATACATGAATTATAGTAGCACACTTTACATAGGAAATGGAAACATATATTCACCTTTTACATTATGTACATGCTTATAATAATTCACATTTTCGTCGTATGTGTCAATAGTATATATGCAACATAATATTTAAAAGAATAATAAAGTGTGATAAAAATCCAACTGTAATGACTTTACATATTAGACCAGATATGAAATAACGGTATAAAATTTTGTTCGAAATTAGGAGCATGGTCGGATTTAGGTTCACCCGCTCTACAATGAATATTTTTGATTATATTTAAATTAGTTGGCGGATAACAGAAACCTACAGGACATAAATAGTGACAAACTTTGGAACATTTCCGACGAGCATTATGAGGAAGCAAGACGCGCGTTTGAAAACGTGCTGTATGTATGTATTAATAAATCCTACATATGTTGTCATTTATGTCATTAACATAATTTGATATTTTTGTCATTTAAAGATTTTTTTAAATCCATTACACTGCTGGAACCGAAAGCGATTAGCATTTGTCATCAGTCTGGAGCCAGTCCTAATCTGACTAAAGTTCAGATCTCTTCTGAAGTTATTTCTTGCCTAATGCGTAGTGTGTTAATTAGAAGCTCATTTTTATCAGGTTGGAGCCAGACCAGTCTGCACATCGGTCCGGTTTGACTGGTCTCTTTACTGTTAAATTATCAACTTTTTCATCTTGATATCCCAAAGAATGAAAATGGGCAATTTCAAAAATGGAAGCTGGACAAGCGTTTTTAAGCAACTCATGGGCGAGACACTTTCATAAGCTCAAAATGAAACAGACACATATTTTGAATAAGGTCCAATTAAATCATATCAGTGAATGGTGATTATTTCAGGCTCATTTTTAGCATTACTTATATTAACCATTATATCTTTTTTTCAACTTCAGTTTTATCTCGGACACAACAGTCAGGATATAGACACTTGGAAGAAAGAGTCGCTAGAAGCCTATTATAATGTTTTCGGAAATAGATCCGACATACCGCCTCCTGCTGAGGTTTGATTTTACTAATTTTCGGCAATAATATGAAAAAAAAACTCATGCATTGGTCAAGGATGAAAGTGGGGGCTTTGAATGCGAGAGAGTGGGTAGGGGTCATTTCGGTTGGATAATTAATCAAATGTACACGAAAACACTTCATGGAATAACATTGTACATCATTGTAAGAAATATGCAAACATTTTTTTTGTTAATCATGATTTAATTTTGTATTTATCTCATAATTAAATTGTCTTCAATAATACATGATTATGTATATTTTTATTCATTTTACACTTCTTCTTTACTGGAAGATTTTATTTCCGACTGGAGGCCGTCTAAAATCAATTTGACTACCTGCAAAATTTACAGGGAAGAACTGATTATAAGAACAATTTTCATTGGTCATTTTGAAATTTTCAACTGAAATCTAGGAATCTCATTGGTCATTCTGAAACTAAACACCTTTATATGTATCGACAACTTGGAAAAAACATAGGCAAATCAACTAGTTTAACTTAGGCCGGGTATCTATTTTAAAGATACTTATTAGTAATGACTTCTATTGAATTATTTCGAAAACTGTTAAATCTTTTGAATATTTCCGTAATTTTTGTCACCGTCAACACCTTATTATCAGTCTTACATTTCATAAGGACAAATACTTTTTAAAGACTTGTTTTAATGAATTTAGCAACTTTTTTAGATCTACTTTCAAATATTGAAATGTACTTCTTGTCGAATTTTGACTAAACATAATTGTATCTCTGCATACAATTTAACATGTCATGTTTCAATTTATTAACTACACTACACTACACTGAACTTAACAAAACTACACTACACTACAATGTAATGAACTTAACGGAACTACACTACACTACACTACACTACACTACACTACACTACACTACACTACACTACACTACACTACACTACACTGCACTGTACTGCACTGCACTACCCTTCACTGCACTGGTCTACACTGCAATGTACTGTACTACACTACATTGCAGTACACTGTACTACACTGCAGTGTACTGCATTGTACTGTAACACAATCACACTATTAGCCTAGTGCAGTGTTCACTACACTATACTGCGCTGTAACACTTGCTTAAAACTCCACAATGAAGTAAACTCAGCTCAACTCAACTCAGCACAACACAACACAACACAACTTGATATGACACGACACTATACAATAATATATGTAACCGGCTATATTATTTGTTTGTAGCCGGACGAGTACTCATCTTACATATACGACGCCTTTTTTCTGTATGCCAAAGCCATGAATAAAACCATATCAGGGAACCTAAGTGGATCTGGTGTAAATATATTTGATGTCACTCCAGAGGTACCATTTAAAGGTATTTATGTTATTTTGACGTCTTATTTAAAAAGCCATTATAAAAAAAAAAAAAACAATAAAAAAGTGAAAGAAAATGATACCTATATTTCTCAAAACATGTTCATGTTTGGTGAATGGTACATTGTCCCAAAGCTACAAATAATGACTTAACAGCTAAACCACCGTTTCTTTATTTCGAATATGTCATTAAGTACCGATTTAGGGTCAATGGAAGACAAAATACCGATTTATTTACATTTTGCTTCTTTTATAACAGATGATTTCTCTTTTAGCACTTCTTTATTCCAATGATAAGCATTTTACATGCTCTACTCTGTTATTTAAACATTGTTAAACACACATTTTTCCCTTTTTAAAGAAGGAAAAAGTATACATTTCCGGGGCTGTATGCGCCTTTCAAGTACACAACAAAGATGAGCAAATATTTGATAGTCTTCATTCAAGTCTGAATTGTAGATTAAAAAAGTCACCTAGAGAAGAAATATAATTTACGTCATACAGTAATTATAAGGTGTACTTAAAACTAAATAACAAAAATCAAAAAAATCTGTACAATTAAGAAATTTCTTCATCCAGATGGGTAAATCTTGAGTGGGAACTTCAAAATTTCATAATCCCAAACTTATTAGTGTAATGAGATTTTGGAAGTCAATGTACTATTTTTTTTATATTTTTCTATCTACATGACAAATAATTTCGCAATCTGGAATACTTTATTCAGGTGATTAGCATGTAACATTCTCTGAACCATGTAAAACTTATGTTTATCCTTTATAACAAGGAAAAATGTATTGGTTATTGAGGTATGATGTGCCTTAAACTAGTTTTAGAATATATGGCGATGAAGTTGCGCATGCGCCATTGACTTTATTGGGAATATTTCGGTGTGATCAAATTATTAACAATTACAACATTTTAAATCTTCACTATATAAAATAAAATACTTTCAAATTATCCTATATTAAAAAAAAAATCAACAAAATAAAAACAACTAACAATACTTCAGAATCATGCCCATGTGAAAACTACTTTAAGGTTTTGACACTTTTTCTTCTTTCTTTATTTATAAAGGTTTATCGGGAGAGGTGGTGATAGGTGGTTTAGGTGACAGATTCCCGACATTTTTCGTTTCCGATCTGAACGAAAATGGACATTTCCATACAGTTACGACCGTCCAATACTATATCCCAGAAGGTGGAAAACCACGAAGGGTAAATAATAATTTTAAGCAAGTTTTTACAATTCTTAGTAAAGTAAAGAAGATCACAAAAACAAATTCTAACAAGAACTTTGCTAATGCTAATATTATCTTTACGAATATTTCTTCCCAGTCAAGAAAAATAACTCACAATACGATTTTTTTCATAGTAACGGATGTTACATTTCGCGCATGCGCATTCTGCGTAGGACAGAAAAGCATTTATGAAAGACTACATTTTATAATATTTGATTAATAGCTTTAATAGACGTGATTTCAAGTTATTTCACCAGGATACAATAACTTTGGGATGTCTTGAAGCGGTAAGTATAATATTTATCACATAAGCTGAAACTGTATATATCTATGCAAATATTTAGAGTTCAACATACAAGCCTATAAGATGGGGGAACGGCACGACGTCAGAAAAAGGCACTTATCCGCCTGACACTCCAGCCTGTGGGTTTTTCAATGAAAATTGCCCCGATATCACTACAGCACGGATCATCACAACAACAGGTGGCTATAACTCTTTCTTACATTAAAAACAAAAGTATCCACTTTCTATACTAAATGCAGACATACATAATAAATTAATACCTCATAAAAAACAAAAAAGCTTTATTACAAAAACAATATAGGTTGATTGACTAAATTATCTGATAAAATTAGATTATTAAAATAACTTGCCCAACTTCAATTTTAAAAATGTCCATTATCAATTATGAGGACAGCAAAATGGAAATGTAGAGTTTGTCAATAGTATAGGGTCACGCTCGGTTCTAGCAAGATGAGGGTTAAAGCGGCCATATTTCGAAAACAATTCAGTGTTGTTTTAAACTAAGTATTTCAATAATTTTATCTCGGAAATGTTCATCATATCATTGTTAAGCCTTCCTCAAAACAGCGTCTAGAGAGCTATTTATTACCCACCAGTGTCGTTTGTTTTTAAAAATAGAAGACCGGGAAACGAAGCGGTCCGGTAGATAAGAGGTATCGAGAGGTTTCCTTATTGTTTGCGTATTTTATCGACGGAAAATTTCAATTATTGATTTGTTTGTACAGAATTTATTTTAGTTCGATTGTGTGGGAAGCTATAAGCTTATAGACACACTTTCGATTCCGTACCTGGAACCAACCAGTACTGAGCAATAAGTGTAAAGTGTCTTGGTCAAGGAAATAACGGCTGGCCCTTGACGATGTGCTAGCGATAATTAGATTACGAGTCCGACGCGTTAACCACTCGTCCATACTGCCACTCATTTCTCATACTTGGATTTGACAATTATATATGACGATTTATCTAAAAATAATATATTTAACCTTTAGAGAACCTGAGGGCTGTTTTAATATCTCTATTAATTATAATTATTGTTTTAATATCTCTATATTCTATTAATTTTGTTATAATGAATGATTTATTATGTTATTCCGCAAGAGCCACATAAGATTTTTACTGCTATCGATTCCACTATAAAAGAGAGCGTATGTTGGTTCAATACATTTTGAAAACAATATAATTTCAAAATTAGATTGATTCAAAATTGTTTCTAGCCATAAATTAAGTATTGCATCTTTAAGCTCTGACTGATTAAGACTTAAAGAACTCCATTTCGCATTCGGTTTAATGATAATTTTAATTATCTGCTTAATGATAATTTTAATTTTCTCTAAAATTGGCGATAGTTTTATGCTTACTGTTTTATTCTTTCAGAGAAAGATTACCAAGATGTCGTAATCATTTCGTCCACTGTCGGATCAGTCTCGTTGATTTGTATTGTCCTTCTGATTATTTTAAGGTAAGCATTCTATGTACATACGCATTTTCTCCTTTTATGATTTTGTTTTAGAGGCACATAAGCCTAAAATATATTTACGGTTTATTCTTGTTTCTGATGTTAAAGATGCATGCTTCCAGATGAACCAACGTGTTTCAAAAAAATTAAATGTTGGAAAAAAAGTACAGAGAGTTTAAGAAAAGTAAAAAGATTCAAGATAAAAATGAATAGTTCCATGCTATGTGCGTTTTATGACCGATTTTGCAGTATTTTTCATCATCTTTCTACTACGTTACTGACGCAGTAACGGCTATTTTAGCATATTTTTACCTCTTTTTGGGTATTTTATATAATTTGTAAGTGCTGTTTGCAATGTGAGCATTATTTTCTTTGTTCAAATAACAATATTTTACTTTTTAATATATTTTCAAAATGTTCATGACAATTAGCATGAATCTGGAGACGTGCTGCTTTAACATTATTGACACTTAAATTAATGGTAAAAGTATAATATTATATTTTACGTAGATGGTGGAGGAAAGAGAAAGAGCTTCAAAGCATGTCATGGAAAATCAACTACAATGACCTGGATTTTAATTTCGACTCAACCCAGACACAAACATCAATTGTAAAGTATTTTTATTATACATATTAATTTAATATGTTTCTTATACATTATGTATGTATAAAGTTTTAGATGTACAAAAAGGCGCTTTAATTGTATTCGAAGTATATAAATATATTGTAAAAAGAATACAATGACCCTTAAAGACGTTAAAAGACGCTAATAGGATATAAAACATTATATAAACATTTTCAGCTTCTGAAAATTTAGAAAGCTACAAATAAGAACCTTAAAATCGTTACTTATTTTGGTACAAACCAAGACGCATATAAAAATAACATAATGTAATGTGTCAATGTGTGACCTATATTCTTTGTACATGTTAGATTAAGACATTAAAACGTTTTAATTTTTTTTTAGAATCGATCTAGATTTACTATGAATAAAAAACGATTTGTGAGTGGGAGGGACGGTATGGTGAACAGCATCAGGAAAATCAGTGATGTTTCCGAACCCTCCGACTTTATCGGGACTATAAAGCGGAAGTTGTCATCCAGTCCGGTGTACAAATTTCGCCGCAGGAGCGAAGCGAACAGCCCCGTCAATAGACTCGGGAAGAAGAACGTGCCACGGAAAATGCGCAGTGGAGTTTCGACGGTTGATGATTCATTCCGGCGTGGTGGCCAGTATTACACAACGGTAGCTTCTTACAAGGAAGAGCTTGTTGCCGTAAAGATGTGTACAAAGAAAGAAATCAACATGGACAGATCATTTCTGCTCCAAGTAAGAAATGTAAGAACCTGCAGCATGTTTCATATGTTGCCTAAAACAATTACATATATCATTTAAAATAACATTTTCTTTACCTATATTTATAAATATGTGCTTTTATATGAGGTAGTATATACGAATTTATTTTAGTTTGTTTGCGTTGAAAGGTTTGAGCTAAATTAAACACTCTTGATTCCGTTCTTGGAACTAACCAGTACTTAGCAATGAGTGTAAAGTTTCTTGCTCAATGAAACAATAGCTTGCTTCTGACGGGGTTTTAACCCACGTGGATAGCAATCCTTATATTACTAGTCCAAACCATTAACCACTCGGCCACGCCGCCACACGGTGCCTTTTAAATAATGCAATCTCTGAACGTCCATTATATATACGACTAATTGTAATTAAAACCACGAATCTAACCATGATTAATTTGTTAAACAGCTCCGAGATCTTCAGCATTCAAATTTGACAAAGTTTATTGGAGTTTGTACAGCGCCTGAGACCGTGTGTATCGTGCGTGAATACTGTACAAAAGGCAGTCTTCAGGTAAACATTTCATATATTAAAGCTGCATGCCTCCAGATGAGACAAAATATTTCAAGAAAATCAAACATAAGGAAAATGTACTAAAATTTCAAGAAACATTAAAAAATTCAATTTTCAAGTAATGATTTACTTGTAATGTATTGAATTAAGGACATATTTTGTAGTTTTATCACCATATTTCGTCTGCGTGACTTACGCAGTAAGGGCTATTTTTTAATATTTTGACCACTTTCATTAAGATTTAAGTGGATTGTAAGTGCCGTTTGCAATGTGAAAATTACTTTTCAGGTTCAGTTCACAATATTTTACTTTTAAATACATTTTTAAATGTTTAGTGGAAATAAGCAAGAATGTGGAGGCAGGCTGCTTTAAATGGATATGCATATCTTTCATTTTTGTTATTGTCTATTGTAAATTTTCTTTCGGATATCAATTGAAAAACTGAAAAAAAAGTAAATCAGCCAATAGTGTGGGCCAGGTCAGACTGCACAGCTATGCAGGCTGGCCTTAAAAGGGACTCCGCTGAGGTTATATGACATGACAGGACTGGAAATAATTTTTCGAGATTACTGTTCAATTTGCTGTAGGTATAGACCAATAACTTGTATGCAAAAATTCAGACCATTCGCTCACTCCGTTTATCCAGAATAATTATTTTATTTGTGAAAAAATACCCGAAATTGAAAAGCGTTGCAACGCTTTTCATTCGATTCAAATCTGACTTAAATATCACACAACTTTTCGATTTGTTTCTTTAACTATACTGGAGTCAAAGTTTAATCACCTTCGGTTCCAGGGTACCACGAAGTTAAAAAGTTATAACGTATAATAATTTGTACCTTTGTAACCAGAGTACAATATGTATTCATAACGAACAGCCTCAGAGTCTAATGTTGATCATTTAAAATAGCATTTATCCTTATTAAGCTCTTTGGCTTTGCTATCCTTTGAATATATATGTCAAATATTTAAGTTTCGTTGAGTGTTATGTCAATAGACAAATGTTGAAACATTGATGTTTACAGGATGTTATAGAGAACAATGATATACGCCTGGATACAATGTTCAGGTTGTCACTTGCTGCAGATATCTGTCAGGTATAAATCTTATGTTGTAATTATATTATCATACTGCATATCTGTAAACGTCTATTTTTATTGGACATATTTATGTAAAATATTGCATGTCTGTAACGTCTGTTTTTATTGGACACTATATATTTAAGCTATTGCATGTCTGTCTATTTTCATTGGACACTATTTATGTAAAATATTGTCTGTAACGCCTTGTTTGATTGGACACTATTTATGTCAGTTTCGTCATGTCTTTAATGCCTATTTTCATTGGACACTCATAACATTAGTATCAAATATATGGAAACATGACTGTTTTAATTTTAAAACCCTAACGGTTCTTGTTGTATAAGTTTACGACCGTTTACGCGGAGCTATATAACATCCATTGTGCCTTCTATTCTTTTGTTTTGTGCCCTACTAGATTTCTTAATGGTTGTCCTGTGTTACTTGTTTTTTTTTGTTTGCGATTGCATTCAGTAAATGCCACCATTCTTCGTTAATCTTTAATTTCATATATTTATAAAACAATATGTATAACTAGTACAATTAATATCTTAGTACAACTGCGGTGGAGTGATAAGGGGCCCTTATTCTGACTAGATTTTAAATAAATTTATGATAAGTCTATTATTTGTCTATTGTTTTACAATGTATTTGTTACTTGTCATGTTCTAATATTTCATATCAGCAATCTTTAATATGATTATCGTGAATTTTATTGCTATAAAGACCTTTTTAGCAAATGATAATATTTAACAGCACAAACCAAAAAAGCATTTATAATAATAGTCAATATATTAGCAAACTGTTTCACGTTAAGCGCGCTTAGCATTAGAAATGACTCCTTCAGTAGAAAGGGCAAACACGTTTTTGTAATGTTGTTTTTATAGATTTTGAAGATTTTTAAAGATGTTCATTATCCAAGGTCAATAGCGTCAAATGTGAAATAATGTGAAATAATTTCTGATAAAGGCGGCAAGAAATAGCAAATGTGAATAAAATATTTCAACTTATCCAAAATACTAAATCACTATAAATAAAACGCAAACGAAGCAAAAGATAGCTCAGCTATGTGTTTAATGAGTAACATTTTGGAAAATATAACAAGAAATAAAAAGTAAAAAAGCTGTTGAAACCATTATGATATATGAGGTTCAAAAACACGTCATATACACAAACAGGTTTCATTCAGTAAACAAGGCAAAACTTTTAATTATTGAATTTACATTTTATCTAACGCAGTTGCTATCGTAACATCAGCACATACGGCTATAAAAACCACAATTAAATTGAAATGTCTGATGTATGTTGACATTTATCTGAGATAAATCATAGCATTTATACAACTGTACATTCTAGGGATTGGATTATCTACATAAAAGTCCCATCAAAGTTCACGGAAACCTGAGAAGTGCCAACTGTGTCATTGACACACGTTGGGTTTGTAAATTGACAGACTTTGGTATACAGAAGTTTAGAGCCATTCAAAATTCTGAAGAAATGCTGGGAGAACACAGCTTTTATTCAAGTATTATTATCTATCTTTTTTGTCTAATTTAATGTACTTAATATATCATCCCAATGCTTCAAGTGTTTAAAGCGGCTTTTAGGTTTTATTTTTTGTTGGAAAAACAATTATGTGCTGTTTCAAACTAAGCATTTCAGTAATTTTACCTTGAAAAAGTGCATCATATCACTGTTAAGCATTCTCAACAACACCCGAGAAATATTTAAAGCGCAATGACGTTCGTTTCTTAAACTAGAAGATTGGGAATTACTAATTTACAATTAGAGAACTGACCGGTATATTAGAGTAATCGAGGGGTTTCCTTATTGTTTAATTATTTCACCGACAACAAATTTTATTCTATACATTAAAAGTTATTTTGATTTGACAGTTATAGTAAACGATTTATCTTAAAATAACATATTAATTATTTAGAAAAAACTGAAGGCCGCTTTAAGATTCAATACTGATTAAGCACGTGCTAGCGGGCGTGAAGGATGTTGCATTGTCCCTTTTCTCACATGAACACTCCCGATCAAAGCACGTCTGCGATTTTCACCTGTCTGTTTGTTTTCTTTGCTGTTGAGGACTGTTCCTGTATAAGAATCTTTTTGTTTTTAATTTTTCAATTTTTAGGTAGATTCAATAGTACGGCGATTAAACTATTTAACATATATTATTCGTCCGTCCATCTTATAGAGGTTGCATTTTATATTAAATGTAAAATTATACAATGATTCATATATGTGCCCATTTCAAGAATGTTTATATAAAAGCATTCGACAAATTGCTATCAAAATGAACTCTTTGTAATAAACATATAGACATAGCTGTTTTTGAAATTTTATTTACGATGAAAGTCAATCGAAATGGTATCAAATGGTAGTCATAAATTAAGTAAAGAATATTTTAACAACATATTATGAATCTATTTTGAAGAAATGGTTTCAAAACATCATTGATTTCAGGGCTTTACTGGACTGCACCTGAGATATTGCGCAAGGTGTTAAAGAACGAATTCTGTGAGGGCACACATCCGTCTGATATATACGCTCTAGGTGTCATTTTCAAAGAGCTTGTCAGCAACAGCAGTCCATATAGTGCCGAGTCTCATCTTTCACCGAAAGGTATATCACCTTTGTGCCGATTTGCTCGGATAATGTATTCATAGACAAAAAAACATTTCTAGATTATATATACTTATCAACATATTTGATACGAATTAAAAATTTTAATTGAAAATACAACACCGGTAGGTGTAAACCTTCTTTTCTATTATTGAAAATTTGCATTGGGGCTTTAAAGTGAGAAAAAAAAATCCCTTGTCGTCTTCCAAGTATCAGCAGAATCTTTGTATTGTTGCAACGTGAAATACATTGTCAAGATGTTCACATTTTACTTGATATTAAAAAATTACTTAAACACTTTATCGCTAAACATTCTCATATTTTGGTACACGAGTACACCAAAGATGATAAACGAAATCATTGTACATTGTCTTGTAAACATCCGACATTGTTACTTTTTATTTCTCTTGGGCATATCCATATTTAAGAATTCTAATAGAATAAGCTTTATCAATCTTCAGTGCGTTGATGTACGAGTGATCATAATTTACCACTCAGCGATTGTCTTTTTTAGAAATTATTACAAAGGTTGCTTTTCCGGAGAAAGGGGAAGATTACTTCAGGCCATTTATTAACAGCTTCGACATAAGTTCCGAACTCCATCAGTCTAATATAGAGTACTTAGTGCAAAAATGTTGGCAAGAAGATCCCGATGCAAGACCCAACATGAAAATCGTCATCCGTATGCTTAGCAAGATTAATCCATTTAAGTACGTATTAATCTATTTATAAGTAAGTGTTATAAACAAGTGAATATAATAAGATGATATATGCTAGGCAAACATATCCGTTTAAGTACTTTGTGTTGCTATATGCTAGGCAAGACCTATCCATTTAAGTGAACATTGTAGCATAGTAAGCAAGATCAACAAATTTGAGTAATAATCATTATAACATGTAAAGCAAGGCGTATCCATTTAAGTCAATTGCGTAGCATGCAAAGCAAGATCAACATATTTAAGAAATAAATGTTATTAAATGTGAGGTAAAATAAACCAGCAACTTTGTATCGTCAGATGTTAAGCCAGACTAATCCAGATAAGTGATAAACCGATTATCATATAGTGACAAAAGCATTTGTCATTTCTGTAAACTAGAAGAAAAATACATGTAAACAGGTAAGTGTACTCTTCATTGTAATGGAAATAAACGTAATTGAGCCGCGTCACGACAAAACCGACGTAATGTGTTGACGACCAACATGGATCCAGACCAGCCTGCGCATCTGTTCAGTTTATCCAATTGTAATAGAGTTGGTAAGCGAACAGCATGGATCCTGATCAGACTGCGCGGATGCGCAGGCTGGTCTGGATCCATGCTGGTCGCAAACGTACTATGTTGTTGGTTTTGTCGTGACGCGGCTCAAACATTATTTTACAGGAAGATTAGTGTGATTGATAATATACTAGCATTGATGGAGAAGTACACAAACAATCTAGAGGAAGTTGTTGCCGAGAGAACATCACAAGTACAAGAAGAAAAGAAGAAGACAGAAGCTTTGTTATACAGTATACTGCCAAGGTATTTACAAAATTAAAGTATTTAGTAAAAACATGTCATTTGGTTGACAAAAAAGTAAATGTATTTGTACATCTTACCTAGGAAAAGACATCTTTAAAATTAATTGATCCAATTTTAGCATTTGATAAATCTGAAACAAATGATTCTGATATAAACCACTTTTTTCGAGCTTTTTAACACCAGTTTGTATACATAAACTCCTGATCTGATCTATTAAAGTTATGAACTTTTAGTTTGTTAACAGAATCTTCAAAGATATTTTTCTAATTTAATACTTTTATTATACAGAGCAAGAATAGCATCTTTAAACAAAACCTGATTGATTTTCTACAATATTTAACGATCTTATAAAGTTGAAGATCTATAGTTGCTAAAGTCGGTGCTACAGATGATGGAGTTGTTGCACGATCTTATGATCAGACTCTGTTGTATTGTTTGAATAACTTTTTCGATTGATACATATTAGGGAAGGCGGTAATAAATAACAAATGGACGGTTTTGTTTATTGCAGAAAGGTTGCAGATGAACTGAAAGTCGGTAGAAATGTAGAAGCTGAGGCGTTTGACAGGGTCACCATATATTTTTCTGACATCGTAGAGTTTACCAAGTTGTGCAGCGAAAGTACTCCTCTTCAGGTCAAGTTTTAATCATAAACTGGCTGTAATTGTTGAATGGAATTGCTATTTGCTCTGTTATGAATTTCGAACATTCCATTTGAACATTTAGGACGTTTATAGAGCATGTGTCTAGCTCGACCAGTAAAGCTAGCAATCGCCATATGACATTTGCAGCGGTATGGAGCTTGGACGCACCGCATGGATGTGCATGCTTATCGGCCCGATATTGATGACAAAGGCCAACCACTTTTAAGAATAAAAAAGTAATTAATGGAAGTCAATGGCGGAAATATAATTTTGTAGCGATATGTGGCTTAAATGTACACACAAAGCAACAATTTGATAACAGATTCGTATTCCTTAATACTCAGAACGTGATATAACTATGTATTTTAATTGGATAGATAAAGCTGAGATAAGTATTATTTGAAAATGCACATGCAATAAAACAGGTCTGGATATAGTATGTCGTAATTTAGTAAAACAACGTTAAAACACTTATAGAAGTATGCAAAGAAAAAACGACTAAAGCAACATTTCGTGTATTGTTATTCTGTAAACAATTGAATGTAATTTAATGAGTTACAACAATGATATTGTGATCTTACTAGTATTTTTATAATTAGTAAATTGTGTTGTTTCTTTCTATTATAGATTGTTGAGTTCTTGAATGAGTTGTACACTATGTTTGATGACATCATCAGTTATTATGATGTATATAAGGTTGGTTTATGTAATATGTTTTGTTTAACAACAGCAACTTATATATATTAAAACATTAACGAAAGTAGTAAGGCCACCATTTTTTATATTATTTGTGACATTTACTATCAACATTTAAAGACAAATTAAAAATAAGTTAATGTATTTACATGTTTTTCAAATGAAGCATTATCACAATTTTGAAATTATTCCTTCTATAAAACGTTTATTATATAAAATGAATACGGGTATTAACTATTACACATTCATCGTATCAGAGATATATTGAAGAATTAGCATTATATGTTGAGCAAAATTAAATACAACCTGACACAATAAAAACGATCTCATTTCTAGCCATACCACAATTTCGGTAGGATTTCTTAGTTCAACAACTTCGAAGTTCTTTGCTTGATAAGGCCGAACTCTTGAAAATCATACTCTAACAAAATAATTTATTAGGTACTAAAACAATGTTGTTCCTTTTTTCAGGTTGAAACTATTGGAGATTCTTACATGGTAGCAAGTGGTCTACCTGAGAGGAACGGACGTCAGCAGGTGCGAGAGATCTCCGAAATGGCATTGAATATACTTCAAAGCGTAATATCGTTCAAAATACCACATCGGCCCGACACACAACTCAAAATAAGAATCGGTAAACGATATTTGTCCCTTAAAGCTTAAATTTTCAAACATCAGTTATAGATATTATCAGTGCTACATTTTACATCTCCATCGTATTAAGTACAACTGATTTATCTGATTTATTGCTCTTTGTTTCATTTTTTAGCAATGCTTTTGTTTTAGTATCGATGTTCTGTGTTTGACTTTATGTTCCTTCTGAAATAAACCAGTGTTTAATTTGTAAAATAACTTAATGATTAAAATTATTTTCCTGAGTGTTAATCAATCAATTCTATCTATACTTAGTAATACATGATACAAGAGGTTGATATCTATTGTATTCACGACAGGGTTACACACTGGGCCAGTTGTAGCTGGAGTTGTTGGTCTTATCATGCCGAGGTATTGTCTATTTGGAGACACAGTAAACACAGCATCGAGAATGGAATCAACTGGAGAGCGTGAGTAGGATCTCTCATGAATTGTGTATCACTGGCAATTACTTTTACTTTAGTGTTTTTCTCCGATGCTTATGGTATCATGTTTGCTATCAGCAATTATTCTCATCAAGCTTGATAGTTAAATTAAAAGAAATTATATAAATTTTTCAGACAAAAAACAATGATATTAAAATGTATCGTTGAATTTGATATGTTACGCATGAATGCCCTATAGATATGCCACCTGGTTATCAAAGCATCGTCTACAAATTGCTTATTAAAAAAAAATCAAAGTATATTTTATCATACCATTGATAGCGAATCTGATAAAATTTATGTTTACAGCATTGAAAATACACATAAGCCCGTACACAAAAGCGGTGTTGGAAGACTTCCCGAATTTTATTGTGAAAGAGAGAGGACAAATTGCCGTGAAGGTAAATAAGCAAAATGATGTAAAACACTTTATATGAGGTTTTAAGATCACTATAAATGCCGATTATGCCCCAAAAATAATTTTATTTCTCAAAAAGCTTTCAATAATTGGTGTACTAGCTGTAATTATTTCCAAATAGTTATTCATTGTCGCTTACCTGAACTATTTCTTCCTACTGTTGCTTTTTGGAAATTAATACAGTTTTAGTGATTTAGTATTAAAGACAAAAAGTCAAAATACTACTCTTTGCTTCATTTATTACAAATGATTTCGCATTCAGCGCTTGATTCAGCAAATGATAAGCATAAAACATGCTCTATGACCATTAATCAAACATTATTTATAACTTATGTTTGCCATTTCTAAAGAGCAAAACATTTATTCGTTAATTTGCTCTTAAATGAGATACCAATGATAAACTGATAAACGACTGGTAATTATTAAATAAACATCAAAGTGTGCTGAATAAATATAAGCATTTACTTTAGTTGGTTTTATTAATACACTTACATTATACATAATTTAATCAAGTTAATATGTATTGTTTATTTAACAGGGAAAAGGTATCATGAATACATATTGGCTAACTGGCACCCGCAGTGGTTCAATTGCATCTATACCACAGATGAACCATTTAATTGACCCTGGGTACCGTGATGCTAGACGTCTTAGCGAACCATTTTATAAAAGCAGCGACTCAACAACTCGCCTTTCCTTCTTGAATGAGAACTTGCAGCGTAAACGCAACAGCGAAGTCAAATTTCAAGAATTTCAAAATGAATTATCTAGCGCTCAGACCGCATCTGGATCGCATAAGTATGCACTGAAACCTGTTGATGAAGTAGAGCGAAAATTAAGTGTAGCAGATTCCGGGATAAGTATGGATAAAAGCAGCCTTGAAGATAAAGTAGATTTCACAGCATTACCATATGACTATTTGAGCAATATGAAAAGTGAAAGGAATAACTCGCCTTTGTTAGCAACAGATGACAAATTCACATTCCATCGTAATTGTAAATCTATTCTTGAGGCATCCGACCAGGCAATGAATTCAAATGGTGATTCAAATTCAGAGACATTTTCCGATGATTCTCACGTGACAGAGGAAACAGATCAAGTGAACACTTTCAAACCAGTTTCTGTAGAAAAGGAGAGGCACAAGCTCAGCATTCAGTTGGACAACATCAGTGAACATAGTGAAAATACAAGCATCATAGAAGAAATTGAAAGACCATCTGAAAATGGTAGAAGAAATAGGAACCAAGTGTCAAACATTTTAGAATCTGTAAGACTATAAAAATGTGTACTTATGTAAATAGATAGCCACTGACTTTGATGCTATGAAGTTGACTTGATAAATTGGACGATGAATGTTTCTGTTATTCAGTCAGACATAATGCAATAAGCCGATATATATTATTATTCATGCAAGTATGTTAATTTAAAAGTATTCTGCTTCTGTTTTGCTTTCATCATTATATGTACACTAATGATTTTTTGAATTTAGCCTTCAATCAAAATTATTAAGATCTTTTCTCTGCCAAGTCAATATCATTACATGTATCTGCATTTTAAAACTTTGCGTTTTGTTTATACTTTTCACATGATACACAGTGATTAAAATCATTTTGAAACTATCGATTCATGAGACATTTTCCTTAATAGAAATATATGCGAAATAAGAGGTAGATAATCTTTACGAAAATTGTTAAGTTGAGGTAAGATTTATGATTTTTTTAGGTTTACAGTTTTTATGGTTTTAGATTTCTTATTTCAGTACAGATTTCTGCGAAACAAAATGATTAAATTTTTAGTGTCAAATAACGTCAAACATATACGAATTGAGTAAGTCGAACTTTTCAGAACTAACAAATGCTAATTCAGGTGTTACCGCTCCTCCCCTTCATGCTTCCGAATCGTTTAATTTTAATTGATAAACACAAACTTTAACTTAGAAATATATTAATCTCCAGAATAATTTCCTGATTCTTTTTCTGAAGGACAAGCTCAATTAAGCCATGCCTGAAACATATAATTTTTCCGCATTGGCTATCTCGAACGTTCCTTTTTGAGTATTTTATTGCCTTATTAGCATTATTTGTGCTGTGTGACAGCTGTACAAAATATTTCGTACCGTATAATTAACCTCATTAGGATATGTTGTTTGCATTTGAAAGTTGGGTTTTTGTATTCCTCTTTGAAAGTGATAATTTCATATATCCCCTTATCGTTTAGTTCTGTCCAACGGTTTCACGTTTAACACAGATTTCAAAAACTCAAGTCCTCAATTTGTATATAATAATGTAGTTTCGTGTCAGTGAAGGTGTACTAGGGCAATTACTTCCATTCACTTCGTTTATGCCACAACGATACATTTTTACTTCAAGACGTTTTACTGCACTTTCTCGCGTTTAAAAAAAGTTTGTCACTAGTTGTACTCATGGTTTATAGAAGATAAATTAATATTTTGTCAGTCAGTTAATTATTTCAATTCATTAATATTACTTTTGTGACGACTTGTCATATATATATATCATATATATGATATATAAATAATGTGCCTGCGTGAGTCCATATCCGTAAAAATTAGCCAAGAGAAGATGCAATGAGAGCAATAAAAATTAAATGAATAGATGACATTGAGAGACAACATAAAGTGCAACACCCCTCAAGAAATATCATTAGTAACGGCTTTAGAGATATTCATGACTAAAATGATTGGTATTTATGATTCTGAAGAACTTAGATGAAGTTCGGGGTAATTTAAAGAGCTGCAATTGGCATACGTTTCTGTAGTTTACACCTAGTATGGAAGGGTTTGATGCAGTCCGCCTTCTTAGTACAATAGGCAGAACATTTGGTAAGTAAATAAGTGGACGCTGGCTCGATCGTCGGGTGAGTTGAGGCGAAATTGCCCCGTGACAATTGATCTCGGACATTGAATTTTATGGTAACTTGTCTCTTTTCGCTTATTTAGAAATTATGTTGAATTAGTAGTTGTTCATTATCACTTGCTTAGATATTGGTAATTACTGGTAAGTTAATCAGGAAAGCCAGTTAGGTGGATCGAGTGCTCAGATATGACCAACACATGTGTTAAAATCGATTTTAAAAACAACAACAAAACAAACCCCCAAAAGTCGCGGGCCAAATGTAGTAGCTGTGCACCTTGTCACTTTGAAAAATTATTTATTTATTAAAATATAAGGAACAGAAATATTATATGAAATATCCATGCAAAGTACGTATATTCCTGTCAAAAGCTTTAAGTTGATATTCCTATAAACTGAATTAAAACAGGAATCAAAAGTAGTAACACTGTGATAACAATACAATATAAATCGCCAAAATACACACTGCAATTAAAACTCAATTTGAATATACCTATGTTGTTAAAAATTTCGATAAATACATAAATCAATGTCTCTATGTGCGAAACAGTATTGTGTTTTTTCCAGGAAATAAATGTAGTATAATCGCAGTATGTAAAATAATAAAAAAAATTTAAAATAAAATAAAATAAATAAATAATAAATAAATAAATAAATAATGATAATAAAAAAATAATAATAATAAAGGTAAGTAATAATTATAATAAACAGCTTGAAAACGTAAAGATAATTCAACAAATATTTTAAAACTGAATGTTATGCACGGTTAACTATCGTTTACGCCCACTATATTGATACCATGTAAAGTTAACATTTAGAACGGTCAGTTGCATTACATTAAACATCTGGGATGTGTTCAACTGGCGATGATAATTTATAGTTACTATGTGCAAATTAAACGTATTTACTGAAACATTAATGGACTTGAACTCTTAAAAAAATCTATCCAGAAATAACACAAAATTACAATTACATCACACAGTCAACCAAAACCATTGCCATGCACCGCCGTTACAATTATCCAAAGAAGTATCTATATCACGTTGCTAGAGTAATGTCAGGACTCAAATGCACGACATTCAATACGAGGGAATCATTCGAGAAACATGTACTTCTGTACTATATTAGTAAATCCAGCCATCAAGTTATTTCTTTAAAAAAGAACACGTGATAAAAAATCTATGATTTATTTTCTTTGTTTCACCAACCCTTTAAAAGTCCTACGGATAAGATTATTTTACCACATTATATTATAAAGTCAAAATTAGCCGGAAAGCGGTTTGACGGGTATTTTTTAAGTTACAAGTGTATGATATAATGAAATTGAAAATGCATTAAACAAAGAAGTCTGTAATTATGAACAGAGATCAATTGCTAATAACTGTAGTTTGAATCAATTAATTTATCAATTGTCCTTTGTGAACTATCAGTGCATTATACAGTCTGTAACAGTTAATATAATGAAATTTATTCATCCCGAGGGACATGGATAATTTATCATGGGCAATGGAACTAGATATTTAATTTCAGATGAATCAAAGTCTTATTAAGGTAATAGGTTCATGTGCATCTCTCAATGTTTACACCGCAAAACATATTCCTTTGTATTAAGATTTTGTACATACATTAGCTCAATATCTAGCTTATTTTAAAAAATATCCGATTAATTCCTATCTTTTTCTTAATTCCATTTCATGTGTGCTACCGTCAACGTCATTTAATTTTACATGATGTCTGATCCAATACGAATTTAAACCAATGAAATGTCAATCTCAAAGACATGTTTTAACATAATGATGCAGTAACAAACCTAATATGACGGGAAATCATAACAGTGGGGAACAAAGTTCACCGAAAAGTTCAGTACAACGTACAAGGGGTTATGTGGGCGATGCGTGATTCTTCCTTATTCATATTAATGTCGTTGCTGTGGACATGCTATATATTAAATTTACCATATAATGGATTATGAACAGAACCAAACAATGCAAAAATTTACCCATGGAGCATTGCATACTTCTTTATTTTGTGTTTCTTTGGGTACTTGTTGTGCCATTTAAAATTTAACCCATGTTCCTTAAGTGGTTAGTTTGGTATTGATTTTATTAAATGTATACAAAAGTTTATATAAAACTAGATATTGAATTGCTGAAGATTACAAGTTATAACAAATTTAAGCCTTTTCATTATATATATTTTTGAATTATGAGGATACTTCTTCGCGATCGAGTACAAATAAATATACTGGAGTCGCATTCCTTGAGTGTACGTGAAGATTAATCGCCAGTAGACTTAATTGTTCAATGGTATGTGTGGTTTGTATTCTGAGGCCATAGGGCTCGGACCATCATTATATAAATAATAAGAATCCATTATTGTAGGAAAATAGTCCCGATGTCAAAACAATGCATGAATCAAATAGCATTCAGCATCACCATAAAAAGATTTCGGTATGTATATGGGTTCGTTGCTTAAACAACAAAAGAAGGTTTTAAATATTTTAATGATGAAAGAAGGCGACATAAGGTGTACATATTTGCACTATTTATGCCTCCGACATATGTTTCATAAGCTTAAAACTCAATGATCTATATATAAAGGTCATACATGTCAGGTCATTCATCATAATAATCATCATCCTGTTGTTGTAGTAAATTATATGAATTATACTGATACAAGATTTATTTAGCACCATTACCAAATCTAGTATCATAAGACACGAGCGAATCATGCACTGTGATCACATAAAGAATTGCTAAGAGTCTGGTAAAATTTGTCCTTTGACTCTCCTTGTGATGGTTATTTTTGTCAATATCTATAAACATGTTCAAATGGAAATATTGAGCACGCGTTATCAAGATTTATCGTACTGTGTGTCACATTTCGTACTAGTTTTGTAACTGGTTTCACCGCTTGCCTGTTTTATTTAAATAAAATGTTTGGAATGCTTAACGAGGAAACTATTTTTCTTCAAAATATTTATTTATCTTATAATTAGAGTACATCTTTTATTTTTGTTTTGTTGTGAAAATTTAACTTGTGCTTAAACTCAAGGATTTATTGTCTGAATTTATTTGTTCATATGGCGGAAGTCAACTTGTGAGTAACTTGAATGTATTTTAAAAAGTTGTAGTTGTTTTATGTATTAGATTTAAAATTGATTCTACCAACGTACATTTAGTTGATGCCCGTTGATACGTATCTGTACAAATTTTGTATTCTTCAGTCAAAAAAATATAGGTGTCAAAATTAAGACAAATACGTTGTTCGGTTAGCATGCCTCGTTGTAATATGGTTAGTAATTAAGAACAACATAATTACAAGCATGATTATAACTATTTTTAGTAATAAGATAAAATATTCAGAATTGTTCCAATCGACGTGGTCAGTATATTTAATGACTCGCAAGCAGAAACTACTCTACTTCTAGAGATTTACTGTCGTTTTGAGTTTAATTACAAAGATGACATAGAAGTTAATTGAGTGTCATCTTCGATAACCAATTATTAAATTCTCAAGCAAAACGGCCTAATTAAAATCCATATACTGAAAAGGGCCTCATTTGCAATAAAATATGATTGTCCTTAACATTACTCTCCAAGACATT